GCATGAGCTAATTCCAGGATTTTGTTTCAGAATCTGAGACGAATTTACCCAATCCCTTTAATCCTCTTTGTTTCAAAGATTATTGCCTCGCGTTTATTTAGTAGTCCATTTACTCACAAAAGATTAACAAAAGTTGTAGATAACATTGAATCAAAATAATGAAGGTCTTACCCTTCCCCTTTATCCTTTCCATGTTTAAAAGGCATGCCATTAAATTGTATTCGGTCATTTCTACGTCACAGCATGATCTCTTGACGTCATGAGTTGCTTCAAGATGTTGCTAAATTTACTCAAGGGTGGGGTCACAGAATAATTATGTATCGTCGCATTGCAATGAGCTATGGAAGTAGAAATATGATATTACAGATTTTCTTATCGTTATTGTCATCATTATAACTATTTTCAATATCTGTACTTTTATTTGTTCATCAATTCTATGAGGCTTATTAAGTTACATAACCAATCGTGCAAAATATTATCATTTTTGGCGATATCACTTTAAAACGCATTTTTTTAAAAAAAATATGTAAGCATGTTTATGTAATCGTGGTATCATGATCCTATGTAATGACATGAAGCTATGATATATTATATGTGTTCTGGAAATGTGTTTCAGATTATTAGTCAAGTCTGCTCAGGGTAGTATAATGTATTGGGGTTAGGGTCACCCAGGTAGACAGACAGTTCGCGAGACCAACATTGACAAAGATTCATTAGACCTACACTCCACGAGACCAACAAGCTGATTTTGTAAACATTGGCTAAATATTACAGCAATGCTAATATTGTATTTATCATTATTTGTATAAAACACAAGATTTCGCTTATAGTCTGTTAAGAAAAAATGTTCACTATACTCATTTTGAAATCACGCTCCAGTTGTTTGAAATAAATATATTTAAGAGAAATTCGAAGAAACTCTATCAACAACTGAATAAATTGTAATCATAATTTTTATAAATTTTGCATTGTGTATCTTGTGTAGGGTTTAAACTTACAAAATTACTCTTAAGTGAAAACCACGAATCATAACCTCGTAACTATATAGTTGTATATAGTAACCAGTCTCATTTTAATATTATACACAAAATTATTTATAAGATTTGGAAACCCATCATATATTTTTAAATTAACTTTATTTTAGGCTTTAGATAACGAGAGTCAGACTCGACTAGCACATGTGCTATTTTTGACTCTATTTTACCATCGATCACAAACTCATTGTAAATAGTCATTTATTGTTTTACTCTTGAAGCAAAGTTTACTTTATCTTTGTCATAATGTACATGTATATTGCTGTAGAACATGTATTTTTTTATAATTCATGTCATGCATTTATGTTATATTGACATTGTCATTGTCATTGTACATTTATCTTTTGTTTCAATGTTTTCAATGGTGGTGAATAAATAAATTCAATTCAATTATTTTTTTTATTTTTATATTTGACATTTTATAATATCTTTATGATTAGGTTTAATTTGCAATTGCTTGGATGGAATCTCTGAGCATTCTAACAAAAGGTTTTTTTTTTTAAACTTTCCTTTTTGTGTAGATACAAAAATTTGCAAACTTATGAACCACATATCGAAATTATAAACTTTTTGATAAATGAATCTTCAGAATAATGAGTGCTATCTATAAAAAAAATTCTAATTTTTGTTCGCATTTTCAGATATTACAAACAAGTTATTGTTAGCGAGATCAGAAGAAGAAAATCTTATTTTCTTGCTCTCAGATACTTCCTTAACCAGCAAACGAGTGCACGGGTTTTATACGTGTATTTCAGCTTTGTGTATAATTAATTACGTGTACAATTGTTTTACACTAATCAGATGTTGTTGTGTTGTGATCAGAATATAACATTTCTTCACTTTCTTATATAGCAAAGAGGTATTCTTGCCGAACGGTATTTCCGTTATTTCAGTGAATACTAGATGAACGGTATTACTGTTATGTCAGTCAAGACTAGCTAAACGGTATGCCCGTTATACCAGTGACGACTATTAAAGCTAAAGACCAGTTATGGTCATGCAATTTCATAGTGAAAGAAACGTTGTGAAATCGATCAGAAAAGGTTGATCATCTAGCATAGATGTACTGCAAGGTTCTGGAATCATCAAAATTATAAGAAATTTGGCCAAGTCTTCATAAAGTTAGAAGCACTGTACACAAGATGTATATGGGACTACACACACGTGCGCGACACGTGCATTTGTATCTCTCAACAGTATATAGATATACTAATTTACCAAATATATCAATTAGTAGGCGGTTTCCCGTCAAAATTGTTATCGTCATGTGATATTCAAAACATATTCTTTCACAGGATTGGTAATAAGAGCTTCCATTTCATTTTTTTGAAATTGGGGTGTTTCCAATACTGGTCTTTACCTTTAAAGTTGATGGCATTGTGATGTGGTTTAATGTATTCAAGACCTTGGCATATTCCACAGGATGAAGCATGCAGGAGATGTATTTTTATTATTAAATCAACATCTTTATATCCTTTTACCACGGCGTCAGTATCTGCGTGGAATATTAGATTAAGACAAGTGAGAGTATCTATCTCATCCATCAACTATGAAATGCGTTTGAGAATCAAGGAAGTAATGTTACGTAATGTAGAATGGTTTGAGCCATCTTTAGTTCCCTAGGCTAGTGTTAACGTGCTGTTACCTCCGTTTTCCTTTTTAAACCTTTACCATGCGTTAATAGAATCACAAGGAAAATTGAGTACAGATTTTCATGACACTAATACAACTCGTCTACGATAATAACATATATGTTCATCAACCGCTTACAGACGGCGTGGGTTATAATTATCAATAGCTATTAATTTAGACCCAGAATATTGTTGCTGATGGTGTTGTTTTTGTTGTTGTTGGTATTATCATCATTCTTAATTTTGTTATTGTTATTATTGCGTTCTTGTTGTGTAAGGCTATCATATAACTAAACTTTTTCGTATACACCGGGTCTAGAGCGGTATTATGTTGTTGCCATTCAAGTGGCACATTTTTCAGTCTGTTCATGGTATTTTCCCGATCCCCGTTCGCCACGGTCAAGACTAGTTGATACTTTACAATAACTTAACTTTCAGCAAAATATGAATAACATTAAAATGTATCACCAACACAGAGGTGATATTTCGTAGACGAAAGACTTCATGAGTGGAGGGATGCCAACGAAACGGAGTTAAGTCTTTTATCAATTCCGTTTGTTGCTACGGCAGGCAACCAGTAAAAATGAATTCGTTTAATAAAATTATGGAAATGCAAGCACTACTTTAAACAATCAGAACTTTGTTATTCCTAGCTCATTTTTCCTGATTGAGGTGTCATATGAAATGGCGAAAACTTAACTTTCTAGAAATGTGATTTTTCTCTTTGAAATTCAGATACCTTCCGCCAAATGACTTTTGGTTTCCTCTCTTCAAATTGATTTTAATCACTCATGCGTGAAATATGCATCATATGAGTGAAAGAGGAGGATCTCAGCTTTATAAATATGTGTCATTTATTAATTATAATTGTGATTAAGTTATGATAAAACATCGATAATTCTGGGACGCACTGTATAGCAGAATGAATCGGGGAATGTACACAGCCCTAGGGTGACCCAGTGTTGGTGTGCAGTGGTTCGGTTTAATTGCTGTTAACTCTGGCTTCTCGTGAGATGAAAGTCCTTTATCCACAAAATGAGTGGCGGCTTCACTTTCAGATGCAACAACTTCTCTATAAGGCGGTGTGGTTGTATCGTATTGAAGGCTGATGAAAAGTCTACAAACAATGCGTAACGTCTCGGTGTGTCCAAATGTTCTCGTACCACGTGCACAGAAGAAAGAACGCCATCCTGCAAATACCTTTGCGGTTGATATGCTAATTGAAGGGGGTCAATACTAGCGCGTATCGGTCCAACAATCGACGTTATATCATGAATTATCACATCAGAGATTTTAAAAGGTGGGAGTATGCCTACCGGACTCCCCTCCTGAGACATGAACTGTTACGTTGCCTGTTCCTGTGAAAGATTCACTTTAATGATAATACGTTTAAAGCCATTCGTAAAAGTATAGACCAGTTTTGGCAATGCCCCCCTCTCAACAAATGAAATCGAAGCTCTTATTACCAATCATGTGAAAAATATGTTTGGACTAATACGTGATGATAACAATTTTGCCGGGAAACCGCCTACTAATTGATATATTTGGTAAATTTATATATATATATATATATATCCGGACTGGATAGATATCGCGTAGTCCCTATACATCTTTCCGTGTACAGTGCTAATTGTAACTTTAAGACTGGGCCAAATTGGAAAGGTGTAAAATGCAATGTTGTGGCTAGCTGTTGTGTCTCGCATGTAACGTAACGAATCTTGACACTCTGTACGGAGCTGAGGACCGGTGAGGGCAGAAAATCTGGATCCCAAATTTAACATTTTTGAGAGATGATTTCTGCGGGCCCAAACATATGTTTAAGAGGGAAGTTGTTATATTTGATCAGTGAGGCTTCCCCTTTGCAATGATATGAATTCAATTCAAAACACTTTTGATTCTTCGGGTGACTACTTTAAAGCTGTTGGCAAGGAATGGGTTAACTACTCAAAAGGCATGATTGAATTTGAAACCCCAATTGACTTTCTATCTTGTATCAACCTGCCGGACTTACGTCCTTTTCTCCGTATCTGGACACCTACCCCCTGGACATCCAGCCCCCGGATAACCACCCCCCCAGTCAACTACCCCTTAGGACAACTACCCCTTAGGACAACTACCTCCTAGGGCAACCATCCTCTAGGACGACCACCCCACGGGACAACTACCCCCGGACAACTACCCCCAGACAACTACCCCCTAGGATAGTTGTCCGAGGGTAGTTGTCTCAGAGGATGGTTGTCTTAGGGGGTAGTTGTCTGGGGTAATTATCCGGGTAGTATTTGTCCGGGGTAGTTGTCCTAGGGGGTAGTTGACTTGGGGTGGTTATCCGGGGTAGATGTCCAGGGGGTACCCTAGAACCTCTTTTCTCATTGAGATTTTCTACTTTGGTTTTTTTCAGAGGTGTAGTGACGGTGGATATGGATTTGATGTCTATGGATATCGACCAATGCGATAACGGTACGGGAATATTCGCTGGAACACACAAATGTCGAAACACCACATCAGTAAGTAGATTTTTGTTTTAAATATAATGTGCACTGAGGGTGTATAAACGAACAAGATGTATATTTCCCCCATAGCTTGAGTCCGTTTTCGAAAAAGAAAGAAGAGGTTAAATATATAATATCTTAATATCATCTGAAGCAAGTGACTTTTGATAGTTACATAGTTATGATTTGAAAATGTATAGAATAGACTTTATATCCATAATATCGCAACCATATGTACCAATAAAAAATCACCCACTTCCAGTGTTTCCAGATAAAAATTCAACCATACTTTGATTGCGAAATCTCAGGAATTATTTCTTTATTTCCATGAGAAACATCACATGAGATTGTTTGAGCATGACCCTACCATAGTTTGAGTATATTCTAGACAGTTGTATGCCTAACTAAAGTAATGAATTACCATAAATTTCACACAGTTTAAAAATAAAAGGTTTTTAAACTGAATTGGATTAAATTAAAATTTAGTTGGAATTATGGAATATTAAAATGTACATGTGCTGTGGTCTAGTGGATTAGTATCTGGACACGTGGAAAAATTATGAAAATAAACTTAAATCGACTAAATAAACAATCAAATTTGTTACCATAAATCATAGTACAAATGTAAAATGGTGCATCCGTAAAAGCAAAGGTGCGCTCGTAATAATAGGATCGGAAAGACAAGGTTTTAAAACAAATTGTTCGTTATAAAGATCAAAAACAAAAATGTTTGTTTTAAAAATAATTAAATGAATTCTGAAATCGCAAAATGTAAAATAGAAGTTAGGGATTCCAAATGTTATGACCGATATAATTAATAGAAGTGTATATTTTATTAGAAGAACCATTCTTATGATGTGATTCATCCAAATTGTGTGTGTTGTCGGTGTGGACCGCATCGTTAAGAATAAATAGTTGCATAAAGTATGGAGATAGGGAGTTTGAGATGATTCGTTAAATCAATGACACAAATTGTAACTATGAACATTAAAGAAACATACAATTGAGTTTCATCGACCCATATCATTATCGTGTCAGTTTTGTATAGTATATATTTTATCTCATGGGAGCACTTTTGAAAAATAATTTATATATTAAATAATTTCGTTAACTAACCCTGTCTCGTGGTTAAAACAAACTAATTAAAAATCATTATCCTTTTGCGCGCAGCAGCAATTATTATCACATAAAATAAACTCCCCAAAGTTCCGATTCCCCCCAAACTGATTTTATTCTCTATTCAGATATTTATCATCCCAATAAAGCTTATGGTAATTGAAATGTTGATAATGATAATAACAGTAATAATGATAAAAATACAAATTATTGTTATTATTATCATTATTATTATTATCATTATTACTATCATTATTGTTATCATTATTGTTCTTCTTCTTCTTATCAGTGTTTTTATAGTTTTTTTATCAGGGAAATATTGAACTGTGGAGCAGAACCATGAACATAATGAAATAAAAGGGGGGAAACATTTGCGTTTGATCTTTTTTTCTTCTATTGATCATGTATGACTATCAAGCCTGTATATTTCACAGTGCAATAAATAAATCATTATTCTACTTCGGAACCAGAGTGCAAACTTTCTTTCTGAAAACAATCTACGAATAAGCTCTTTGTATGTATTATGGGAGCGTTGTTATTTTCAAATTTCATAACTACATCTTTCCCTACCAATTCACGCATAAATACGGTAAACCTACCTGTCATCGTTTTATTCTTAGTGCGTTCCAGTATCTGGACGAGGGTTCTCAAGTGGCTCGTATGAGTGTCGCTGCAAAGATCGCTACTATTTCCCCGACACCTTAGCTCCTTTAAAGACCTTCAACGGATCTATGGTTGAACAAGCCTGGATAGTATCAACATCTGAACATTACCCAGGAGAAGCTAGTGCTGGTGTAGGCGACTACGAACTTGATTTTGACTGCCGACCTTGCCGCGAAGGTTGTACGATGTGCATGGACGATTCTCCATGCTTCGTGGCTAACGATGTCATACTTCGAGCTGTTATACTCAGCATGCAAGCATTGTGTATGCTGCTGACCATTGGTTTGATCGTGGTTATCCTCAGAAATAGAACAGCAAAGGTATATCCTCCAACCCCATCTCTTCACCCCCCCCCCCCCCCCCTCCTCGTCCTCTCATTCGTTCCCCTTTCTTCTTCCTCTTCCTTTTCAGTCTTCTGTCTATCCCCTTTATATTTCTCTCCCTCCCCCTCTTTCTTTCTCTCCTTCCCTCTTTCACGTATGTTCCCTTTATAATTTGTATCTGACTTTTTGTCGGTCAACCCATCCATGTGTGATTGATTGATTAATTTTTATTCGACTAGCTTCCAACATACAACAATATACAATAATAACAGATCAAAAATAAGTCAGCTTGAACAGGATAACCCACGAAAGCTCGAGAGCTTATTTCCAGTGGGGTCCCTTACAGACATGTATAAAATTAATAAGTTAAAATAGTAATATTTACAGACAGATAAGAAAATTAAAAGAACCACTTATTAAAGGTAATAATAATAATAATAACATTAAACTGATGATAGAAATGATATTAAGTACAAGAAGAAAAAGAAGAAGGAGAAGAAGAAAAAGAGGAAAAGGAAGAAGAGGAAAGTAATGATGAATTTGTAGAATTTCTATAACGTACGGAAACATAAGTTAAAATGCTACTCCCGATTCCTTACACAACTACACAACACAGTGAAAGTGTCTAAGCTTAAGGAATTGTTATTTTGTTTCATGGACCATGGTGTTATGAAAAGGCAAGGGACCTGTGATGATATCACCATACACAGAGAGCCCCCCTCCCCCCCCCCCCCCAAGAAGAAAGAATGCCCCATCTCCATATACATCCCAATTGGAAGATCTTCTTGTGCATAATTTTTGTCCCTCTATCTCGGTACCATGTAGATGGCAGTACTATTTCTTCTGTTTGTTTTAACTCCACACTGCCTATATCTGCACATACTCCCATCAGTATGAGGGTAGTATGTACACAGCTTGTACTCTTACCCTTTCCCAAATAAATCATTCCATGCATCCATGGATAACACATATCGAGTGGATTTTTTAAAAGAGAAAACTGCTTTACTGGCTGAGATCACAACGGCTAAATGAAAATAGTTTGTAGTATACTTACTTGCGTAGATCATTCATGAGGAACCAAACATACCTCCTTGCTTCATGAGGTTGACGACCTGGTATGATTGTAACATCACCCAAGAGGTTCAGAAACTTAAGTTTTATCCCAAGAGTTGTGGCCGCATTTTTACAATATGTTCCTTCTTTTGGGACTTTTACTTCCCCCCCCCCCTCCCCCCTGTGGTTATGGATTTTTCCCCCATATCGAATAAAAACATTAGCTTTAAAAAGTAGCTGTTTTTATTTACTCTTTGTCTCGTGGAAGAAAACAAAATCGTAGTATTATAATGTTTTCATAGAAGACATGAAATAGAATGGACGTAACTGAAACACCCTTCTCTCTCTGGCCTTGTCTCTTCTATTTTCTTCTACATAGATGTCACGTCTATCATTCTATTTTCCATCTCCTCCTGTCATTTTTTTCCATAAACGTGTATCCCATTTCACCCCGTGCTTGGTTGGCTTCTGTTACCGTGAATACAACGAAAATTATTTCTCTCCTAATATTCCTCTTATAGTACATAAATGTCTATGTTTCGCAAATAATTATCAAGCCCTTAATTTCCACTTGTGGAATAATCCTCCTTCATGATTCATTTACGTTATCACTGATTACTAATTAATTTACTCTAATAATATATCAGTCATATAATTGTTTGAGCTGTATTCAGTTTGTAAAGTAAATTTGGAAATTCATGAAGAGAAATAAATAAATAAATCAAAAATAAATCAAATCAAATGGTAAAGCAATGGTTTTACATGTCCTTCCCCGTTTCGACCCCCCCCCCCCCCCCCCCTCTAATAAATGAAAAGAAAATGTGCTCGTTAATTGGCCTACATGTACAGCTATGTTGATATCAATACGGATAGTGACAACAGGAAACAATCGCCCAATCAATATTCGCTTGGTTCAGTTGCTAGCATACTATGGCATATATGCATATGTTACCTTGTAGAGTTATCACCCTGCAAAAAAAATTATTTAATGGCATTAGATTAGAACATCGTGGACTATATGAATATGTTCCACAAAATATGTTAACAATATCAACAAGTTATTGAATGTATATAATTGCAGGTGATTTGCTGTGACAGTCCGTGGATGCTTGTTGTTCTTCTCATCGGAGCTTTTGTTCTATATGCTGAACTTATCGCCATGTACTTCGAACCCTGCGCAATTACCTGCTTTCTCGGAAAGTGGCTACGAGGTTGGGGTTTTGCTATTGCCTATGGTATGCTCGTCCTCAAAATTTACAGGTTGGTTGTATATTAATGATAATACAGGTTTCTTATATTTCACTTTACCCTTTACTGATCAAAGGGTTGACACTGTTATTATTAGCCCAGTCAATGGATTTAATTACTTTTCTGCACGTTACAGTGCACAGTGTCTCCCCTCACTGGAGACCATTCCAGCGTGTCGCCTTTGTATGGGCGCGCACATGCTAATCAAACAACAATGCCGTTCGCATCCTACAGGCTATCCCTTTACACTATGAATATGACGGACAAAGAAAAAGGACAAAATATACAGTTCCTCAGGTAGACAAAGGAACATCTCTTCCCTGCTATTATGTAAAAATGTGTAGAACAGGTGTCACATGCATATTCACCTGTTATACTCATTTTTTACATGATAATAGCAGTGAAGGGATGTTCTTTTGTCTACCACAGCAATTGTTGAGGGTAGAATGAGGAACTGTATACTTTGTCCTCTTTCTTTGTCCGTCATGTTCATAGTTTTAATACCTAGGTGGAGGAGCAATATTCCGGATATAGAAGTCGTGCCGGGCTCGAACCCACCACCTTTGCATTTCCAGTCAAGTGATTGACAACAATCTACTATGACACGTCTGCAATTTACACTACTTCAATGCATGTTTCGTCCAAGATATAGTAAATTTATTGTTTCATTATTCCACTCTCCTTTAACATTCTCTCTCTTCAATTATGTTATATTTGAAAGATGTTATAGTTGCCTATACCATACATAATTATATAGATTTTATGTAAATTGAATTGTATTCATTAATCACTTTCAATACTAAATCAGGAAACTGGCCATTTTCCAAACCCGATCTGCGACTCGTGTGCTTGTGCGTGACCGTGATGTCCTGAAGTGGCTCCTTCTCATCATTTTAGTTCTCTCTGGTTACCTGGCGGCTTGGACCACGTTCTCTGTACAGAGCATGCAGTATTGTGACGTCGATATCGTAGCTATAGGGCAAGATGCAGATGGAATGAAATTCTATACATGCGAAGTACAGTGGTGGGATTATGTCATAGATGTCAGTAAGTGCACATCGAAATCTAGGCAATTTGTTCAGTATAAATGAAAAATGTATTATTTATTTTCCCTTCCAAATGGCATAACACATAGCAACATATGTAGTAGTAGTATGAGTGATAAAACATTTAGACGTATATTTAGTTGTAGAGGTAGGAGTAGTGTATGTAGAAGTAATAGTATTACTACTAGTAGTAGTAGTAGTAGTAGTAGTAGTAGTAGTAGTAGTAGTAGCGGTGGTGGTGGTGGTGGTGGTGGTAGTAGTAAAGATAATATTAGTAGTAGTTATTGGATAACCAGTTGAAGTAGAGAGGGATGGGGAAGAGCTATATACATCCATTATACACATATGCCCCGATGATATGTTAATCAACTTTTGTCAGGTCAAATAATGATTCATCCTCTTGTATATGTTGTTATTATATTGTCATGCTTAGATTAACATAAATGATTTGAATAAGTGATGTCGAATGTAATTTGTGCATTGAATTTATGAGTAATCATGGTAATGTAAGTAAGTTTAAATAAAATGATGACACTAGATATAAAAACAAAAACGCTGATTAAGGATATTTCATGATGTTCCTTTATTCATCATTCATCAGACGCTATTTCGTCAGTCCCCCCCCCCCCCAGTATAAACGCACACAATCCCCCCAAAAGTTGAATATTCGATTAATCTGTGATACTAACTAGCTCTTGACTTTCTCTTCCTCTCTACGCGTACAGTTGAATTCCTTTTCCTTCTGTTTGCCATCTATCTATGCTATGCGGTAAGAGGTGCACCGTGTGAGTTTCATGAAACAAGATACATCACAATAGCCATCTATAACGAGACCATACTCTCCGTCTTTCTACATGTTTTAAGGTAAGTTATAAAACTACCATAACAAAAGTATGACAAGTAACATACTTCCTTCTCCGTTTAAATCCATAATAGATATTTCAAAACATTTTCTAGAAAATGTCATCCTAGTTGATATTTTAGGATCTGTTGTTTAAAAAAAAACCAAGCAAGTCTGACGCTTTAGTTATTAAAAAGCTAATTTTGAGAAAACGGTGCAAAATCCACATTTGAAGAAAAAAAAATTGTTTTTATTTTGCATAAGCAAAGTTGAGAGTCATGAAAAGGCTTGCAAATATTCATATTCTGATCATTAACAGATATTATGAAAAATTCTCTCATAAAGTTAAAAAACAGATTGAATACAAAATCCTAACGCTTGTCGTTAAGGCACTCCACAATACTCCACCTGAGTACCTGAAAGATCTCCTCACCATAAAGCAATCCCATAACTCACTCCGTTCCTCTGTCTCTACCATCGTAGAAGTCCCCAGAAACAGAACCACCATTATGGTGATCGTGCATTTGTGCATGTCGCACCAGTCCTCGGGAACAAGCTACCAAATGACATTCGAAATGTTCAATGCCTAGAAACTTTTCAGAAACATGATGGAAAGCTCTTTTTACTCAGAGTTACTAAAGATGTTATGTTGTTAAATTCTGGAGAAAGATTTGCGTATTTTGTTTTGTTTAGCGCCTTGAATAAGTTATCAGATAAGTGCGCTTCATAAGTATTTATTATTTTTATTATTATTATTATGATCGATGCCTTATTTAGTAATTGACCCTTCATTAGCTAAGATTCAAACGTTAAACCATAAGTTAAGATGTGCAAAATGAACTTATTATAGGAATTGGTTGAACTCAACCTGGCCAACCCGTATTATATATCAGTCAGTGTAAAAAACAAAAATTATGTTTAAATCTATTATTTTAAGAAATATGTCTTTTATTGAATAATTTTTTTGTCTGAAGATTGATCTTTAAAACAGAAACTTGTACTTTTTTTCGTATTTCGTCATGTTTTGCTCGAGTTAAGTTGACGGTGCTTAAGAATATAAAATATGAATTGAGCGTGTTTCGTCATGTACTGTGAAGGATTAATTATAGCTGTATTTGTATCTTATTTTTTACTTTTTTACTTAAAGACATTTTCTGTGGTCGACCACGCCGCCTGACTGGACTTTTCTAATGACGTTCATTCATTCTCAACTAACTATCACTGTCATGGTATCCATTATCTTCATACCAAAGGTAATTACTACATGGCTATGCAAAGCATCGGTTTTTCTTAAAAACTTGTTTATGAAAATCTTGCGATGTACTTTTAGTAGTCCACGCGACTTCGCATTACATAGGTAAATGGCATGTCTGTGTTTATATCAGTACAAAAGAAAGAGATGATTAGAAAAAGTGACTAAGAGAGAAAGGGATATTCCCTCTTTGATTACGAACATATTAATTTGCATTTATTTTCTAACTCATAAAAAAGTAGTGAACAAAATCAATGTCGTTTTAACGATAACTTCGGTATTTACACGACAAACTTTTGGTAAATAACATAAGGTTCTAATGAAACGCAACTTATTAACAATTCTTTTACTTGAAATGCACAAAATGCTAGGGGTGTTGCAGTACAATGTTGATTGCGTGATTGTCGGTAATATGGTATCTTGATTGCCATGTGAGCATAATTATGAATTGGAATGAATAAACATTATTGGTAATGACTAGGAATAATTCAACAATGACCGGAGCAGGTTGCAGGCTTATTTAATGAATGTAACTGATGAATTGGACATCAAAACTTTTGGCCCCCTCCCCCTGCTCTCTCTGCAGTGATCACCTAACAACAAAGAAGACGAAAGACTTTATGCATGACTGATCGTCAACGAAATGGAGTTTGTTGTCTGTTGCTACGGCAGGCAACCAGTGAAAAAGAATTCGTTTATTGAAATTATGGAAATGCAAGCATTACTTTAAACAAACAGAACTTTGTTATTCCTGGCTCATTTTTCCTAATTGAGGTGTCATATAAAAGAGTAGAAATTGAACTTTTTGGAAATGTGGTTTTTGTTTTCTTGAAATTCAAATACCGTTCGCCAAATGACTTTTTGGTTCCCTTTCTTCAAATTGTTTTTAGTCGCTCATACGTCAAATATGTATCATATGAGTTGTATCAAATGAAAGAGGAAGATCTAAGCTTTACAAATATGTGTCATTTATTGATTATGATTGTGATTAAGTGATGATAAAATATCGATAATTCTCGGTATCATATTTTCTGGGACGCACTGTATATACCAGGACGAGACGCCTGATGATTATTATAAAGAAGTTCACTTTCCTTTAAGGCACACGTGGCACCAAACAAAATAATACTAATATTGATAATTGATTTTTGTTTCCTTCTTCCTGTAGCTAATAGTGTTACATAAGCTGATACACAACGAGGAGTTTCGAGAACGGGTCAACTCTCGGGTGGTGTATGATGCCGCTAGCAAGTGGCAAAACTCCACTTTCCTCAAACAGAACTCGACGTCTAATCCTTCTAACGATCAACACTTTAATGCAGATGATGTGCGGGTAAGTCAGATGAAGCTCACCAGACTCGTATATTAACATAAGATAATTTACCAAGAGTCCGTTTAATAAGGCTTTACATAATACCCTAGTGCCCTCTTCTACACACGAGTTTCCATCTGAAGGATGAATGTCTTACCACAGCGCGGTCTCGGGAGCGATAATAACTCTACTGTATGTCCCATAGAAATCATGTTCAGATGTTTACATAATGGGTCATTGTAATGTTCGCTCATTTTAAAAGAAGACGTACAAGGCCATTGAAGGTTCCTTGGGTTGATTTTTCGAATGAGGTTCTGATCGTGTTCCAGAGGAGGCGTTTCGCAATCATCCTCACTTTATTGCTTGCTCTCTGTGAGGAAATTTATATACCTCTCTTTAGTATGTTGAATAAATCTAGCAACCTGATTGGTCGAAATTGGAGTCGTTATTTTAGCCATACCCGCCTACCTGCGCCTTGGGGTCATAGCAGGATGTAATATAACATGCATACCCCAAGGGGCTCATAATTGGCTATCATACCTTTTTTAATGTTTAATGTGGAATGTTATCATGCAAATGAGTTCATTGTTAGCATAACTGTATTTCCCTCACTCTATATAGGAGGAGCTAAAACGGTTGTACACTCAACTGGAACTCTACAAGACCAAGTCTCTGAGAATAGACAACCCTCACCTACCTTCCAAGAAACGTTCAAGCGGACCTAGGTGGCGCCCTCCACGCAGATTCTCTAGAGGTCACAGTCTGCGTACCCACAGTGGTCATTCAGAGTCCGAGTTCTCTTCGGAAATCGCTCGTAGTAACGAGAGCCTCACGAAGGCTGTCGAACTGCACGATTACAGGCCGAATCATGTCGATGGTTTAGAGGCACATGGGCATGTCAACCAAAAGTGGTCGCCACAGTCGTGACGCTTAGAGGAAAACGACATGTGATTGGGCAATTCAGTTTTTGTTCAGAGTATAATTTTAAGGAACGATGACCACAGCTTTGAAATAATTATCGCAGCTTTGATCCAAACATTGTCGAAAGTACTCTCATAAGTTCAGAAGGACTTTCTTTTGAATACATTTTTAATGTCCCCTATTGTGATAACTACAAGAGATGGAAAAAAAATTAAGTCCAATCATGCATTATTAAAAATTGTTATTTTGCAGAAAGATTGAAGATGCTTTCCATTCTTATAATAAAACATTAATATATAAGTGCCATTCAGCCAGTCCGCCAGATCTGTCTTTACTGTTCCGATTTTAGTATCATACAAAATAATAGTGATCCAAACACGCGCTCTAAATGGTATAAAATAATGTAGTGACCACAAATTGCCAAATTAAAAGAAATTGTTGTTATTAGTGCATTCCAAATCATTTCTTTACGTTATAGCATATTACCGTGCTGTAAGAGTAGAAGCTTGATGCACCAGCTTTGACTGGCGCCAAGTCCAGCTTCCTAAATTAGGCGTTGATGCATGTATTTGTACAAGGATTAAGTCAGGCCTAGTTCTCGACTATTGCAGTTTTTCCTATAGCAGCCAATAGCTAGCTGCACTCTTATGAGATGCTAGTAGCTCTTATAACTAATATAATGTATGCTTTGCGCCCGTTCCAAAAAGGGGCATCATTACCTATAGATACATGTACTATACTAACCAAAATTATAAACCAGGGGTGGCCATTTCTTGTCATGACGAGAGACGTGGTATTCAAAGAACCCTAGCGACCGAACGTATAAGGATATGTGAGAGTACTCCTCTCCCCAATAGTCAAGTCACGCCCATGTTATTTATATTTGTGTGCATTTTGCATTCTGTAGTTGGATATTATGCATCAGTGGCGTGGCGTAGCACGTGCCCCCCACCCCCCCCCCCCTCCCCCCATCGGATGACAAAAGGAGATGAAGGAAAATGATAAAGAATGTGTGGTGATAATATAAGAAGACACATTAGTCGAAATTTTCTTCAAAAATTAAACTATTATGTGAATCAGTAACGTGGGGACGACATGATAAATCTTAAATGAAATCTGTTATAAGCGGAGCATTGAACGATTATCGAAAAATGCTTAGAGTAGATCCGATCTGCGCCCTTGGTGAAGTACATGTACAGCAAAGAAGGAAATGAAATGGGGATAGGAGTGAAAGATAGTAGACATACGGGAAAGAGACAGAGAGGGTGTAAATGTGTGTCCGTTTCACTTTAAAATGCAGGGTTCCCATCCTTAATGAGCAAGCGTTATATCCCTCCAGGCCTAGTCAATCTGTTCCCACAAATTTAGACCATCTAGTACATTGTTTTTCAATCGGGGTGCCGCGAGAGAATTTTAGATATAGTTTTAAAAAAATTAAGAAAAATTGGAATAACGTCAGAAACCGCAACTTGCCCAAATATATCACTTTTGGGAATTTGATGAGGAACTAACATTTCAAAGATAGTAAAATGTCTGTTAAAACAAAATTCAGAAACGGGATAGTTTCAGGCACCGAGGTCCATGAATATCCCCATGTGATGTTATGATGATATTCGGACACCTCACTGTCCGAATATCGTAATGATTCGTGCAGCATGACGCCAGCATATAACCTTATTTCTTGTAATTTTGTATCGAAATAAAATGTATAACACAAGTGTCATTTTCCCCGTCTTTCGCTTTCTTCACTGTAACGCAAATTTGATGAACCAGGATAATTCCTAGCAACGACATGACCGAATGTCTAACTTTACAAATATTGACTAAATAACATTTTTTTTCCTAAATAAAATGAATTTTGTTTTGCTCACTAGATTCACGGGCTGGCTCGCAGCATTTGGGATCTGGATAATATATTTTCTGGCGAGAGGCCCTCACGACCCTCAAGCGAAAATTTGCCCGTATGTCTACGTATACGAAGGATGGTTAACACATCCTCTTTGATGATATTTGGATTTGGTGACGCGAATTTGTTTAACTCAACAAAAGTTTGAAAAACGCTGATCTACTAGAAGGAAAACTGGTGACCCCCCCCCCCCCCCACACACACACACACACTTTACATGGGTGGTGAGCCTCTTGAGATTGAATGAATATTTGACATGTACATACTGCACAGCACCTGGCTGTAATATAAATATATCTTCATGGTTTTTTTTTTAATACGTATCATATTGTCCTTTAATATATATACGCTATTCTTCTCTAAAGATAAACATCAACATTCTTTTCAATGAATAGTTTGAAGAAAAAAACGTTTAAATGAATGTAATTGTATAGACTGTTTTTATCATTTACCATTTTACAGAAGAGGATATTTCATTAATGAGCAATAAAAATTATGATACCAAGTTAAGTTTGTTACACAAAGTTCTATCCACAAAATCAAATTCCTAACTAAAATGTGTGTTAATTATCTTGACATTTATACTAACGTTAGTGACGCCCTTGATGATATAAATGATCGTTATGATAGCGTATATAAATTAACTCAATATAAAATATCTATGATGATAATTAAATAAATATAAGTCGCAAATTATAGTAACAATTAAAATAAAGAAATTTACATCAGTGAATAATATAGGCCTGCATTGTAACTTTGGTAATAATAAAGATGTGAAACCCTACATATTTGTATGCAAAAGTTGACTTTCTGACTATTGTTTGTTGCAGAAATTATAATATTATGTTATTGATGCAGAAAGACTCACCACTTAGTCGGGTCAAACAAGCAGTGAATGCATTGAAAGGAATCTTACTCAAAGATATAACCAATTATTGTTTGATAAAGGCCCTGTGCTCCAGGCGCGAATCCAGGATTTCTTAGGGGAGGGGGGTAGTGAGCACTATTTTTTTTTTTTTTTTGCTCCCGAAAATTTGAAAATCGCGCCGGTCGAAAAGTCGCTCAGTGGGGGGAGGTAGTGAGCACATTTTTGGTCCTCGAAAATTTAAAATTTGCACCCCCCCCCCCCCCTTGAGCGTCAGGGGGGGGGGGGGGGGGGCAACCGCCTAAAAAAGGTAAAAATCACGTGTTTTTACATGATTTTTTTTTCTCCCCCCCCCCTGGATCCGCCACTGCTGTGCACACGAGGCGTTATTTCCATTATGCCATTCATGGACATTCAGGGATATGAATAACAGTGTACACTTCCGAATTGAATACAGAACATTTGCGTGACACTGTAGGTGCAGCCGCCGTTTTCTATAGTGGCGTAATATTAACTACTTTCTATGGGCTAGGATGTAAATTGCACACATTAGTTGTTGCTAGGTAGGATGCTACCTAACAACATGTAATATATGCAATTTGCATTTTGTCTATTGAAATACAATTATTCGTAACAGGTGAATGAAATAATTCGAATCGAGGCACTTAAGTATATAAGCTTGGTTACAAGTTATTACGAAAATACCCAATTGGAGGTAGTTGAATAACGCTTTAAACGAATCGGCAATTCAGATCATCTTCATCGATTCGAAAGTCGAACTCAACAAGATTCGTATTTCATCCGATATGTCTGACCTAATCCCAACTAAGCCCTTATGTATATTTCATCTGCACTCTGACTATGGCATACAATGGACAGGTTTAGGCGCAAATACTTGATTGAGAACAATATGGGGTCATATGCGACAATGTACTGTATTTGGCGGAACTGAATAACGGGATTTACTCCGAGACATTCATGCTGCAAAAAAAAAGGAAACAATCAGACAAAACCCATGTATACACCCCCCCCCCCCCCCCCCCTACACTTACAAAATTGGTGTCAAAAGGGATTTTAACCGTAGCGCTGTAAAGTATGACGAAATGGTTTATAATAATAATAATAATACATATGATTTATAAGGCGCCAAATCCACTTGACAGTCAAATGCTCAAGGCGCAGCTTGTGCAAAAGATGAAATACATACATGATACATTTATACAAAGTGCGATAGGAAAGGTACAGACATGAAAGGTAATGGTAATCAATTATAAGCTAAATTAAACAGATATTTCTTAAGATTGTTTTTTAACACCTCAGCAGAACTGCTATTCTTAACCCATTGAGGGAGAGTATTCCATAACGAAGGCCCAGCATGAGCGAAGGTTCGTTCCCCCCCCACTTTGTTTTAACCCTAGGAGTAACAAGTAAGCCAGAGTTTTGAGAACGTAGCTGTCTAGAAGGAAAGTAATGCTTAATCAAGCCGATGTTATACTGCGGAGCAGAGCCATGTATACAGTGAAATAATAGCAAAATAATCTTGAAAACAACACGTTTTTCTACGGGCAACCAATGGAGTGATTTGAGGACTGGTGTGATGTGACTGTACTTGTTGGACAGGGTCACGACACAAGCAGCAGCATTCTGTAATCTTTGTAATTTTGCGAGTAGGTTGTGAGGCGAACTAAACAAAAGGCCATTACCAAAATCCAAGCGAGAAGAAATCAAAGCATGAGTAATTTTCTCGGTGGCACCACGGTTAAGATATTTACGAATAAAACCCAAATTGCGTAACTGATAACGTACTGATTTTGAGACATATTGAATTTGAGTAGACATTTTCATGTTTGAGTCGAGAAACACACCAAGGTTGCGACATACATTAGATAGGGTAATTTCATGTCCAGCAAGAGTAATTGAAGTGATGGAAGAAATCTTCTCTAACTGAGTCTCAGAACCATACATTATAAATTCGCATTTGGCGAGATTTAATTTCAGTGAATGTGAGTTTAACCAATTATGAACATCTTGTACACAAGTCTCAATGTTATGGATAGCGCTGGCTGCATTGCTCTGATTGGGTTTGAAAGAAGTATATATTTGAATATCATCAGCATAAACATGATTGATTGATTAAAATGATTTATTAAGTAATGTATGACCTAGATCACTAGATACATTTTTGACAATCAACATTGCAAAACGCGACTGATATTCTCTGATGAGTACAAGTTAAACTAAATGGAATATGAGAAAAACTTGAAGGAAAAAAATAATTTACAAGTCAATTCTTTTTATACAAGCAAATTATATGACTCGTCATATAGAAGGCATCTGCTTGTAACGTTGTTGGTTTTGTTTGATGGTAATTGCTCAGTTTATAATGTCCAATAACTTGTTTTGTTTTAATTGAATGAAATTATTGGGCAGTACATTTAAGTACTATATGAAAAAAAATCCGTAGAGCTGGATGCATTTTCATGAATCAAATTCAAATGTTTTCTTGTGAAACCCAGCGGCTTTAGATTGTTCTGTTCCTGTGAACGGTCGGTAGTTCGGTACAGATAATGTAATCTGTCATGCCTATTGTGTTTGGGGGAATGTGGTGAGCATAGCTTCGTGACATATTCTAAGGGACAATTAATTTGAATCTTGTTTACACAAAGAGAAAAAATCAATCATATCAAACGTATTAGTTTATTTGGTTTATGAGTTTAAAGCTTCAGCAAAGCCCTTTAGCCGAGACAACATTTTATGAAGGAAGTGAATGTCCTCATATATATATATATATATATATATATATATATATATAAAAGTGCGAGAATTCTCAACTCTGACATATTATGTACCATGCAGAATACACGAGCTCATGAATTATATGAATTTATGGATTCTGCTACCTCATGACCTTAATGAAGTATTGTATTTAGCTTTTATGCTGTATTGTACTTTTATTAGGCAGAATAAACTGAATGTCACATTGTGTATTGCTACGTCAGGACAAGAAGATATAGTTGTCACTCATAACTATTGTAGACGCATTCTTGAATTTGAATATATTTATGAACTGGTCTTTTCCTTGTCATGAAAATAGGCAGCATTACACAATAAGAACCAAACAAACCCGTGTGTGATGTACTTTTTCAACCAGACTTTCGTGTTTGTATGTACAACTGTATAATAACGTAATCTATACGTGTATATTGATTTGCCAAGTGGTCGACTTTCATTTATGATAAGTAGTGTGTATGAGCTAATAAGTTTGTTATAACATTATACATATAGTTTCATAATGAATTGCTTATTTAACATCTGTTCTTGGTCTTGAAAGCTAGGTGCACGATAGGTTATTTGCGAGTAAGGGTAACTAACGATACAAGGGATATTGGTTTATTAATACATCTGGAATAGTGACTTTTCTAAATGTGACCAACTAATACTGGATATGTTTGCTATTATTCTCATTTAAAACAAATCATTATAGGAGTAAGTTTGCTAAATGATATTCATGGTGTATAATGTAGAAATGATCTACCTTGCTGGCTTGTATTTTATGCGGTTTGTATCACAATGATTGAATTTATTAAACATCCACGTGACTCATTATAAACGGTAATTAGGGAGTCTGGTCTGTCCTTATCACCACACCATTAGAAGCACGATAATGCTGCTCTACTCGGATTAGTGCGGGGTCGACAGGTGATTTGAAGAAGAGAAAGTGCAAGAGAGGGAGAGAGAGAGGGAGAGAGAGAGGGGGGAGAGAGAGAGAGAGAGAGAGGGGGAGAGAGAGAGAGAGAGGAAAGAAGATGAATTTGAAAATACCTTCAAAACAATTATTATTATTATTATTGTTTATTAAAACAAAGAAAGAAAAAGGAGCACAAAGCTAAAGATAGTAAATACGCTCAAAGCGATGCATTGCTATAAGGAGAAATACACAGAGGAACATACCAATAGAAAACAGGAAAAGAAAAACAATATAGAAAACGAGAAAATCTTATTAAAGATGAAGTTGAGTTCTGGTCATGCGATTGTATTGTGAAAGAAACGGTGTGGAATCGACCAGAAAAGGTTGATCATCTAGCATATAAGAATTTGTGTGTATTGCAAGGATCTGGAATCATTAAACTGATAAGAAATTTGGCCAAGTCTTGGTAAAGTTACAAACACTGTACACAGAAAGATGTATATGGGACTACACGAACACGTGAGAGCCATGCTTTCAGGGAACATGTCTTATCTTTGTCCAGAACTCAACCTTCTCTTTAAACAGAGACTATGGGAGAAAGATGCAAAATAAATTTGAAATAAAGATGAGTAGAGACAAACGGATGAAAACAGAGATGGAGAGAAAGAGGTCAAGAGAAAAGGGCCAATACAATAAAATGAGAAAATATGAGTGGGATAGAGAGGCGTAGAATTAAAAGGTTTACCTTTACATGTACCATATATTATCTATTCTAAATATGTACCCCACCATCTCTCTCTCTCTATCTGTCTGTCTCTCTGTTTCTCTATCTCTCTTTTAACCAATTTTTTAAAGCCAATCACTCGTTTTAAAAGGATATAATCCATCTCGAAAACACAGATACATATGTATAGTAGATCAACTTTAGCATAATAACCAATACAGAACCTTTGAATTCATTCTGAATTTGAAGCAAGATGGTACTTTGTCGAATCAAAATGTATTTGTAAACATCTAAATGATCTAATTTTGTTTGAGTTCCTTGTACCAGGGTATCAAGAAAGAATGAATTTAGATGTGTTCTGCACATATCACATACATGCATTATTTCATCTTGATGCATTCTGTATACAGAATCTTGCATGACACGATTCAGCCCCAAAATGACTTTTCCCAATAATCATATCTTTCTTTTGTGCAATCTGTTGTGTTCTAAACCAATATAATATATTCAGGTATACCAGCAAGAAACGCATGCAATTATAAATTATTCTCCCAGTTACCAAGCCTATAATATACTTGAAAGAAAACAAGAAGAAAAGATGTACACCAGTCAAAAATATGCAAGCAGTATTTTTTTCTTACTTTAGTACATTTCTTATTTTTATTATTTACAAGCATTTGCTGCGAGTGAAAGAATTGTTTTCTGAGTATTACACCTCAACAAAAGACAATAATGAATGATAATTGAAGTGATTACATCATAGAAAATATAATATAGACATGTACATAGACAAACAAGAATTTAAATTTAAAAAACAAATTACAGTCTGACATTTTATTACATCCGACAATTGATAAAAAGCTCTTTCATTTTCTCATTTAGTCAAATATGAAAGACACCCCTTTTAAATCAAATGAAACTATAGCTGCCTAACTCTTTGAGGAACATTTTAACAAAGAGCAATTATTTTGAAGTGTTCTAAAAATCGTTTCTTTCCTCTGTTTAACAATAAAGATTAAAAAAGTGGCGTTGTGTGTTCAATAATTCACACTAAACTGACATTAAAAAGATAGCTGTTACACTGCTACAGTCTCTTTCTCTTTCTCTGAATCCCCTTCAGGTATCCTTCAGGTATCCTTCAGGTATCCTTCAGGTATCCTTCAGGTATCCTTCAGGTATCCTCTCACATTTACCAACAGCTAAAGGTAATGTAAAGTTTGGGTAAAAACTTTTCATAAGATTTCATAGATTTTATATGGTAAAGAGGAAGATGGCTATTTTTTATGAAGCCTCTATTTATTAGACCATCTATAGTTATTGTTAACATATTTGCAGCACTATATAACTACAAATACAGGATAATGTGATTAAGAAGGATGTGAGTTAACTCATCTTACAAATATGATATGTGCTGTCCCTATTTCCCTCGAAGGTAAACTAAAAAAGTACATCCTCAAGACATGGCTAACATTTCAAAAATATCTACTTTTTTATCCTCCACCAAAATAGATTCAAAAACATTTTGCAATGATTACTTTATTTTGAACCATTTTGAACGTATTTTAATAACATTATTCATCGTTCCAAATGTAAAATATAACAAGCAAATGAAATGCAAGACATTGGACATTAAGTGTGTGTGAAGATCACATAAAATCAAGAATCTTGACAACTAATGATACACAGTCACATAAAATAGTTTGATAAACATCATAATAGTGGAATTGGGTCTAAAATGATTGTTAAAAAATACGAGTTCCCAATATAGTTTTTGGAGAAGCTTGTAGAAAATCCATAAAATAGATAATTACAAATACTCAAGTTATGAAACATGAAGTAAAGTGTCATTGGCATGTAGAGGGTGATGGGGGGATCTTATGACTACAATGTCTACTACTATAGTTAATACCCAAATAGTGATGAACACTAGTATCAGGTCTGTATCCCAAATATCCCTTGACATGTCCTAGTAATAAATGAATACATGTGCATACTAATAAATAGCCTTGAAATAATGTCTCCTTTTTTTGTCTCACATTACAAACATTTGAGACTACAAAAAATACAAAACAATACTGAGACTGACTTTATATCTTTCAATATTGTATGCCAAATATCTTTATGATATCCAATGATTAATACTAATTCAACTGATCACATGTTACATTTTCATACCTATCATAATTACATTATAGTAAATACATTTCAGTTAGATACAATATACATGTACATGTACAAGAGAGGGTCAACATAAAGTCAAATACACTACTCTTTTAAGTATTTAACATCTTTCCGTGACTCACTTGTTTATCATACCATGAACATTTGTTTTCTATAATACATAAAACAAACATGTTTTATTTCTCCATTTGAGAAGTTCATGCACATGTATTAATAAATAGAGTTGAAAAAGCTTCAGTTGTAAAGAAACAAAATAAAATGCAGAAAATATATACTCTGTATAAATATGAAGAGATAAATAGAAAAATTAGGCAATTTTCCTAGTAGTAAATACAAGAAAGCAGTCTCTCTTCCTCTCTTAAAACATCTTTAAAAACAAGTCTCCCTAATAATCCCATTAAGATCAATCTACATGTATCAACAAATCTGAAAGGTCCCCTAGACCTATCCCCCCCCCCCCCCCCCACCTTAAGACTTAAAAGTTGAGAGAAAATATACAACCTAAAATAATTTATCAAAAATATTAATAAGTAAACTTCAAGCTTTAGTTGAGATATACCTTCAGCAGCATCAATTAAAATTAGTACATGTATGTTAATATCCCATTATTAGTTATCCTCATCAATATCATTTATTATATCATTTCCTTAGAGTCAGAAAGGCCAATATACTATTACATAACGCCTTTCAGCCTCTCAGCAGATAAAATGTAATACTGAACAAAACTATGAAAACTTGTAACATGACTGTGAAGACTTTGAAACTGACACAAAGTCAAGAATGCTGATGTTTTATAGTGATTAGGTACTGTATATTAAAAGAACATAAAAGTGTACATACCAAGGAAAAAAGCACCATAAAAATTATGAACAAATGGTTTATCATAATTGTGTAAGCGTACTTATATAGATTCCACAGGTTACAAGCAGGGTATGAGCAGGGTAAAAGCTTTACTTACCATGGTAAAAATTGTCAAGGTTTAAAGTTTGAACTTTAGTAGCATTAAAATAATAATAGTAATAAACATGTATGCATCTTTTGATAGTTCAAGGCGCTAAATGTATACAAGGTAATAGAGCATGTCAGTACTATTGAAGCGAGATATGAGTAAGTACTTCAAATGTACAACATCATTAAAAAGTATCCATTAGAAAAAAAAAAGTACATTTCAACTGCAAGTGAGAATCCTTCTTAATAAAGTACTGTTAAATGATTAGTGACTATTTTGAGCATTTGTAATCTTTCATTTTTCTAAATGAAAGCAGGAATTTTTATCTAAAAAAACAAGAATACATTTCAGGGCAAGATTTAGTCCTTTCACATCTCTTTCCTAAATTCATTTTTTTCTTTAAAGGCAATAAATATTAGTAAATATTAGCTAAACAATGAGTAAGATGCATTATTTATTTCTCTTATACAAGCCATCACCTTAACATGACAATAATCATGAATATTATTGTCAAAAATATTAAAGTCCTATTTACAAATAATCATGAATGTAATAGTTGAAAATCTGCACATAGAAGTAAAATGAGTCTACCAATATCTTACATGTATAAGCAGGACTTTCTTTTTCATTTTTTATAAAAGTTATGGAAATAAAAATTTACCCGTACTATATTTTTATGAAAATAACATTGTTGCCAAAACTACACCCTCTTACAACCTCCACAATTAGAAGAGAAGAAATACAATGTCAGTTCTTCTCCCTGCTTCATAATAGCACAATCCTTATTCCTCCTGCTTAGGGACTCAAACCATCACAATCCTTATTCCTCCTGCTTTGAGACTCAAACCATCACAATCCTTATTCCTCCTGCTTTGGGACTCAAACCATCACAATCCTTATTCCTCCTGCTTAGGGACTCAAACCATCACAATCCTTATTCCTCCTGCTTTGAGACTCAAACCATCACAATCCTTATTCCTCATGCTTTGGGACTCAAACCATCACAATCCTTATTCCTCCTGCTTTGAGACTCAAACCATCACAATCCTTATTCCTCCTGCTTTGAGACTCAAACCATCACAATCCTTATTCCTCCTGATTTGAGACTCAAACCATCACAATCCTTATTCCTCCTGCTTTGAGACTCAAACCATCACAATCCTTATTCCTCCTGCTTTGAGACTCAAACCATCACTGTGTTGTTCAGATAATATATTTCATAATTTTAGTTTTCATATAGTTTTTCAGTTTTACAAGCGAAGGTCAAGACATCTTACATGATTATATTCTCAACATTTCAAGTTAACTTAGTTCCCTTGTGATGTGATTGCTAAGCAATGAAGCAAACTACACATTGGCACAATAAACAAAAAGGGTTCTTTAGCCGGAAGCAAACGCACGCTTCTTTAGTGTACTCTCATATGGGTAATGAATACTGTGCTGTATTACATGTAAATACTGCCTTGACATCATTTGGATCTTGACATAGTTTGGATGACATAAATACTTTAAAACACTTGTATCTTAACCATAACTTGCGAATAGACATATTAATCAAAATACAATGTAAAACAGCTTCTATCCAACTTGGACCAAATGTTAAAATATAGTCTTTCTGTGACTCCAAGGAAGTAGGATAGCACGAGAGCTGAGTTCAGGAAGCTTTTATTTCACACCCCAATCAAGTTTGTGACTGAGTGCTTCAATCATCATCATCATCATCATTCTGAAGAAGTCTCTCTGTGTCTCGTTGTGGGAGGTCAACAAACTTCTTATTTTCTAAGCTTAGCTCAGAGCCTCTTTGGTTGAGATAGGAGTTGTACACAGGATTCGTAAAGTTGGTTCTTGCCTGCAAAATAAAAAAAAATGAACAAAGATCAGCAATAAAAACAGAAATAGAATGCTTGATACGACTTTGGGGAAATTATGTGAAATATATCTCTGTTGGTTATATAACCTTTTGAGAAAGACAAAATTGACAATACCATACCCCCTTAACTTTCTTTGTACTAAAATGCATGGTATCAAATAATTGTTTGCTAAAATAAGAATTATAACAAAGCTGAAAGTTTCTACAAAAAGTAGTTCCTGAATTCATAAAGATTTGGGTGTGTCACCCTTTTTGTTATCAGTCTACAGACTGCTCATATGATAAATGGATACTGGTATCAAAGCAGGAGTACATGTGGTGAATGTCAAGCCAATGATTGTGAAAACACTTGATAACAGTCCCTACAAGTAACGTTGGTTTACTTGTTATGCATCCATTTATCATGTACATGTAGCTAAGCTACAAATATAAAGTAAACACCAACCACTGTTCTGGGGAAAATGTACAGATATACATGTACTAACAAGACTACCCCCCCCCCCCCCTACTATGAGAACAAAATACATCATAGCAGTAAAGATATGAATGAGAGAAAAGGGTCATTTAACATGTAGGTAATCAGGCATACCCCTGTAAATCACACTTGTGCATGAACATAAGAAACCAAAAAAAATAATAATTTATAAATAAAAATGCAAACACTCAAAATTCTATATGCAAAATGTTCAGCAAAATCAGAGGTAATATCAAAGAGAGAGGACATATATGTAAATCTACACTCAAGTCATTAACCTTCAAACAGACATTCTTGCAGACCGTCAGATTTCATTGCAATTTAATTTGCTTTGTTTGTTTTTTTATTTCTTCACATTCTAAACCTAATATACAAATGGAACCTTGAAATAAAGAACACTGATATAACAAGTTCTCAATATAATGAAGTAATCTTGCCAGTCAAACTAACCCTGCTAAGACAAGATTTTGATACAAAGAGTAAATTTCTTTGGTCCTAATGAATTTGTAAAAGTGAAGTTCCACTGTTTAAGATTTCATGAATGTACCATTTTATTATTAAGTTTGTTACAGAATTACAGTAATTTGTTTGGCATAAAGAGATTAACACTTTACACCAGATCAATGGACTAATTTGAACCAGATAGTTTATGATTATAAGCCATTCACTTTTACTTGAAACATACATGTGATCTATTATTCAGTGCTCAATAAATGACACATATAGTATCAATGTACTTTCAATGAAAGCTCTACAGGTACCACAGTATCAAGACATTACATGCATGAAGTACATGAACAAACATGCAACTGGGACATATCAAATATTCAATTACTCTGTATTTAAATATTAGAGCCAACTGGAAGATCATCATTCTCTGTATTCAATCTTTGGTAGAGAGGGTTAGTGTGTGATCCTGAGACCTAGCATAAGATCAGTTAATTGGAAATGGAAGAAAAGTGATTGAGAAATGAGCGTGGTAAGAACTAGAATATTAGTGAGTACTTGTACTCCTGAATAAGTACAAGATTTAAATTGAATAAAGTATTAAGAACGTACAAAAGTTTGAAAAGACTAATGAGGCAAGTGATCAGTCATGCAACACAGCATGTGATCAGCAGTTCAGAAAAGGAAAATAAGATGAGAATGAGAATGCTTTGGTATATAATATATACCAAGCAATGTAATATTGAGAATAAGAGAAATGTGCATGTCTATACAGGAAGATACAACAAGAAGAGAGAAATAAAGACTACAGAAGCGGGAAAAAACAGAAAAAAGGGGGGAAATTTTGTCATAATACAGAGAAATGAAATACTAAAAAAATCAATAAACAAAGTAACAAAACGGATTCCCTGTATACCTCAGTGTACTTAATGTGTCAAGGATGTATTCAATTAACAAACAAAGTAACCCTACGGATGCCCTGTATACCTAAGGTAACAAGGATGTATTAAGAACTCATGATGATTTTACAACAAATTTGATGGTAAAATTCATAGATTTTTCAACGAGTATTGATTAAGTACTCATTTTAGTATTTGTTAATTCAGTTTCACAAGTACATATACTCTATACATACCTAGCCGGTATCTGATATTTCATGTAATATAATTTCATTTATACTAACCTACAGTATGGCATGAACTCAAAGTTCACAAAGCATTGTGATAGGTACACACTTATCTTGAGCTAGCTAGAATCCTGGATATACAAGCTTACATATCAAGGGTTGGGAAGCTGAAGCCCTCTTTAACCCTATATAGCCCGGGCTATCTTGAAACTGCATAGCCCGGGGGGGGGGGGGGGGGGGGGGGGCTTCTAAGGCCCCCCTATGATCTCGGCCGTGAAACGACCTATCGCCGCAAACATTTGCAAGCATGTCAAATGAAGTGTATAAAATACTATGGTAATTTCAATTTTTTTGAAAAATTCACTCATTTGCATATTTATGGTAATTTATGCAAATATGGTAATAACATTCACATGTTTATCCATAAATCATATATTCTTCATATTTAAACATTAATTTTAACTACATATATTATTTAGACCATTTGGGATAATAATACAGCCCAAAAAATTGGAAGAGCCAGGTTATTCCTTATGGTATCTATTGTTTTGATTATTTCTTATGTATTTCTTTGTTTTTTAAACTTATGTATTTTATTGTTTTTGTTGTTTTATTTAATTTCCAACTATAATTCAACTATTTTGACCCCAAAATAAACACCTAAACTATAAACAAGACCAATCCAATCCAATCCAAAAGATATTTGATATAGCGCCTTTTCCTTGCAGTTACAAAGCGCTGCACACATGCTCGACAATGTTTGGGCCACTTAAAAACAAAAGTTAGACACTTCTTAGAGATCAGCAAAGTATATGTAGGCTGGTAATAAAGTAATTTCTAGCAGAAAAGATGTGACTTGAGTAGTTTCTTGAACTGGTCAACAGATGAGGCAGTCTGCACAGCAGTAGGTAGTTGGTTCCACAGTTTTGCAGCAACCGATGGAAAAGACAATTCACCAGCACGTTTCTTAGAGAGACACCGAGTGAGCCAGATGGATGATGATGAGCGGGTATTTCGGACTCGAGTACGACGAACCAAGCAGTCAGCTATGTACGGGGGACATCGGTGGTTGAGAGACTTGTAGACTGTATTTCAAATTGGTTTATGTCACACACATGGCAGATTTATAGCAATGCTTGTCACTAACCAAATAACCAATGTTTTATCTCTTTATTTGAAAAATGAGATTTCCATATGTTTTGTACACAAATCACAAAAATGAGCGATTTTCGGGCTGACATGCAAAGACAAAAGGACACGTGACTTTGTAATGGTAGGTCCGATTTTCGTAAATTTTTTTTTCAAAATATGCGCAAGACTCGAAAGAAAAATTTCAGTGCAAGATTTTCTTGCGTTAAAAAATTATCGCGAAAAAATGTCGAGGGGGGGGGCTTCTAATTCTAAAGCCCCCCCCTCCGGGCTAGATAGGGTTAAGCACCAGGAGTATGTGGCAATGGGCTCTCAATAAAACTTAGCTTTGGTCAGCTGCCCATGTCATCCTATCTCTTTGCTAAAACTTCACTAATCATCTAGCAATGAGCACCGAAAGGTGGACCTGTGCGCTATACAAGTAGCCGCTATTATTATCATTATTATTACCAATGGTTCTATCAAGGTAATAGAATCATTAAAAAAAACGCCCTTTGTGAGTATTTATCCACTAAAAGCTTGAGCTGTTATATTACCTTGTGATCCCTGACTGTGAAAGGTGCATCCATACCGTCTGCTCCTTCTTCTTCTTCATTCACTTGGCGGGAGTATTTAAACGTAGGGTTTCCAAACTCCATATCCTCTTCACTCTCTATTCTCCTGTGAGCAAATCCACTTGTTGACCTTCAAGTATAAAGCATTACAAGGTATGGTGTGACCTTCAAGTATACAGCATTACAAGGTATGGTGTGACCTTCAAGTATACAGCATTACAAGGTATGGTGTGACCTTCAAGTATAAAGCATTACAAGGTATGGTGTGACCTTCAAGTATAAAGCATTACAAGGTATGGTGTGACCTTCAAGTATAAAGCATTACGAGGTACGGTGTGACCTTCAAGTATAAAGCATTACAAGGTATGGCGTGACCTTCAAGTATAAAGCATTACAAGGTATGGTGTGACCTTGAAGTATAAATCATTACAAGGTATGGTGTGACCTTCAAGTATAAAGCATTACAAGGTATGGTGTGACCTTCAAGTATAAAGCATTACGAGGTACGGTGTGACCTTCACGTATAAAGCATTACAAGGTATGGCGTGACCTTCAAGTATAAAGCATTACAAGGTATGGTGTGACCTTGAAGTATAAATCATTACAAGGTATGGTGTGACCTTCAAGTATAAAGCATTACAAGGTATGGTGTGACCTTCAAGTATAAAGCATTACGAGGTACGGTGTGACCTTCAAGTATAAAGCATTACGAGGTATGGCGTGACCTTCAAGTATAAAGCATTACAAGGTATGGCGTGACCTTGAAGTATAAAGCATTACAAGGTATGGTGTGACCTTCAAGTATAAAGCATTACAAGGTATGGCGTGACTTCTTTCATTGAATACTGGATAGCAAGTATCACAACCCCATGTTACTCGTATTAAGGCTTTAGGTCTCTGATATCATACATTTTCTCATCAATATTTGGTAATCTTCTTCATCATTATTAGGGGATGATTTATTAAAGACATATACACATAGGTCTGTTAACTGGGGGATCTCATTAAACATCAAATGAAATGCATCAAACCATCTTTGCTCGAGATATACTTGGGCTTTTACTCCTGAAATGCTCATGACTGTCATATAATAGACATTCCAAAATGATTACTTATTCTAACATTATCTATGACATCTTATAAATATCATAAAATATTATTTGGGGCATTCTGTATGGATGCGGGAATCAAATATGTCATGGAATGACATGATTTATCTACATGATTTGTTTTTAACTGTAAATTTATGACTCTTATTTGTTTAAGGGACTGGTCAAGAAACTAGTACATGGTATCTTAGCAACATTAATTGAAGAATTGCGCACTTGCATTATACACAGCAGTTTACTAATCGTCCGAGTTTGTTCGTAGCAGTTTTTTGCACCAGTATGACTTCCAGATTTCATTATAACTCCTAAAGTTTCACCCTATACTTAAAGGTATGTTTCTGTAATAATTTGTCATTATGTTTTAAATAGCATCTAAGATAAGTAGCAGTTATTTGATAGTTTGCATGGCGATATATCGATTCGAGTGCATTCATTCATGCACACAGATTTATGTTAATTGATTGATTGAGCTTTGATGTTGAAAGTAAAGTGCCTTTGTTATTAGCTTGAAAAAGAAAGTGATTAGCATGAAATTATTATTTGGTTGATGTAGAATATGTGCAAGAGTCACAGTTGAAAGGCAGATTTATGTAAATTGTGTATACGATGTGGAACAAGAAACGTTCCTACGGGAACTATATTTTTATTTTTACTTTGATTTCTTTAGAAAACGCTCTACGCACAATGACGGCGGCGGAGTGATATTTCAACCAAATTTCTGCGTGATAAGGCTCAGGCTTATAGGTTTAAAGTTAGGCGTTTCATATGTTAATAGTGTTATGCAAACATGAACAGGACATATGCATGTTTTATATGTTTCGTATTTTAACAAAGTACTTTTGGATTCATTTTCTTGTTGAAGAAACACATTAATTTCAAAACACACTTTGTGAAATACTAGTATGATATAATTAGGGAAAAGTTTTAATTATTTCTTATTCATCACAATTAATGTGAAATTGTTTATCAGGGTTTGAAACTACAATGTAACATTCCATGTGTGGATACATTGATCTTATGAATATTTTGTTCTTTTCTGTTTGGCTTACAGGGTAACCAACACATTCGTTGAATATGTTTGTTATTCATTACGTTTGTACACCACAAGTGATTAAAGAAGGCATCAAGAATCAAGTTACACGCCTGAGCTATTCTCTTTATTGCAACAACGTGCCAAGTACAGGAAGTCTATTGAGTCCATCACAAAATATTTTACCAATTTAATTGAATCAATTTCCTCCTCCAAAATCAACTCAAATCATTTCTTACAATGTATACATGTACATGTATTCAAATTTCTTTACAAAGTTATGACATGTTACATAGAGAACTTACCTTTGTCTTCGTTTTAAATATATTAAAACTATAATGACAAGAATTAATAAGATGATGAGAATGGGCACTACTGCTGCCACTGCAACTGTGAAGAGAGAGAAAAAAAATGAACATCAATACTCTCATTAATTTGAATATGATACGAGTTCCTTAATCTGTGAAGATGTTTGGTTTCCTGAAAGAAATACAAAATGACATGACATTATGTCTTTTACTTGTGGTAATACTTCTTGTGTGACATCATTCATCATCATCATATCATCATTTATTAAAGTCAGCATTTTCGATCTTACTTTGGGGTTTCTAACTTACACGCCACGAATGATGATGACACTCCCTCCCTCCATATCTTCTTTTCTTCAGCATTCTCCTCATTATTCTTCTAATTCAAACGATTACAGTTAAAGCAATCATTAAACCTTTAACCTATTGAATACTAAACTAAAGATCACCTGAATTACATTTGATATCAATTATCTTGCTGTCTAAAAGAGATCCTTGTAAAAAAAGTTTGCTTTTTATCACACATGCATAGATCTGAACCATTGATGAGGGATTGTTGCTGGATATGATACTAACCTTGTGGTGACTGTGAGTCTGATATTGGATGACCATCAGGATGATCTCTGTGATAATAAGGGGGAAAACATTTCATTCCTTATCTGTCTCCATTCTACTCTCTCCCTATCAACATGTAGAAGCTGAATATCTCTCAAAACACAAAACCATAAAAGATTATCATTTTCTTTAGCAAGACCTGACAAAAACAGATAAAAGTTCATAACAGTTTGTTTGTTTGTTTGTTGTTTTTTTTGGGGGGGTGAAAATGGGTAGGGTCACAATTAAATTTTTCTTTAAAATAGTATCTTTACACAGATATTACTTTAGTTCTTCTATTAAGGTTTGGCATTAACAGGTACATTATATGCAATTAGTTCAAGTTTAATAATGGATACTATGCACTAGGTTAAATTAAAGATACCAATGTGAAATATACACATGTAACAAGATCCAATCAATATGAATATATGAAATATCTATCTGTTGATATTTGAACATACCTGCAATCAATGCCATCAGTCAAGACAACACAAGATTGATTGAGTTTAGCACATGCATCACATCTATCCTCTGCACATCGTTCACCAGTATAACGAGCTGATGAACAGATACACTGAATAGTTGTACCTGCATAATAAACATGGAGTAGATTTATTAACAACTTTGTCTGAACTGCCATATTTATACAGTGCATATGGTTTGAAGTGCATACTTGTCATGTTCACAACCTCATATTCTGTTGCATAATATTGGTGACACATTATCACTCTCCAACAAAATCATTTTGTTAGGCTCATTCAGGTTAACAAAGAATGCAAGTACATAACACCACACTAAAAAGGACAAAATATGTAGCTATGCTTCAATGTCCAAACTGACAGATCACCTCAAACAGTTCTATAACAAAATTGTCGATTGGTTTCTACGGATAATCTCCAGGATTCATATAATATAGACTGGCCACACGGGATGTCAAAATTATCATCAACATAGAGACATAGTGCACAGACATAGGATACATCATATCATAGATACATCATCAACTATACTGGCAGAGTGGAAATGAACAATGTTCCTACACAAAGTAATCAATTCATGAACAGGATAAGAAGATCAATAACAATAATATTGGTTGGCTTTGCGTGTGATACAAGAATATATTGCTCTCACTATGAAAATATTGGATTCATCTTCAACCTGCCAAGCATTGTCATAGCTCGAGCAATATATTCGTGTATCACACGCAAAGCCATTCAATATTATATAAATATCTTTATTATCAATCAGCCAACATGATGCCAGATAAAGTTTTATTAAGGCTCAAATTATTTTGTTTAGATGACTGGTAAACCATTAATGCAACCTAACTTGTGATTTCACCAGAGAGATAGAAGGGTAAAATGCCTTGCTGGGCTGGCTGTATCATGAAACTCACCTATTTGTTGACATGTGCTTCCTGAAGAACAGAAGGCATAACAGTCATCTCCATCACACTGTGTCCCAGGAAACTCCTTAGGACATAAGCATTGTGGCCTACCATTCACATCTAAAGAACATACCCCACCATTATGGCAGTAGGATAAACAGATATCAGCATTACACTGTTCACCAGTCCACGGATGGTTGCATCTGTTGATATTAAAAAAAAACAATGCAACAACATTATAATTAACTATGGGTATCAACGAATAGAATTGAACATCAAATAACAAAAAAACTTTCGCTACAATTCCATATTCAATTGTTCAGGATGGCCAATTTCAGCATCTAGTTTTGTGAATTGTGATTCAATTATTCTAGGGCATGAATATTTGGTGCATTTTAACAATTGCCAATTTTATGCACACAATTTAGTTGTGTGCTATAGTATACAAGCTGAAATAAGGAACCATCTCCCTGCACTGAAGGGTATATTCTATTTAAAAGAATGTATAATTGTATATTTATGCTCATTGATCAGCAATCCTGTGAGTTTATCTGACCTCAAAAACCTCTTTGCATTTAATCTTTTCATGCTCATATTGGTTCAATTTTTTTTAAAACTATAACAGTGATAAGATATTTTCTGTGATTTGTTTCCTTTCATCGTGAAAAGAGGGGGATCTTGGATCCCTCTCACCTGCTTTACCTTACATGCTCATAAATATTTGATCCAAATTTGGGTAAAATCTGCACAATAGCTCTCACGTTACAATTTAACAGACAGACAGATGGACAATAGATTTTTAGTCTTCTGCGGTTCTCCAGGGCTATACAATCATGTTACACCGAGTTTGGGTGAAAGGGAGGAGGAAGCACTCACCGACATGCTAATGTGTCTCCATTCTCATAACATTCTCCATGACCACTGCAGTAATTACGACACCTGTCCTCATTACAGAATGATCCTTTCCATCGTGGGGTGCAATCACAATGAAACATTCCACTGGATTCATAAGTACATGTACCATTGTGCTGGCAACGAGAACGACATCGATTAAGCTCACAAAGCGCCCCAGAGTATGGAACTGGACACCTAAGAAAATATCAATCAAAATTCATATACTGTAAATAAGGTATATGGAGATTGCTTGCCACTGTGAGGTGAGATCTACATCATCCATCCATCCATTGTGGGGTTTCATAAAAAGAACATCACAGATGAATCATTAACAAACAAGGCTATAAGTGCTATTGGACAGGACACAAGTAAAGATATATTTGCTACAGGGGACAACAAAGTCCAAAGCACAACTTGTATAAAGAGTAACTTTGCTCATTACAACTGACTACCCCCCCCCCAAAAAAAAAGCAATTAAAAGATAAATTTCATTGGAAACTGGATGGAATTTTGACTGCGCGCAGTCGAAAATGATGCCTCCGCCATAGAGCAATTTAAACAAGTTTGGAGTTTAAATCTCCAGTGGTTGTTGAGATATCATGATAACAATCTCAATGTATGGAATTTCATAAGTTGACCTCTGTGACCCTTGACCTTTGACCTACGTGCTCCAAAATCTAATCAGATTGTCTTCCTATGGTGATACACACTATCATTAAGTTTGAAGTTTAAATCTCCAGTGGTTCTTGAGATATTATGATATGGTGATACATACTATCATTAAGTTTGAAGTGAAAATTCTCAAGTGGTTCTTGAGATATCGCGATAACGATCTCAATGTATGGAATTTCATAAGTTGACCTCTGTAACCCTTGACCTTTGACCTACGTGCTCCATTATCATTAAGTTTGAAGTTTAAATCTCCAGTGGTTCTTGAGATATTATGATAACAATCTCAATATATGGAATTTCATAAGTTGACCTCTGTGACCCTTGACCTTTGACCTACGTGCTCCAAAATCTAATCAGATCGTCTTCCTATGGTGATACATACTATCCTTAAGTTTGAAGTTTTTACATCTCCAGTGGTTCTTGAGATATCATGATAACAATCTCAATGTATGGAATTTCATAAGTTGACCTCTATGACCCTTGACCTTTGACCTACGTGCTCCAAAATGTAATCAGATTGTTTTCCTATAGTGATACACACTATCACTAAGTTTGAAGTTTAAATCTCCAGTGGTTCTTGAGATATCATGATAACAATCTCAATGTATGGAATTTCATAAGTTGACCTCTGTGACCCTTGACCTTTGACATACGTGCTCCAAAATCTAATCAGATCGTCTTCCTATGGTGATACATACTATCCTTAAGTTTGAAGTTTAAATCTCAAATGGTTCTTGAGATATCGCGCTAACAAACTCAATACAAGGAATTTCATAAGTTGACCTCTGTGACCTGTGACCTTTGACCTACGTACTCCAAAATCTAATCAGATCGTCTTCCTATGGTGATAAATACTATTCCCGAGTCTTAAGTTTAAATCTTAAATGGTTCTTGAGATATTGTGATAATGGTCAAACGGGACGGACGTACGGACGTACGGACGGACAACCCGAAAACATGATGCCTCCGGCACCACCTTCGGTGGCGGAGGCATAAAAAGGGTGATGGATAAGAAATAGAAGAAAGAACATACCTGCACTTTGCTCTGCCATTCACTTCAACACAGTTTCCATTATTAACACAGACATGACCAGCACAAGGCGAGTTATCTGAGGTAGGTATTAAGAATCTCATTATACAATGTACATCATTATGAAAATAAACATGATTTGACCATTTAAGCATTCACTTGACCACAGCATGTATGGGTTGAACACTGATATATTGTATGCTTACATGAACATGTACGATGATGTTTAATGATTATACAGATATATATCTCAATATAGTGTACATAGCCCAGGATAATGGATTGGCCTAAGCAGGACATAACATATAACCATAAAACATACATGTACAAGTGTACAGATATGATACATAATTCAATGAGATAACATATACCGGTGTAAGATAATTAATGTTGATTAAATGTAAATTAAAGATAAGTGTTGTTTTTATCATAAGAGAATGATGTGGTAAGTATTACATTGAGTATATATACATGTACCAGCCATTAAACTGGACATACATGTAAAATTATAGAATAAATGCTCACAGAATCCAACAAAACTTACACTAAATGTTCAAGATTACAAAATAAATGACATGTGCCAAACAATTTGGTAGAAATTTTGTATAGGAGCTGAGTTATTGAGCATAGAAAGATAAGGAAATCAAGGTAAGTAGGCCTGACACCATGTGCTTAACACAGGTCACTATGTGCAAATGGGAGTTGTGGTTTTTATTGAAGATGATTTCCAGCAAGTTTTTTTGAGTTTGTTTTTATTTTACTTGCTCAAACAATCAATCTACTGTAGGAAAAACAATCCAGAATGAATTATAGCCATGTTTTCTAGACATGCGATTCCCATACCAGAGCTCAAGATTAGCTTAAAGGAAGTGAATATAACGCATTTTCTTAATGAAATATCAATCATTATTTAATAGGAATCTAATTCTCAAAAGTATAAATTAAGAATGAATAGTAAAGTATTTATGTGGGAGGTATTTGATACAAAGTGTGTCTAATCTTTACCTTGTACTGGGCTGCATCCTGATGACCCATTAGGTTGAAAGCCTTCCTTACAAACACATATCTTGGCATTTGGTTTCAGTAGACATAGCTGATTGCATGAATTATTCGCACATCGATTGGTGATACCTGTCAAATTATAAAAATATGTACATAAATTAGCAAAGTACAAAAAGAATGCAACAAATAAGATCTAAACCAAACATATATCAGCACATTATAACAAGTACGCAGCAACTAAGATCAAAAATTTATCTTTTTTTTTAACACATCCACACAATGAAATATATTTAATTGTGATATGCACTACAGAATGGAATGTTAAAATTCTATTTTGTTAAAACCAACTTCTTTAGATGTATAATTTTCTATCTTAGCATTGAAAAGGGTTCTTTTAAAGTGGATTTATATTAAATAAATCTACTTCATTGATGATAAGATCACACTACTATGCAAAAACTTCAGAGTTATCATGGTCAATCAGAGGTGAATTGTACTTAACATAGAAAGTAAATACCTGTATCCTGTTTGAGATGGTGGACGAGTTTAACCATAGATGTCATAGGTCTAGGTTGAGTAAGATAAGTGAGGCTCTTTCTATCAGTACTCTGATTCCCAAACTTGTCCACTCTGAAGACACGGTAAGGATTCTTGGTAGAGCCGTAGATAAGATCCTCAAAGATGTCGATGGAGAAAGGAGAACCACCAGCTACAAGGAAGAATTAATCATAAAGTTTTGCTCAAAATGAAGAGCAAAAAAAGAGAGAAGCCTCAATTAAGAGCAAATTCCTACATAAAGGAAACATTCGAGGCAAAATCAAATTGCTGAGAAGATTTAGATTTAAAAGAGAGAGAGAGTTATATCATAACAGTCAGTACTCAGTAGCACACCAAATAAGAGTGTACTGGAACCATTGAGGAGCACTAATCTTACTCAGAAAATGAAATGCAAAGTTAAAAGGTTACTGGTTATGTATGGTCAGGTGTTGGGAGATGGTCCAGGCGTCTTCCTTTCCCCTTCTCCCTTTCCATTTTTGTTCACTACTTAATTGGGGGGATGAGGGAGTTGCTTGACAATTCCTAAAAATATTTTGTCACAGATTACAATAACACTAATCCTACATGTAAGTTCCAATTGTTAATGTCAATATTCTAATGCAAATAACACACAATATGTGCCCCTCTTGTCCCAATAAGTGCAAAAGCACATGCCTCTTCCCAACAGTGTTTTATTTCACTTTGTGTGCACCCTCATCCCCCTGCTGCTCTTTTTGCTTGTTATTTTCATAATCTCATTATGTATTTGACTCTCGCTATTGTATTGCTCCAAAGCTATGGCAAAACTTGCCATATATCTGTAGAGTATATTTAAACAGTAGCTGCACTAGATACAAATCACATTTTCTTATCATAAGTAGTACATGTAGTATATCTATATTGTATGTGTACTATATTTAATTCATCATGGTAAAGACCCCCAATCAGAACAAAAACGTCTGCTTTTCTGCGAGTCTGTAAAATTGTTAAAAACAGGTAAATTGAACACAATATCATTGATAAACAAAATATAGAATGGGTTTAAATTCCTTCAAACAAATATTGAAAAGAAAATAAATATAACATAAAAATAAATTACACTCATCAAACTGTCCAGAACATTATGAGACTTTCAATTTGTGCTCTTTTAAGAATGTCATTCAAATAACAATATTTGGAGGAAAAAAAATGAATGAAATTCAGTCAATGTATTACAAAGAAGACATTAACAAAATGCAACAACAACAACAAAAGTTTTTAAAAATAAAAAAAGAGAAACCATAAACATAGAAGCACTACTTACATTGAGGGAAAGTGACCACTGGAACTCTGTCCCCACCATCCATATTAGAACTCTCAATCAGCCTCACTTTGCTGTCAGCCCAATACAATCTGTCACTTACATAGTCAATAGCAATGCTTGTTGGTTGAGCTAGGTTATCTTCTACTATCCTTTCTACATGGGATCCATCCATGTGAGCTCTGTTAATACCAGGTCTCCTCCCCCAGTTGGTAAAGAAGATTAGACTGCACAAGAAAGAAGAAGGGAAAGTATTCCCAAATGCAAACTAGCCCATGCAAAACATAAACATGATCATTCAACCATACAATTTCATGATCCAATTCAGGCAAACATGGATTGACATGTATGCAATAGCAATTCATTTCAACTCCTTTTCCTCATCAAGATCTCTGCTCTCAATCACACACAAATGTATATCAACAGGTATGCAAAGTGTAGTAATACAGAATGTCTTCTACTGAATATTTTCACTCAATTATTATATATGCAAATTAGATGCCTATTTGATGAGTTTTAAAACATGACAAAACCCCCTGGAAGAAACAAAGTGCAGTGTTTTAGACCAAAGTATAATCAGTGCATATTTGATACACATGTGGGTGCACTTTTTCAAGTTTCATTCATTTTCAGTCTAACATTCGACAACGAAATGTCATATAACCTCCCTGATTTTCACAAACTTGGTCTCAAAATTTGCATTACACTTGATAAGAAAAATGTGATTAAGAGTCATGTTACAATCTGCAGTGATTGCATGGCAGTCTTGGAATTGGTACATGAAAGATAGAATGCCCCCCCCCCCCTCCCTCTCTCTCTGGCCCTCTCATGCTACTGAAAAAGTCCAAATACTTACCCTTTCTTGGGATGTACCACTATGGACTGAGGATGTCCTCTTGTATTTGATATCAATGTTCTTCTTAGAGATCCATTCAGATTGGATACTTCTACAGTATGTACTGAGCTATCAGTCCAGTAGATCATATCATTGATCCAATCTACTGCAACACCTTCTGGCTGGTCTAGCTCAAACAGCTAGACACAAAAACAAAACAAAACAAAATAATACTTTAAAGACAGAATATACTATAACATTTTCTTTCCTATGAGATGTAAAAGTGCGTACATGTATATCTTTTAAGGTATTTTTTAAAGCTATATTCACTTATTCACTTCAATTTATATGTTTCAAGTTGACAATTGCAACATGGTTTGTTTTTTAAATACTCTTCAAAACTATGGTTTGACTGTATAAAATACAAATACAGTTAGAAACAAGAAAATTTACGATAGTAAGGGCGGAAGTAATACCTCAAACATTGAATTCTCGTCTGCTTGTCTCTTCTTCCTTGCTGCACTATTAAGTGGTGCTTGATATAGACGATAGCCTGTTGAGTTGTGACCGGATAAGATGAAGACTTTCTTCTGACTGTAATGCATATCCATTGAAATGATTCTGGTTCCTAAGTCTACACTTGAATCAGTTTGGTAAGGTGATGATGCACCTGATGTATTCATGTGATGAAGAGTACCCTCTTCAGCTATGTACAACACAGGTGGACCTCCTGAAAAGTTAAACAATTAGTTGGGGAAAAGTCAAGAGATATATTACCTCTTTGAACACATGCACAGGTACATCAAAGAGCAACCCCACGTCATTATATCCGCACACAATCAGCAACGGTTCCAAAATTGACTATGACATCAGAGAGCAATCCCAGGTCATTGACTACTCGCTCCTACTAGAATTATGTATCTGCACACAATCAGCAACGCTTCCAAAATTGACTATTACAATTTCAAGTTAGGATTTATGGTACAAAAAGTGTCACTTGGAAGCATTCCATTAATATTCAAATGTACATTAGATTTTTCCTCATGATATTTAATTCACTACATATTTTTTTCATCAATTAATAACTTTGTATCACTACAGAATAAGCATATATCTTGTACATGGATCTGCTTTGAAGCAAATCAAAACAGAAATAAAGCAAATTTGTCTTAATACCATCTGGAAGTAAAAATCAAATTGAAATGAAGCGGCCTTTAAGGGACACTGTTAAGATTTCATTCAGCTTGATGCTTGAAAATGAACAGTTACACAACTTATGTAAGATACTGTACAGCTAGTTGTACAAATGTTACTTTGCATTAGATAGTTAGACGACTTCTTGTGTGGGATACCATATAGTTTGGTTGTACATACCTAGTGCTTCACAATAGATCTTTCCATTGATCCTGAGTGGTTTGTATCCTGCCACACATGAGCAGTCATAGGATCCATTCAGGTTCTCACAGGTCTGACTACAGATACCAAACTGACGGCATTCATTGACATCTGGAAAATACAGCAAATGAAGTAATTACACACAGATTTAGTTTCAAACCCAAAACAATTTAACATCTCTAAGACTTGGGATTAACACTTAAAAGGCCAGGCTATCTATCCTGATGGCCTCACATCACTGGAGGATTCCATACTCATCTCTTCTATAATCAGTAGTGCAATACAAAGAAAAACATAATAAAAATCATGGCACACATATACCAACGTATAACAAAAAGGGGAATGTTGTTTCACGTCTACAAACAAAAGAATTTTGTATCATGCTAGTTAATGTTTTGTATGTTCACTTTTGACAATTGCATATTGCAGATGTGTCTAAAGTTGGGGATGATCACACATTACCCATGACAGGTGCAATACTGCACCCAACCAACCAAAGCGCACCAGTGATCGACTTACCTCCACATGATACACCATCTGGTAGTAACTCATAGCCTGCATGACAGGTGCAGTAATGAACCCCACCAACCAAAGAGCACCGGTGAGCACATTGAATGTCCCCACTGTGACAAGAAGGATCTGTAAGATAGATCAAATGTAATTGAGGATTGTACATCCCAATCATAGGTACGGGCACTTTACATTGTATGTCATGCTGTCAGCAGTCACAGTATAAAACTGTAATTCATATAAATGTAAATATACACTGTAGCAAGACAAAGCAAAGTACACGTAGTTGTTCTGAACAAAAAAAATACGACAAAATATTATACCAAAGCAATAATCTGTCTCTCACTTAAGACAAATATAAGGTAAACAAATAAGTACATTCCCTTGAATATGATGTAAGAAAGAATATACTTACTTTTAGTGCAATCTAGCTCATCTGAGCGATCCTGGCAGTTATCTACTCCATTACACAGCAAGTTGACATCGATACAACGGTGATTCTTACATTTGAATTGATTAGCAGTACATAATGGAGGCTCAGTTGGTGTACCTGTATTCAAAAGACAATAATCATATCCACATTCAAAGAAAAAGGTTTTTATGAATCAGTTGCTTTTTTTAAATTATATGATTCATTTACTTTCATCATGATATACATGTACTGATATGGATCATTTACTTTCATCATGATATACATGTACTGATATGGATCATTTACTTTCATCATGATATACATGTACTGATATGGATCATTTACTTTCATCATGATATACATGTACTGATATGGATCATTTACTTTCATCATGATATACATGTACTGATATGTATCATTTACTTTCATCATGATATACATGTACTGATATGTATCTACATCACAAGTAAAGTCAAATAAAAAGTCTCTCTATTAGGCCCCCCCCCCCCCCCCCCTAAAAAAAAAGATGTTGTATTGCCCTTTGCGACCGACCCAAAAACTTGAAATATACAGTCGACAGTTCAATTTTTTTTTTTTTTTCCCCCAGTTTTGTTAAGAAAAAAAATATTGAAGCATTCAAAAATGAGAAATATCAGCCGAAAGAGGGAGAACAAAAGAGGAAAAAAAAATTCTGACCGACCGACCCATGTTTTTGGACCTAAAGGGCAATACAACATCTTTTTTTGTAGGCCTTATGAGAATCCCTGGCAAATTCTTACAACAGACATAAATTTATACTCTAATCTCCCAGTGCATAAATCAGACATCAAGCAATTAATTACATCTTTTCAAGAATTATTTCTTACGAGGAAGGTAATCACTACTGTTTTTTTATCAAACAGTTTTCAAAAGGCCAAATCATAAGGAGATTATTCAACATGTGTATCATGTAAACAGGAGGCGATTTGGCTCAGTCATTCCGGCATCTGCCTATCGTATCACAGATTGTGAGTTTGAATCCAACCCGGGCCTGGGTTGAGTGTTAAGCTGCCCCTCCTGTTTTATAGAGGCAGGTTAGGATAAAGTGGAAAACACACCATTCCTAGGATATAATGTTAAATGGAGGCCCCGCGTAGAGTATATCTATATACTTGGAACTGTTAATGGTAAAATGCTAATTCCAAAAATATGATTCTTACAGAATGACTCATCACTGTTGTCCCCACAAGTGTTGATGCCATCGCATACAAAGCGATGATTAACACAGATATGGTTAGAACATCTGAACTTGGTAACAGGACAGGCTAGGCGAGCTGCAAAAATATAAAATAAAAACACAACAACAATGATAATATCACAAATGAAAGGATGATTGGACTTCATGTATTTCATTATGCCTATGACACTGACAGGTTCTAAATAGCAAACACAAATTACATGTATCAAAATATTAATCAAAATTATATATCCTAGATATTTATAGCAAACAAACAGGGACAAATAAACGCATCTCCTACAATGATTCTTCCAGTATACCTATGTGTAGTGAGAATAAAATCTATTCCAATTATCTTTTATTTAATAATTGATATATTTCTCAGGATGAATCCATCTTGTCTACATGCTTCATCTGACTAGCCTTGAGCAAACCTTCAGATCATCATGTACATCATGTACATGTGTTTCAGGTTTTCAGGTTTGAAATACATTTGCAAACTGGTCAATGAATACAAAAAATGTAAGATACATGTACAGTGTATGTGAATTCATGCAAAGATATCATAAATTGTGATGCTGATGTTTGATAGAATGAATGTGCCACTTCAGCTTATACAAGCAATGATGGAAATTTATATTCATCTCTCTATTACCATGGTTACCATGGTTATCAACATGTTTAATATTTTTGCGACCCTGGTCTCTTACCACAAAGCTCTGGATCTTCATCTGAGCTGTCTCCGCAATCATCTTCACCATCACATCTCCACATTAATGGCTTACATTTGTTGTTATCACAATGAAACTCATCCTCATGACATGAAACATTCTCACCTAATAGACAAGAGATATTAATAACACATTCAGAATTCCTTAACCAAAATGCATTTGCAGGAATATATAATGCTAGCCATCTTCTATTATAGATAACCTTTCGATTCAGTACTGTCGACACATTAAAATGTATTCAAATACATATACAGGACAGAGCTTGGAATTCGGCTTAATGTTTCAAACAAAATATTCCTGTCTTCATGTCAAGAAAAGGGAAATTTGGACATTAAGATTGTCAAATATTCTGATGATCCACAATATTTTCCTTTGCGATTATACCCTTCACACATACCTAGATGGTCTACATTGTACATGTTATTGCATGCACATGACATTTCATCCCACAAAGCCATATCATTGACTGAAATTGTATGCCAGTAAGATAAAAGCATATTTTGCAATACTTATATTAGAAAGTATCCTATTTACTGATAATACATGTGACACTCAATAATTCTTTTAAGTGCATATGTATGTAATTATGTACCAACCATTATAGCATGGTACTTGCACATGGACATGTACAGGTAGCATATGGCTAACAAAAATGCGGAATTGTACACATCCTTGCTTCAATGCCGGAGGCAAGAGATCACAAATACCCTTGACTTTATATAACAAATTATAAGAATTTCTGTCGTGTATTTTTTTCAACCTCACCCTGCAGCTTCAGTGAAATATAATATAACTCAGAAAATTCACAACTACTTGGATCTCAAAATAAGTTATTATAAACTGTGAATGAATATAATATTGAGTAGAAATAATTGAGTACTTACAGTCCTCTTCATCTGATTGGTCATTGCAATCAGGATCCCCATCACAGTTCCAGCGAATCCAGATACAACGACCATCTTTACACTGAAACTCATTCTTAGCACAGTCTGGTTCTGTCAAGAAAGTTAGCAATTCTTTTATTGTACACTGTATATGGCGTTGTCTTTTAAGGTATCCTAAATTCCATGTTTTATCAATATCTGAAAATCTCTGCATATAAATCTGAAGTAATGTCATTTTTGTATTGGCTCTTATTTGGGAGGAATTAAGCAGGGATTCCTTGGTTTAAGTATAATTATACAAAATAAACATGTCTTGTGTGTTATCATTGCACCAATTGAGTTACTGCATTTTCTCTACTTGTATTACAATGTACATAACCAAGTTCATATACATTAATGTATGCATTTATTTACATATATTTTCTTTGCTAAAATTTGATAAAGTGAATTACTCTAGATTCAATATGCATATTTAGGGCATTTTTAAGTTACTATTAGGTCTTTAGCTATAGTAGGTCTTGTGGTTGACCAAAACATCTGCAAACCAATTTGGCAATATAATGAGTTTTCAAACTCTAAATGTAATCCACATTATAGAGAATACCAATCCTTTGAGAAACTACAAGTATACTTCATGATTAAATACACAATGTTTACTTCCACTATCAAGGGCAATATTAAATACAACACACTGATCTACATAAATTAATGAGAAGTGATTATATTGTGTATCAAAAGGCCTTGAAGGCTAGTAGATTATGTTGTACTTACTACAAAGGCTCTCTTGTTCATCAGATCCATCTCCACAGTCTGGTTTACCATCACATGTCAAATTCTTTGTAATACATATACCATCCTCACAACGGAATGATGCTTCTTGATCACAAGATGAGTCTAAGACAAAACAACATTTAAATAGTATCAACATGTAAACAGGTGGTCTTTCTATACAGGCATCTTTGAGAAATGAACGAAATTTATTATTTGAATCACAACATTGGTGTGAATGGAAACTATTATATGAATCACAACATTGGTGTGAATGGAAACTATTATTTGAATCACAACATTGGCGTGAATGGCAACTATTATATGAATCACAACATTGGTGTGAATGGCAACTATTATGTGAATCACAACATTGGCGTGAAAGGAAATTATTATTTGAATCACAACATTGGCGTGAACGAAATTTATTATATGAATCACAACATTGGTGTGAATTAGTGCTGTAGCCGAACTGCCGAACCGAACGGAAGTTCGCCGAACATGGCACTTCCGAACCGAACCGAACCGAACCGAACGCAAAAGGCCGGGTTCGGATGTTCTGCAGAAAAATGTAAACCATTTTGCAAGCTAATAAACTTGTCATTTTGTACCTAATTTTCATGTCATGATTGCTCATTTTATATTTACTTTTTTCCCATTTTCCACCTTTGTGATTTATGCCTATCCAGTGGTGGGCGCAACTTCACTGGCGCCATTTAAATCCCAAATCCTAATCACGCTACGTCGCGATCGCAAGCCATATACAAGAATACATGTGCGTGATCAAAACAAGTTCAGCTCAAACCCATTCAAAAAAATAAATAATTGTAACCATATCGGACAAATTTTACAATATAAATAATGAAATAAATATATGTTATAGTATGGTATTTATTTATTTAGGGAAAATAGGGCTTTTATATTTTTCCTATTGAAAATAAAAACTTATAAAAAAACAGTTATTGACGAGCCTGAGTCTCTATTATTCAAGATGGCAGCTTTCATGACTCTAACATTAGACAAGAACCGTCTCGGAAAATCTTTAAAAAATATCATTTATTGACAAATTGAAAACATGATTCTTTTAAAACTGAAAATAAAACATGATTCAAGACGGAAATACGAATGTCAGTAGTATTTTTCTTCACAAATAATTACGTTTAGAGCAGTTTTTTAATGTGAAATTCGTGCTAGTCGGAAGCAGTGTGCAGAAGTCCTCCGTGCTGGTCGGCCCCGGCAGGGCGGCCAGCCCGCCCAGTGCCGACCGCCGTGGCTATAACGCTGCTTGCTATTATTCTACCAAACCCCGAACCGAACCAAGTTCGGGTGAAAAATTGCCGAACTCTGCCGAACCGAACCGAACACGAACATAGCGTCTGACTTACAGCACTAGTGTGAATGGCAACTATTATATGAATCACAACATTGGTGTGGATGGCAACTATTATATGAATCACAACATTGGTGTGAATGGAAACTATTATATGAATCACAACATTGGTGTGAATGGAAACTATTATATGAATCACAACATTGGTGTGAATGGAAACTATTATATGAATCACAACATTGGTGTGGATGGCAACTATTATTTGAATCACAACATTGGTGTGAATAGAAGCTATTACATGAATCACAACATTGGTGTGGATGGCAACTATTATATGAATCACAACATTGGTGTGGATGGCAACTATTATTTGAATCACAACATTGGTGTGAATGGAAACTATTATATGAATCACAACATTGGTGTGAATGGAAACTATTATATGAATCACAACATTGGTGTGAATGGAAACTATTATATGAATCACAACATTGGTGTGAATGGAAACTATTATTTGAATCAAAACATTGGTGTGAATGGAAACTATTATATGAATCACAACATTGGCGTGAATGGCAACTATTATATGAATCCCAACATTGGCGTGAATGGAAACTATTATATGAATCACAACATTGGTGTGAATGGCAACTATTATTTGAATCACAACATTGGTGTGAATGGAAACTATTATATGAATCACAACATTGGCGTGAATGGCAACTATTATATGAATCACGTTGGTGTAAATGGCAACTATTATTTGAATCACAACATTGGTGTGAATGGAAACTATTATTTGAATCACAACATTGGTGTGAATGGAAACTATTATATGAATCACAACATTGGTGTGAATGTAAACATTTATATTCCAAGAATGTAACATTTTTATTATTTGATAATCTTTAGGCTCGAGCTCAAGTTGACTTACTGCAGCCATCTTCATCTGAGTTATCTCCACAATCATCATCTCCATCACATCTCCATAGACTGGGGATACAGTTGTAATTCTTACATCTGAACAAGTCACCCGGGCAGGAACGATTGGCTAATACATATACAAAATGAAACAACTGTATAGTTATACCGGAAATATTGATACATGAAACTATCATCAAAATAACAAGAAAACCTCAAAGATACAATAATACTAATCCCATTGTTCAACTGCTTTAAAACAAAAAAAAAGATATTAAAAAAACCTGTCCACAAAAGCTTTTTAAGAATAAATGGAAAGGAACTAATTATGTGTGTAATACATGTGTATCAGAAAAATGGTGCATTGTCTGGTTTTGGAATTATCAAAATGATGGCAAATTGATTCCATTTTTGCTAAACATCACTTACGTTGCAAAACCCAACAAATTGAGCTGGATACATGGAACCACACAGGCACTTTGCATCCAAAAAAGCTTGAAACTATTTCACCATTACTAGCCATATGTGGAATATCAGGTCATTTCATGAGCATTTTTCGTGCAACATTACTACTATGGTATTCTTCAAAATAAGAATAAACAGAATTAAGAAAGTTCATACAAAAATTTCATCTATTCCAGAACGCAAAAGTAACTTTAATCAAAATTTTATTTAGCATAGCTGCATGTAGAAAAACCTGATACAGCAAACATGCCCATTGTACATGTATACAAACTGGGAAAGACAACAGCTTTAAAAAAAGCATGCATTTCATTTTATTTAACAATACCAAAATATAATCAATGATTGTCAAACTAAGTCTGTTTTGTACCTGTACATAATAATAATAATAATAATAATAATAAATTATATTTCTATAGCGCATTATACAAGGTATGTCTCTATGCGCTTTACATTGTATTACAAGCTTAATTAATTACATGCATCTACTATTGAACTATCCTCAAACAAAAATTCTGACAAGATCTTAACTAAAATAGTACAACAGTAACTAGATAGATAAACATTATAATTCATTCTTAAATAATGATACAACAATTATGGTTCAAGATTTTATTCATATATTACAAGTTGTAGACATTCATATATACATGTATGTCATACCCTCTCGTCTGAAATAACCTTTCATCATGAAAAATATAACTTACAACAATCTTGAGGTTTTTCATCTGAACCATCTGCACAGTCTCTCTCTCCATCACACTGCCATCTCTGAGGTATACATCGACCGTTGCCATGACAGGCAAACTCATTCACAGGGCAGGAAAGATTTCCTACGGTAGAGAAAATATGAAGAGCATTAAATGGCCATATCTAAACTGCAAGCAGAGGTATTATCCCTTGTGCACTACACCCACTTACAAGATCCATCCTAGTTGCTGATCTACATGTACAGTATAAGGAAATACTCCACATTCATTACGCATTAAGTAAATAACAAACAGGGAATTAAGAATTCAATTCAAAAATCATTGTGATTTACTGGATAAATCGCAACTATTCTTAAAGGCATATATTTGCAAGATGCTCTTATCAAAAGCCACTCCCATGAATTGAGAATGGCTTATAAGTCAAATCCTATCCTAACATGCAAATAGTGGCATCCATGACTAAGGCCAATACATTTCATATTACATTGTAATGAATAGTATAGGTCAAGAAACTCACGGCAAGTTCCCATCTCATCAGATTGATCCTCACAATCATCTTCTCCATCACATCTCCATACGTCAGGTATACAACGACCCGTTGAGTTACATTGAAACTGATCATCACGACACTGGACTTGGCCTACGTAGAAAGATAAATCAGTTAAAATCAACGTCATTTATGATAAAGCCTTTAAAAAAAAATGTTGAATTGTCCTTAGCGACCCAGCCCAAAATCTAGAAATCTACGGTCGGCTTTTTAAAAAAGTTTTTTTTTAAACTGTCTTTTAGAAGAAAAAATGTTTTAAAGCATTCAAGACTGAAAAATATCAGCCCAAAGATGGGAGATTTAGAAAAAAAGGGGCAATATAACATCTTTTTTTAGGCATTAAGGGACTCCATTAAATGAAAGTTTATACTACTGTATGTATCATTAATTTATTACAAATCATTAGATGTAAAATAAATGAAATAATAATTTTCAACAGACAGGATTCTTTTCACTTATGGCCATTAAAAACAAATTAGGTAATAAAATCAGTACAACATAATTTCCCTGTGATTTGGAACTCCATCCCCAAAGATGTTCCTGATTGCAAGTCAGTTAATTCCTTCAAAAAAAAGTTGAAGCAGTTTTTTTATCTCAAATATGTATAGTTACTGATCTTATGTTTATATTTAGGTTATATGTTTTTTGTTTTTTGTTTCTTTTTTATTAATGTTTTGTTTTTTATCTTTGTTTTTGGTTATCTTTGCTTTACATTATGCTATGAATGCTTTGGGAACTATGCTTGTACACTACAAGGCCTAAGGGCTTTATTTATGTAGTTTCCCCATTTCATTTCTAAATTTGTTCATGAATAATTTTGTATCTTTGTATCAATGTAGTCTTTAATCGAGAATGAAATAAATACGAATTCAATTCAATTCAATTCAATAATCTGCTCAGTAAAGATGTTAAGAGAGTCGCAGTAATTCACTCTAGATTTGCTTGGTGCAGCCACTCATTTTGTAATCACTTCTAAGTACATAAACCATTTACTCATATGTTGCTACTCTCACACTTGATTTGATTCTGTAAGAACTTACCACATGTCTCTTCATCTTCTCCTTGCGCACAATGTTTGATACCATCACACTGAAAGGATTTTGGGATGCATATGTTGCTACTCTCACACTTGATTTGATTCTGTAGACATGAGTGGTTCACTGAGAACACAAAGATAGATAAACATATTTAATTTCAGTAGACACATGCATACCTGCCAACATTTGAAAAAGAAAAGTCTCACCCTAAGAGAGGGGCTTGACACAACGGCTAATGTGCTTACCAATTTACATTTGGGGTTTAAGTCCACAGATTCGGAGAAGAAAACAAATTGTTACCTTTGAAAATATAGAATGCCAAGAAGGTAAATCTGATAAATATGAAGTCTAGACTACTTTTAATTAGGCCTATATTTCCTAAAGAAATATTACTTATAAGTATAAACTGCTTAAATCATTTAAATGCGCAAATAAATGATAAACTAAACCTTATACAGTATATCAATATTTCATTAATCAAATTTTTAGACTTCAAACATAGTTCAAACTTAAAACTATTAGAAGAATTTCCTTTAAATAATCGATTTAGGAACACTCTCCAACACATGAAAACAAATACAATTCTGAATTAAAGTTCCATGTAAAGTAATTTACAAGTGACAACACTAAAATTATCTGGGAGGGCAGAAGCAATTTTCCTAGTTAAAGGAATATCACATGTACACCATCACCTTTGATAGGTAGAGTTTGCATTCAGTATTTTCCTTGGGCTTATATATAGTCACAAAATCTATAGAAGAATAAAAGGTTTCCAAAGAATATGAAATACACCCCAGCCTCCAATTGTAGACAGCAATAATGCAAACTTACAGCAGTGGAATTCATCTGATCCATCTCTACAGTCTTCCTCACCATCACAGATGAATGCAGGATTAATGCATTCAGCATCACTTTCTGATGTGTTCTCACACTGGAATTGACCAGGTATGCAGTAAAATGGACCTATGTATTAAACAAGAAAACAACAAGGTGAACTTATTGGGCATTACAAAAATAACATGCAATAATAAAATTAACCTAGTTACTAACATGGAGATAAAATGATAGACATACATAATGACAATGCGAGAATGAGGCTAGATTCTATACTTGCATTAGGCTGCTCTTACATAATATGTAAGATGATATATTATCACATACATCATGTATATGTGTGCATAAGTGTACATCCAGATACAACTCAACTCACATTTGTATTTATTCTATCCGAATGCACATGTAAATAATAGAAAAATACTGAAAGCTTACAGATTTGATAAACTCACAGCAGTCTTTACATATAAATTCTTCTGACTAATAAGATAAACTTACAGCAGTCTTTACATATAAACTCTTCTGACTAACAAGATAAACTTACGGCAGTCTTTACATATAAACTGTTCTGACAAACAAGATAATCTCACATCAGTCTTTACATATAAACTCTTCTGACTAACAAGATAAACTTACGGCAGTCTTTACATATAAACTGTTCTGACTAACAAGATAATCTCACATCAGTCTTTACATATAAACTCTTCTGACTAACAGGATAAACTTACGGCAGGTACTAGGTTCATCTGATCTATCACCACAATCATCCTCTTGATCACAATGCCACCATGATGGAATACACTTATCATTCCTACAGACAAACTGGCTTCCTGTGCAGTTTGACACACAAGTCATTCCATCAGAAGCAACATAGAAGTTGTTTGGGCATGCACAAGTCCTCCCTCCATCTTGGTTTAGTAGGCAAAGGTTTGAACAGCCGCCATTGTTCTTACCACATGGATTGTTCTCAACTGAAAGAAAATTCAAGCAGACAATAATAACTCACATAATAGTATATGATTTGAAAGGTTGAACAACTTAATGATTGACAGAATGAATATTTTGGTAAGATACGACTGTGTCTGCAATATGCCTCTGTCTAAATTCAGTTAAGATCATGGCTTGAATTATTCTAGGAATATCACGATGGGAACAAGAACGAACATTTTGATTAATCTTTACGACCTTGGACCTTGGACCTTGGACCTTGGACCTGACAATCCAATATCTGACCACCTGTCCCTCTACAGTGATGCATATTAGCTACAGGTTTTACATTCACAGCTGAAATAGCTTTAAATATCCAGGTAAAGTTAAACATCTTACTTTATGAAAAATGACTTGCTGATCTTTGACCTTCCATAACCCAAATCTAATTAATTTGTTTCACTATGGTGATGCATATTAATATCAAGTTTGAAGTTCATGGCTGAAATCATACTTGAGACATTGCGATATCAGGGCTTAAACATTGATATTTCTTGGAAATTGACCTTTATGACCTTTCACACTTCACCTATCAACCACAAATCTACTCAAGTCGTCTTCCTACGGTGAGATATACTATCACCAAGTTTGAATTTAATCCCTCTAGTTGTTCTTGAGATATCCTGATAATGCGAAAGCAGGATGAAAGGACGGACACCCCCAAAGACAATGCCTCCGGAACCACCTTCATTGAGCGAAGGCATAAAAAGAAAACAACTCAGATTTGTGTAGACATTGGTATTAGATGTATGATATCTATTTTTGTACTTACTTCTAGGCTGCCTTAGAGGATGAAGAACTTGTATATCCATTGGTCTATGTACTACTAGGACCAGGTCTAATTGATCTTGACCAGTGAACTTGTGAGCCCTCTTGACCCTACGTTGGTCCCAATCTGTCCAGTAGATATAATCTCCAAACATACTCATGGCAAAGATATGAGGTACATCTGACCCAACCACAGTGTGCCTATAGGAAAGAGTAGAGAAGTTAGCTTGGTACTCCATTACACAATCATGATATCAAGCTTCCAAACATTGTATGCAAACTTTTCACTGGTCAGATACATGTACATCTATACACATCTGTAAACAGAGAGAACAGCACTGTGATACTTTTTACAAGAACAAATATATTCCATACAAGAATTAGACAGAAAGATGACTCTATATATACATATAGACACAATACAACAAGGACAAAAAGAATGCTATGAATCTGACCTATTTGTTCCATTCCAAGACACGGACTCAATTCTATCCTCGCGTGCATCTCCCCAATAAACTCTGTCTGTAGTGTAATCAACTGTTAGAGCATTGGGCCACTGAATCTTCTCTGTCACCAATCTTGTGAAGTAACGTCCATCCAGACCTAAAAATGATTTGTGAAATAACATCACCTTACAAACATGTAGTTTGTGTGTCTTTCCTTTAGTGCTATTAATGTTGTACATAGATATATCAATTGCAATAACATACAGCTTTAGCAGCAACCAAATTAATGCAATGACATGAATCATGAATAAAGAAAAAAATTAATCTATACTTGTATGTAATGTTTTGCAAGTCCTCTTGATTTAGGCTATCATAATAGTTATAATAATAATGTTAATCATACACTGTTACTGCTCATTTTCTATAAAGTTATCATGAACTTGCTAAAGGGGTCATTAGTGCATAACAGAATTAGTAAAACTTGGACAATGATACTGATCATATCCAAGTAAACAAAATGCATCAATAAATTTGCCTAACTCACTTGCTCGTCCAATGTACGGTGCATCACCCCAGTCAGTCCAGAACATAACCCTGGTAAAATAAGACATTAATTGTATCATCATCATCAATAGTGATCTGTCAGTTTATGATAGGTTCAGTGACCCAATTTTTTATATCAAGTGTCTCTCCAAGTTCCTTGGTCTTGAGCCATCCGTTTCAGCGTTTCATACCCTGTTGCTCCATATATACATGTACATGTATAATCACAATCATATCAACCCAAACATCATCACAACTTGGACATACTCTACATCTTTCCCAAAAAGGACAAATAAAATGGTAATATTAAGAGAAACAGAACAATGTATCTTTCAAAACACATTAAAACTTCAAAATTGACTTATACCAAGATGAATCTCAAGGAAATGCAATCACATTGTAAAATCCTAGACATACAGTATGCGAACATGATTCTTATATATGAACCATTGAACATGATTCTTATATATGAACCATTAGATACATCAATTAATAAACATGTACATGTACAACATCAACTTAAATTGCATAATCATAGTTTGGGGGATTACCTTAACTTTGTTAAATATTAAACAAGATGAATGTACAGAATACTAACCCTCTGGTAATATCCAAAGCAATAGCTCTCGGTTCATCCAGATTCTCTTTGATAATAGTCTTGCGATAGCTACCGTTGAGTCTTGATACTTCAATGACATTCAGACCCTTATCACACCAGTAGAGATTCCTTCCTGCCCAATCTACTGCTATACCATCAGGATTCAGGACCCCAAGATCATGTAACACCTAGCAGAGAAGCAGAGAAGAAACAAACATCAAGTCTTATCCATCCATTATGCATTTTACAAAATCCTATCAAACACATTATAATGAATCAGAACAAACTGGATTAAGAGCAATTCAGAAAACTTCATCAAATAAAAGTTTGAACTACAACAGCAATAACAAAAAGGGAAACGACAAGAACGACGATATAATACATTTAGGTATACCACATTGTCTGTGATTTTAAATGGTGAGGATAGAAGCTTACCTCAGTAGTGCCATGAGTGATATTAGCACGACTAATCTTGCTATTCTGTAGAGTGACATCGGACCAGTAGATCATACGTTCCTCCCAGTCATAGTCTAGTGCTACTGCATTGGTTACATTCACTTGAAGGGTGGTGTAATTGGAGCCATCAACACCCACTGTACGCAGCTGATAGCGGTTTGAGAACAGCAGGTAGGGTTTAGGTTCTGTGAAACAAAACACACAGCTCTCAACATTACAAGTGCTCATACAACACTTTGCTTTTTGTTATACAAAAATCACTGATGTTTTCTAATTATTTACAATGATCCTTACAAACTATTCAAAACAGAATATAATGCGAAGGAGGTTCCAGCATGCATGCACCTCTATTGAACATCCAAAATGATGTATAGGATAGGATCAATTGCTAAAATAATGACTGCATGACTTGAATCTATAACCCCTCAATATACACAGCTCATAGCATACTTTACAACTATCTCATTCCATACATGATAGTCAACTGCACTGAAATTGGATTGAATTGTACAGAATGTAGCCCAGCAAAGACAAATATCTTACGGTCTGCTTCTAAAGCACAAGTGACTTGGTCATCTAGAAGTTTGAAGCCTTCAACACAGTAACACCAGAAATGAGCATTCAGATCCACACATCTCTGAGAGCATGGGTAGTCTATATCACATCCTGTCAAGTTAAACACAAATATAATAATATCATCTTACTTCAATGGTTCTCATATTATCATGGTAAATAGCCGAATCAGATAACCAAATATATGATGCACTGGCAGATAATTGAAAACTTGTGCCTTCTTAAGAAAACATAAAAATATCTGAATGAGAACATGGAAATATTTGAATGAAAAGATACAAATATTTGACAGAGAAAGTATAAATATTTGAAATAGTGAAAGGGGTGTCAATGTACAAGAGTGGGGCAAAGCTTGACATCCTTAATATAAAAGAAATGAATAAAAACTATAACTTACGGCAATCTACTTCATCAGAGTTGTCACCGCACTCATCACTAGTATTACATCTTGCTGACTGAGGGATACACTTTCCATTATCACATTGGAATAAGTGATGCTTGGTGCAGTTATTCAGAGGGGATGGTGACACTAGGCAAGTGAACACACACACCAAGAATCAATTAGTAAAGCAGTATATTTTCAAAAATGAAAAGTTAACATGATTGAAGTGAACAATAATGTACTTACATGCTTATCAGATTGAGTTGATTAGTACATTTGGATCAAGAGTTATGAATAACAATCTCTCCGTCTTTTATACAGTGATACATACCATGGCCTTATTGGCAGATGGTTTTCATGTACAAATCTCTTTAATACAGGTTTCATTGAGAATATTCTATTCTTCAGTAACAAAAGTCGTGGTCTCTATAGACAAGTAGTCTTTTTTCTAAATTACATAGGTTTGACTGTGCAAAAGTGAATAGTACTGTACATGTAAATCTAATACAGGCATTATACAATTAGATATGATAGAATAACTGTTGTTATGGTCAGCAATAAAGATTACTTACCATTACAAATAGTTTCATCTGAACCATCATGACAATCTTTATCACCATCACAAACCCAGTCCTTTGGAAGACAACGACCATCGCTGCATCTATGCTCATCTTCAAGACAGGCTGGAAAATCTTTTTAGATGAAGAGAGAGAAGAAAAGAGTCTCAGAAATTGAATAAATTTAACAATATAACTGATAAAGAAGTGATTAGTTATAAAGTTGCGAAAAAATTTACCGTAAAATTGTCAAACATTCATAAAAAAAACTACTATCAGGCTGCATTGAATAAGGATAGCTATAAGCTATTATTAATGATATTCATTAACCTCATGCATGCATGCTGTTTGTTTTATAATTCCTCTTTGTGATAATTATGCATGAGTATGGGACCCATACAACCAAGACTAGAAGGGCAAATTAGAAGCTGTCATATTTGACTCATTTAAAGCAAACTTTGAATCCAAAATACCAAAACTCTGACAGAAGGCACATTCTTTACTTCCTGCTTGCCACAATCGCACCTGCTACAACAATATATCCAGTGCTGACATGTGATTGACTTAAGAAGTAAAAGCAGAAACAGAAGCAGAAATGAAGCCATACACACAGACAAATAATTAAAAAACATCAGTTAATCAGTGATATTAAATTTCCTATATAGATACTGATGCATGATTGGTAAAAATGCTGTCACAAGACCATCGATACAAGGATGAGAAGCATTATATTTTCAAACATGACGTAAATTAGGTCATACCTCTGGATATAACTACTCACGTACACCACCGATTCGCACAGAAATATACACGCATTAATAATTAATTGCATGGAGCGCGAAATATGAAATTGCAACGAATTTGTTTTCGTCAAAATGGCAGCTTCAACGAGTCGATTCGCTTCGCTCGGTGAGGCGGAATTGGACAAAAAAATTGATGAAAAAGATTCCTGTTCTACTGAGAAAGTCATCAATGTAGCTGAGAATGTTCTGAAAGCTTACAGTGAACATAAAGGAATTACAATTTCAGAAACAATAGCAACTGAACTGAGTAAGTTTCAGTCGTCGATCATTTTTATACGGAGGTTTGAAATTGTAGATTGAATGGTGAATTGAACAGTAATTAAGCAGTCCATGCTACACCACGATATGGATTGCAGAGACATTTTTAAAAGGTAAGTGCTTTCGGTTTTGACATTGTAAATGATCTACAGCACCATCCGCTTCTGCGAGAATTCATCCTGCTAGTATTATTAGTAATTACTAGTCCAGGACCAGGACCAGGCCCAAGTACTGCAGCTCTTGTGCCGTTAAAATTGCACACACATGAGACTGTTTCTTGTTTTGTATCGAATATAGGTCATCATAATATAACAGATATTGGCTTTTTCTTTCAGGAACAATATAACATTTCATTTCCCTTGGGGAGTTATATTTTTGTCTCAAAATATAATGTCCCTCAACAAAAATATAACTCCCTCAAGGGTCTCAAAGGTTATATTGCCCCTCTAGGCAGTCAATATCTGTATATTATTCATGCAATATCATTTGTGCAGAAATTGGCCATATGAAAGACACTATATCACTTGTTTAAAAACTATACAAATTAAAAAGCAAAAAAAACAGAAGGTGAGGACATGAAAATAATAAGATGGACAGTGCCAGTAGAATACTTGTGGTTGAGTCTTTTTTTTTATCTATACAAAGTAAGCCAACTTGGATTAAGCATAGAATACTTACCATCCCATTACACATGAAAGTCCAAAAAATAGATAATTCATATGGTTATGAACGTGAGAAATACATTAACAGCCAAATTAAAATTCTAATATCCTGATAAAACCATCTGTAAGATGGAAAGCTCACTAATATCTTAAGAAAAAAAATAATCTTGAAAAAAAAATACCAACAATAAGATGGTATTCATTTTATTATCTCTAAAAATATTATTATTATTTACATTACAGCTATTCAATGTACATGTACATATCTGTCTACATGTACAAGGATAGCTTATTTATAACCTTCTAAAACTATCATACATGTAGATTCAAATCTACATGAACAAGAGTTATTCTCTTATCAAATAAATGAGGTACGTATCATTTTGCAATTTGCATTTGAAGAGCCATGCTTTTCAGGGAACATGTCTTATCTGATGTTCTTGCACACTTGCATCAAAAGAATGATAATGCTTACAAATTATTTTTCACCTCTTCCCAGAACTCAACCTTCTCTTTAATGATGTTATAATGATGTTATAACAAAACTATTATTGGATTAAGTATAATATAAACATGATATCAAATCTCTTGCATCACAGTGAATTTACATTTGTTATCATCCTTCTTCCTGTTGGCTTAACATCTCTTTCTTTCTTTTTTATAGATATGAAAGAGGGCCTCATGTAGGAAGTCTTGTGTTACATCTTTGTAACAATTCAAGATTTAAATACAAATGTTGTATGTACATGTATATAAAATGGGAACTGACTTAAGTGGATGTAAGTGATTAGAATCAAAGATAACATACCACATGAATCTTTAGGTTCATCAGAACCATCCCCACAGTCATCGTCATGATCACAAGCCCAGGACTGCTGAATACATCGTCCATTAGCACAGGCAAACTCTCCATCTTTACATCTTGTTACATCTATACAAAGAAACATTTATCAGGTATTTACATAACATTAAATGACCAGTTCATACCAATGTCTGCTTAGCACATTAGGCCTAAAGTAAAAACTTGTTGTATTGCCCTTTGCGACCGACCCAAAAATCTGAAAATCTACGGTCGGCATTTAAAAAAAAAAAAAAATTAAAACCGTTTCTTATATTTCCTTTTTAATTAAAGAATAAAATAACATGTATTTTGTTTGTTTAAATGGGATATAAATGCATAAAATCAAATTATTCCCAAATTCTCACTCGTGCAAACCATGGATAATTATGAGATGAAAAAGATATCAATGGAATGATGACGACGTATTAAAGCACTAAAAAAAAACTGAGAAATATCAGCCAAAAGAGGGCGGGGGAAAAAAAACAACAACAACAATAACATTCAAATCTGAAAAATATCGGCCCTAAGGGGGCGACAAAAAAAAAGTTATAAAAAAAAAAATTAAATTCTGACTGACCGACCCATGTTTTGGCACCCAAAGGGCAATACAAGTTTTTATTTAAGGCCTTAACAACTGAATTATCACAAAAGATATCAATGGAATGATGACGATGTATTAAAGCACTAAAAAAAAACTGAGAAATATCAACCAAAAGAGGGCGGGGGAAAAAAAACAACAACAACAATAGAATGATGACGATGTATTAAAGCACTAAACAAATCTGAAAAATATCGGCCCAAAGAGGGCGACAAAAAAAAAGTTTTAAATTTTTTTTTTTTTAATTCTGACCGACCGACCCATGTTTTGGCACCCAAAGGGCGATACAACAAGTTCTTATTTAAGGCCTTAACAACTGAATTATCACAACTCTTTGATTTCTCAGTTATCCAAATTACATTGTTCAAAAACTGTATATCATTATTTGTATATGGTCAATGAGTTTTCCTTTCATAAATATCATTAGCGATCAGGACTACCGGTACTTACATGTTTAAAACCATTTAAACCAAAATTGCCATATTCATACACAGGTCCCCACTTGGTGCTAATACCATCTTCAGAAGAAAACAATTCTCCCAAATATGTGTGCTTTGAAGGGCAATGAATACGGCAGTACTTATTTTCAACCCACAAAAACTGTTTATGGTCTTCTCAAACTACCCCCATGGGAATTTGCAAGGCCATATTTTATTTTATTTGGACCATGGAAAACACATTTCTTGCACAAAGTCTTCATTTACAGTATCCAGAAAAGAGGTTGAAAGGAGGAGATTAAGTTCTTACTGCAACCAAGAGATGAGTGTTCATCCTGAGCATCTCCACAATCATTGTCACCATCACAAACCCACGATCTAGAGATACATCGACGTTGGTTCGTACAACGGAACATGTCACCTGTACATGTATGGTTTGCTACAGAAACAAAGGAAATACCATTTTAAAGTGTTGTAATATATCATATGGATACAGGTAAAAACAATGAGAGATTCACATCGTTGAATAAACATCTGCAGTTTAAGAAATTCACTAAATTATAAGGCATACACGCAGCATAAATGAGATATGAATGAACTGATGCATTCAAAATTCTTGTACTGCTTAGTTATACATTGTATACATGAATGTACATGTAGCACTGGTAAGCTTACATTAAACATTAATTAGCAGCACAAACCTAGATGTATGTATAATGATGGTATTATGAATAGAGAACTTGCAGGCTAGAGTTCAAGCATTATGATAAGTCAAAGTTAAAGGTTGCGTACTTACAACATGTGTGTATAGCTTCATTCTCATCACTGTTATCTCCACAATCATTATCCCTATCACAGACCCACAGCTTAGGAATACACTGACCATTGGCGCATTGATTCTGGTCAGCAGGACAAGTAGAAGCTAAAACAAAAACATATCAAAGCATCGGTCAGTTTATAGACCAAGGACAAAGAGATCAAACAAAAACATATAAAAGCAACGGTCAGTTAGACCAAGGACAAAGAGATAAAACAAAAACATATAAAAGCATCGATCAGTTAGACCAAGGACAAAGAGATGTCATTTCATGTAGAGTGTCAATATTACTTGGTCTCACTAATTGCTAGTTTCTTTTCTTCTTCAAAATCATATTTCAGATTAGTAGTAGTAGTTCCATGATAAACTTAATATTTTGTTTACCAGATAAATTGGATAGATGAAATTAAAAAATAAACAATATAATTATACACTTACAACATTCATCTTGCTCTTCATCAAAGTTATCGCCACAGTCATTCTCTCTGTCGCACACCCATGATTGCTGAATACATCGACCATTACGACATTGAAATTGACCTTCTTCACATGGTGCTCTCGTTGGGGAATCTGAAAAACAACAACAAAAATCCTCTCAAAAATATACAAAAATATAAAATCATGACAACAAAATATATTTACAAAAGTCCAAGCAGTCAATGGATTTGTTTTCACAGATATGAAGTGTGTTTCAAGCATTCCCATTTATAGATATAAGGAGAGCAATATAAGACAGTGATTACAGAAGAGCCATCAGGTGGTGATCAATCCAAAGTCTAAAGAATGTGATACACTGCAAGAGACATTTGTAAAGCATTGACATGTCTGTGATTCTTAAGACACCCATTTGGGGTCACACATTAAATAACTTTACATATTGACAATGCAGTGAAACTACTAACCAGAGCTGCAATTCTTTTCATCACTTCCATCCCCACAGTCATTAACTCCATCACAGATCCAAGAATGAAAGATGCAAACTGAGAAGTTGGGGCAGTTCACAAATGTAGTACCATTGGGTAGTAGTAAGAACATCTCATTTCCCCATTCTGCACAGTCTACTTCAGCTGGAAAAAATTGAGCAAGATTACATCAAATTATAAAAAAATCTCTTCAGCCATATCTACAGCATACATTCTACAGCATACATTCAATATAAATGAGAGGATTATTGTGATTAATACATGCATTACCTTGGCTCTACATGGACCCAATGTAACTCTCAAACAAATGACAATTTTAGATTAAAAAAAACAGAACTTGTCTATGTCCATCAATGGTTGTGGTACATATGTTTATTAACTTATTCAGCAAATTGAATTGCTGCCAAAATGTCATGGCTTACGACTTCGCATTAGTGTACATCGTTACATAAAAAGTGAGTCAGTTTTAAAGTTGATACTCTAAGCAAATAAATGTCCCTTAATTTGTTACCTACGGCAAGTATATGTTATTTTAAAGTTTTTCAATCACTTAGTATATCACAAAAAAATTCTGTCTACTCGAAATCCTCAATTGAAATGTCGAAAATATCCGCCTCTCTTTGCATAGAAAATCAGTCACGGCGCTGGTCTACTATTTATGACCTCACGTCCGGGAAAGAGTATATTCAGGTACCCGGATGTTCCATAGCAAACATGTGCAGAGTGATACGATTTTCTGCATATTTTTGTTTCAAAGGCTGAAAAGTCTAATAAATCATAATTCTATGTACAATTCTTTACCTTCCCCTAGTACTTCAGAGTATTAATATCAATTCCCCTTTTAAAAATTATGACATATACATGCCAACGATGTGCTACTAGTCGATATTTTCACCATGTAGTTTTTGTTTTGGTGTTGAAATCGGCCCAGGCACGGAGTGAACAGTATAGCTGTCTGCCCATGCACAGTTCATTACCATACACTACAGCGATCTCCCGATGGTTTCTTCTTCCTTTTTCCCATGTTTTTCGCCTTCCTTGGCCCTGATCGCGAAGATCCTTCATCTACCAATTCTGACACCGGTAGTCAGGAGCAAGTCTTTGTTAGTTGTTTTTCTTAGCTGGCAACGTCGCTTTCATTCTCTTGCAATTGCCGATAAACATATAACTAGCGCACGTACGTTCCATCACAAGCAAGCAGCGCCTAGAGCAGCGGCTTGGTCTTACCTCCCGATTCTGCTCGCTTCACGAACGTTCATGCAAGAGCCGCATCACTCGCCAAAATATTATAGAGGAAGCGCGCTTGCATGATCTCGTTCAAGTTTGATATTTTACAACATAAAATGTTTAACTGGTACTGTATCCTTTTTTGAAGCAGTCACACACATCTATGATAAGTACTATCATAGTTCTAGACCTATTCGTTTTACAAAACTGCTCCTGTACCTTATCTGATGACAATATAATGCATCCGCCTATTCATACGTGCACGATTTAACTGTAATTCCTAAGCAGTAAACTCGTCTTAAATCTCTACCAAATAGGTGAATATGAGGATATAAAAAGAAATCAGCGACTGGAAAATGTTGCTTCGTTATTCTTCATTCAAATGAAAACAGAAAATCCATCAAATATACTCCTTAACAACAACAAATCTAAGCTCTGACAGGATAGCATTTACGTATAGGGATATCACTGCCATTCACTCTCACTGAGCCCATGAGTCCCGTTCGTGACGTCACGGATAGAGGCCCGACTCTACGTGCACTTCCGGGTTTCAGACTTAGATATTTTGGTAGAGTTTATTCGAATAAATTCAATATTCTAAACTTGTTTTGTCGGGTGGACACCATTTGGTGTTATTATGGGGGTTAAAAGCTTTCTATTTATGTAATTATCTCAGTATTTGGGATTGTCTTAGAGTATCAACTTTAAAAAAGAAAATTAGAAATGTGCAAACTGTGAAGTAATAAAGCTAGAGTTAAAATGAAGAGAAACATACGACATTCTTGTTTGTCTTCATCTGATCCATCATCCTGGCAGTCTAATCGATGATCACATTTACTGCTCAACGCTATGCATTCACCACTCTTACACATGAACTGATTCTCTTTACAACCTGTAATGACATCATGGAAATCTCATCAGTTTTACAATGATTTACAAGCATCATGGTTTAAATTTTTTAAAAACGTTATAACATATTTGCTTCCATGAAAATGGTAAAAATAAACCTTTTCTTTACAACATATAACTATCAAAGTGTATATTCATTTTCCATCACGAACCTATCTTTTCATATTGCTACCTTTCGCTATGTTACCTTATGAAACCTTAACATTAAACAATTGTTAGTTTACTTTAGATCTGAAGAAAAAACATTATTTCTGATATAAAAAATCAACCAACTTACCACAATTAAGTTCATCGCTATTATCATTACAATCATCTTTACCATCACAGCGGCGGTTCGCCGAGACACATTGCCCATTATTGCACCTAATGTAATTCTCACGACAGAATCGATGACCTGCAAATACATTCATACAATTATATCAGAAACAGTTTAAATCAAAATAATCAATAGTCATATCATTGCATATTCAAAAACATGAGATATTGAATATAATGAAGGATGGCACTCTTAAACATGTCTGAGTGACAAAAAAAACTACAATTATTGAGGATTGACCTATGAAGTCAATGCTGATTTAGTCTGGGTAACAAAGGGATGGTTTGTTGACATAAATACAATTGTATATAGTCTATTAATTTGTGCGCACAGTACCAAATGACTTACTGCAGTAGCGAGGATCTTCATCTGAGCCATCTGAACACTGATTCTTGCCATCACAAGTGTCTTCATATCTTGTACATGTTCCATCACTGCAGGTGAAGTCTCCAACTTGACAATTTGTGATCAAATCTAAAAGGAGAGGTCAGAGGTCAAAGGTCAAATCAAGAACAGTTGGAAAAGCCTTCTAACTCTTATATCGGAATACATATATCTCATAGAACATATCAAAATTGAAGGTTTGAACTCATCATTCACAGATAAGTTTTGAGTATTTGCCTATTCAAAGTGTAGTCAATTTTGTAAAATCGTCATTCAGTGCAATTTACTGTATGATCCTTCCATCAAATACCTCTGATATGTCAAAAATATTTTGTACATTAGAATATATTTATAATAATCAAAACAATGTTTGTTTGTTAAAAGCTTCACTTCAAAGCGAAGGAGAAAAATGTTTAAAAAGTTTATGTTTGAGAAGGAGGATGTATAAAGAAGGAAATAAGATTATTTTTACCAATGCAACGAGATCCATCTTCTACTCTCTTTCCTTCTGGGCAGCTGCATAGGACGTGACCTGTTACATTAGTCTGACATGTATCTTCACATCCACCATTATCATGAAGACAAGGCCATTGGAAACCTGATCAGAACAGAAAACAACATATAGTTAATACAACTATCCTTAATCATAATGGTGACGACTTAAACAATGGAATTACCCCTGTGACATAAATGTAGTGAAATTTGCGCTAGAATAAGCCATCCTACAATATGTATAACAAGTATGTGGTATCTACATGCACCTGTATTAGTATACATATACATATACTAAAATTTAAAGAGTAGACAACGATTTAAAATGGTTTATTGACAGGCTGACAAAATGTAGGTCAAGAGGTTGTTTACATTTTTGAGGGAAATTCACGCGCTAGGAAATGTAATACTTTGTATTACATTGGAAGGAAATGTACAAGCGTATGTACGCTTATCAAGCAAGCGCGGAAAATACTGCCAGCAAATTAAAAATAGCACGAAGGTGCTATCATTCTAGTTATGGCTTTCATTTTGAATGGACAAGAAGAAAAATTTACGGAGTCCAAAACATTATTAGAGGATTTGGATTAATACTAACGTTAGCACTGCACTGGAATAATTAGTTGGATATCTAACGCTGAATTATTTCTTCTCGTGAGCGACCAGCGGGATTATACTCGGGTTTTGGGCTGGCCTTTGTCGTTGGGCCTGATTAGAAAGGAGAGTCCATATCATTATCAACTTGAACTGTTAGTGTTAGTGGCCTTGTTCGCATCTCTACTGGCAGGAGTACGTTGGCGATCATGCCAAAAGCGAAGAAGAAATCCGTGGCCGGGAGGAAGAGGGGTGGTGAGACGGCGCCCAGGGCAACGTTACCTCCAAGTCAGGCGGAGAATCCGAGAGCGGATGCAGCATTACCCCCAAGTCAGGCGAGGAAAAGTCCGAGGGCAAGGGCGAAGGCAACGTCAACGCCTGTCGGAGTGGGCCCCAGCGGCGCCGACGATCAGGGCGGTGAGTGCAACCCTAACATAGCTAGTGGCAATGATGTACCTGATACCAGTACTGGTAGGCGCGCGGCCATATCATGGCGGGAGATTATCGCGCGAGAGTCGGTGCCCTCTGAGAGGGAGCAATCGGAGATTTCATTGCAGGCTCAATCGGTTGGGCAGGCTTCATGCGAGGGTAATATGGCGGAGCGGACTGCGCCGCCAGTACCCCCTTCCGTGGTGGGGTCACCGGTGCCGTTTATGAGCGCGGCTGATCCGTTGGGTTCCGAAGTGGCAATGTCGCTCAAGGAGAGAATTTGGAGGAGTGAATTTATTGATTTAGCCTTGCTTCTCAAACAGAATGCTTATGCACGGAGTGATAGTGGGGCATCCCAAGAGCTAGGTGAAGCCGTATTTAGTCTGCGGCAGTCTGAATCTGGGCTCGGGTTGCAATTCCAACCTCGGGCAAAGAATAAAGGCATATTTTCGGTGGAGCATTGGACATCCGTCTTCCTGGTGTTCGTGTATATTTATTTGGAGAAGCACAGCGAGCGAAGCAGAGAGCTCATCAAATATATGGATTTGATTAGACACGCTTCTAGAGCATTTGGGGGCCTTGGGTGGAGAGAGTATGACATACAGTTTAGGCTAAAGCAAGCGCGACTGCCCGGGCGATCTTGGGCAAGCGTGGATGCTGAATTGTGGTTGATGGTGGTCTGCTCGGGATGTGCGTAGATGGGCTTTACTATTTTGACCGTTGTTTGCCAATGGGCTGTTCCGTTTCTTGTTCTACTTTTGAATGTTTTAGCACTTTTTTGGAATTTTGCACCCGCAAAGTAGCGGAGTCACAGAATATTGTACATTATTTGGATGATTACTTTATATCTGGATTATCATTTTATCTGCGATCCGCTGGAGAAAGAGACGTGACACAGAATTTTGTGATTGCAAGATTAGTCGAGGGATGCAAGCGCCGCACATCAAGGAGAGACGCTAGGCATCCTATCACAATACCCGTTTTGAACCAAATGTTGACCGATTTGGAACATGTTTGTGTTAGCACTTATAGACCGTGGGCCGAGCGCGATTTTAGGGCTTAGTTTTCTTTTTTTGGACTGACTTTGTGGTACATAGTTTTTGGTAACCAGAAATTAGGATAAAAATACACAAGTCCCAAATCAGCTTATTCCTGCGAATGAATCCTTGTCGTTCGTATAAAACATAAGTTTCATTGACAAGTTATTTAAGAGAAATGTGCGTGAACGAGACCGCCAACTCTCCGTTCGTACACGTGTATAAACTCACCGTGTGACGAGAGTGAAACAGCACATTCTCCGTCTCCGTCGTACGAAGAAATTATGTAATCCATTCGAATATTTCCCAAAGCCAATCACATTTGCTGATGTGAATAATATGATTTTGCAAATATGAACTGCCAAAACTAATGAAAACCTCGTCAGGGTGAAAATATTTCGAAAATGAGGGGTCATAGCTACCATGAAACAGACGAGAAATAGCGCGTTGCCAATTTGATATTATTGTAAGGATCGTATGCAATTCTCTTGAATGTACACTGATCTGTGTAGAGATCAGTGGCTCCGTACTGACAAGACTCGAGTAAGTTTTGTGTAATTAAAACTTTTGATGAAAACATTTCTTGTATTAGCAATGCAATGGTAGTTTGAGAATAGGCGTACAGAATTAGAGTCCCTAAATATTCATTGTAATTATAAAAAAAGATATATGTCTTTTTGTATTTCCAGTCTTGTAGTAGTTTTTACATGTTTTCAAATGTTTGATTTTTTTTTGGGGGGGGGGGACACGCTTAATAAGGTATACGGGATGTGGGTGACTTTTCTTTCCTGGAGAAAGAAAAATGACAATGTTTATTCAAAATTACACTGCATTCACTGGCTTAAAAATTGATAACAAATACATGCTGAGGTATTATATGTGAAGTGTACAGAATGATGATGTATAATTTTATGTCGTCTGGATTTTGAAATCATGTGATGTTATTATAGTTTGTTATGTTTTGATGAACGGAATGTCCATCTACATGAATGTGTGAAGAACCATTTACTGGATGAGAATGTGAAATGGAAGATAAATGTCAGTATGCAAAAGCTTCCACTTAACCCAAAATATATAAATATACTTGTATATATTAGACATTCATTTGAAGAAGAAAAAAATCCTCCTCCAAAGGGGATGGGCCGGGAAAATTCATTAAACACCTGAAAAGGCCAAGGACCTTTTATGTCGGGTTTATTCTTGATGTTTTCGGCTTGCTCGTCAGTGAATTTCTTCGATGCCTCCCCCCCCCCCCCCCCCTTGGATCCACAGCTGCCAAATGATAAATTTATTGAAGTGTATATTCATTGAAGTGTTTCGGAAGTGATCCATATTCCATTTCAGGAAAGTAAAAAGAAAAACAAAATGAGTAGAACTAAAACGTTTTTTGGTGACATGTGACAATTTATTTCTTCAATCATTTATTCATGTTCATCTTTAATAAATTCATTGGTTTCTTCGTTTATAAAATATTTTATTTTTGGTTAACAAATTATGCCATGGGGTGGGAGTACTCACATTTTGGTTCCGACTGGGGTGTGCCGCTAACAACTGACACCTTGTCACCATTTGTTCAGTCAAAAATGTCATAAGTCCTGACAAAATGTATAAGGCCGACAACTAACCCGTACCTATATTAATGGTCATTTAGGCAGAACAGGGGCCATTATTTAAAAGTGTTTTTTTTGTATACTCCAGCGAAAAAATGAGCTAAAATATCCGATCTGAATTAGGCCTACAAAACCCTAACCCTTGTCAAGTGATTTTTTTGTGAAAAAATCACGCATTCCGGCGGCACATGATTCCCGTCCCGGATCCCCGTAAACCTTTATAAATATATTTATTTATATTCATTTATTTTTGGTTAAGTGGAAGCCTTCACATACCGACATTTATCTTTCATTTCACATTCTCATCCAGTAAATGGTTCTTCGCACATACATGTAGATGGGCATTTAGTTCATCAAAACATAACAAAACTAACAGAAAATAATGCTCTTAAATCTGTGTATTTTACTTATTAAACAATATTATTGAGTGTTTCTTGTAAGTATCGGCTTCTGGTATACAGATCTGACAGGAAGAGGGGAAAACATGGAAAAGGATATAAAACCTTGTTACCATTTGTTTAGTCAAAAATGTATAAGTCCTGACAAATAAAATTTCTGTAAACCAAACATGTATGAAAACATTCTGTATAACTATAATAACATCACATGATTTCAAAATCCAGACGACATAAAATTATACATTATCATTCTGTACACTTCACATATATACCTCAGCATGTATCTGTTATCAATTTTTAAGCCAGTGAATGCAGTGTAATTTTGAATAAACATTGTCATATTTCTTCCTCCAGGAAAGAAAAGTCACCCACATCCCGTATACCTTATTAAGCGTGTCCCCCCCCCCCCCCCCCTCGAAAAAAAAAAAAAAAAAAATCTAAAACTTCTAAAAAAATTCAAACATTTGAAAACATGTAAAAACTACTACAGGACTGGAAATAAAAAAGACATATATCTTTTTTTATAATTACAATGAATATTTAGGGACTCTAATTCTGTATGCCTATTCTTAAACTACCATTGCATCGCTAATACAAGAAATGTTTTCATCAAAAGTTTTAATTACACAAAACTTACTCGAGTCTTGTCAGTACGGAGCCACTGATCTCTACACAGATCAGTGTACATTCAAGAGAATTGCATACGATCCTTACAATAATATCAAATTGGCAACGCGCTATTTCTCGTCTGTTTCATGGTAGCTATGACCCCTCATTTTCGAAATATTTTCACCCTGACGAGGTTTTCATTAGTTTTCGCAGTTAATATTTGCAAAATCATATTATTTACATCAGCAAATGTGATTGGCTTTGGGAAATATTCGAATGGATTACATAATTTCTTCGTACGACGGAGACGGAGAATGTGCTGTTTCACTCTCGTCGCACGGTGAGTTAATACACGTGTACGAACGGAGAGTTGGCGGTCTCGTTCACGCACATTTCTCAAATAACTTGTCAATTAAACTTATGTTTTATAGGAACGACAAGGACTCATTCGCAGGAATAAGCTGATTTGGGATTTGTGTATTTTTATCTTTTTATTAACGTTATCTAAATCTTGTACCGGAATCTATGCAACGAACTGGAAGGAAAATCGCGCTCGGCCCACGGTCTATTATGAAGTGTTATTATACTCTGCCGCATTTTGTTTGGCATTTTATGGTTTTTTACGAATTAGTGAATTCACAGTGGTATCACGGCATAGGCGGGATCGAATGCTGCGTTTCACGGACGTGGCAGTCACCGGCAGTGCACCACATCGCCGGGTGAAGCTCTCTTTAAGGGAATCAAAAACTGATCCGAGGGGAAACGGTTGCACCATTTCAATACACGAAATTGAGGCGGGTAGTTGTCCCGTAAAGGCGGTCCTTAGATATTTGAAAATGCGCCCGGAAGTGGGGAGGCTTTCTTTTGCTCATATGGTTCACTTCCTCTCACCAGGCAGAAGTTCAGTGCCATGATAAAGAGATGCATGTCATACAGAGATATGTTGGCGGCGAAGTTTTCCTCCCATTCTTTTCGTATAGGTGCGGCTACAACCGCTGCTATGGCGGGCTGCTCGGACGCCCAAATACAGCACATGGGTCGATGGGCTTCCTCCGCGCATCGCAGATATATAAGGCTTGATATGGTTATTTAAATATGAGCAATGTTGCAAAGTACCGTGGGGGTTGATTTGATTTGATTTGATTCGCCAGGTATACGTACAAAATATAACAGAGTGAATGATGAGGTTAACGTGTCCGGGGCCAATAATTTAAGGGTGAGGCCGCATACACAGGAATGAATATATGTACAACACACAGAGGAATAAGTCCCTCGCCTCGAGAGGTTAAATAAGCTAATAATAATAATAGCAATAATAATAATAATGGTGCTACAACATGAAAATGAAAACGAAGTCAAGCAGACAACAAACATACATGCAGAACAAGAGCAAGAAAACACAATGGGATTTCAAGTTCACATTAACGCATGTTCTTTGGAATACAAAATGCTGCCCAGTCCTCTTTTCTTATTTTGTCCACAGAACAAATATGGATGGTAGGCGACTCTATCATTTTCTGGGCCCATCGCAGGGCGGAGCGGACTGGCTGCACCGATATGGGTTTGGGGACGGTCATCCATTGGGCTGGAAAGCGGGGCCTTCGCTTGGACCAAACAAACGCATGGCTAGAGTCGATTACCAGTGGCCTGACGAAGCCGACCGTTTTAGTGTTACACGTGGGCACGAATGACATAGAGGGATGTTCGAAGAGGGCGATGGCGAATGCGGTGAACAGATTAATCACATCGAACACTGAGACGACAATAATATGGTCTGACATCCTAGAACGGGTAGAATATAAATGCTGTAGGCCGGAAGAGCAGGGAAAATTAGACGATAGAAGGAGGGCCACGAACCGATACGCTCGCGCCTTGGTCGGCAGGAATGGGGGAAAGGCCATTCCACACCCCGACATAAGGCATAAGGATAGAGCTTTATATAGGCCGGACGGATTGCATCTCTCCGATGAGGGTTTGGACAGGTTTATCACTGACCTGAAGGAGGGCCTGTCCTATCTCGGTTCATCAGTCACCAGGTCACTGGCTCCTCACACCATCTTTTCTATTTTTAAGTCTCTTGTTATACCCATACTTGAATATGGACAACCAGTTTGGCATTTACACACAAAATTACTTTCGAATAAAATTGAAACGATACAACGTCGAGCTACTAGAGTTGCCCTTAGGCAAAGACGCCAACAAATGTCTTACGAGAATAGGCTCCAACTTCTGAATTGGCAATCCCTTGAATCCCGCCGAAAATATTGCTTGATCTCTTATGTTGTTAAGTCTTTGTTCCGTGTTATTGAATGCGGCACTGTCGGGCGTGCCATATTGGTGAATGCTCGTCGAACTGATGAGGTGAGGTTCGTTCATCTCCGGGCGCGGACTCAACGGATGCACGGCTCTGCAATTAACGCATTTCATCGTTACTGGGACGCACTCCCCGAGTCCTTGCGCACGGGGGTGGTCGAGACTTCCTTGTCGACCTGGCTTGCTGCGCTTGGGTGTCACCTCCGCCAGTGTGGGATTTAAATGATTGAAAGGGTAAGAGGGGAGAGGAGGCTGGAGCATAATATGCGGTTGAGTGGTTTTATATTAAACTGAATACTAAATTCTACTGCTTCCGCCTCTTCTTGCTTCTTTTCTTCCTTAATATTTCCCCCGCTTATTATATTGTTAACACGCACGTGTTTATAATTGCAAAATAACGATGTTCTTTTGTTATGGAACTGTTCTTCCGATATCATGGGTATAGGTCAGTATTATAGATATTTGTAACCTGTATCTTTAATGGGTTATATATATATTTCATTGGAATTTAAGTTCAAGTTCAAGTTCAGTTTATTCAATTCCAATAAAATATACAAAACAGAATACAATCATGATAGAATAAGAGTATAAGTCGATCAATAATACAAAATAAGGTAAAATTATAAAACTATAAAGTGATACATCAGATAACAACATAAGATTATTGGAATTGGGTGGCCATAAATTTAATCTTTTGGTATAGGTCAGTGTTATGAATATTTGTAACCTTGAATGGGATATATATATATTGGGATTGTGTGGTCATGTCGAATCCTGTTATGGTACAGGTCTAAATATACACTGTAATTTTGATTTCAAGAAAATGTATCGCTGATAAATATGTACTTCTCTCCTCTCTGTTTGCTTTACTTTTCCCTCTCTCTTTGCTCTCTCTCTCTCTCTCTCTCCCCCTTTGTCTCTTTTAGTTTCCTTTCATTTTCTATAGTATCTTCTATTCCTTGCTGTCAGGGGAGATACGGTTATAATATGTTATATACCTCACTTAAGTAATCCAGCCATCTGATTGGTCGAAATTGCATTCATAAACTTCAACTGTTCCTGTAAAATTCTCGGTAACCATGCTTAAAACATTTCAATATTTTTAATAACCATGGTTATTAAAAAAATAGGTCAGTCTCCATGGTTACCCCATAGGTTTACATGTTAAAAAATGGTTTGAGCGATGGAGGATACCATATGTGTGCGAAGAAATGGTCGCTACATTTTACCAATTTTGTAATACAACTAGCAGCTAACTCGCCCCACGGGACATCTCGCCCCAGCATCAAAGACTGGGTCGAAATGTTCCGACACGATTCATCGATCGAGAGATACCAATGTGTATATGTTTGTGCTCATTGTACATTTTAGACGATATATGGCTGATATTTGTTCACATTCTTTCATCCTGGCCGTTAATTAGCAGACTACTGGTATCTCTCGATCGATAAATCATGTCGGGATATCTCGCTGGGGCGAGATGTCCCGTGGGGCGAGTTAGCCCGACTCCCTTGTGAATTTGTAGCATTGTTGTGCCAGTGATCGAGTGCAGCGCAGACGACCGACTGTACTACTAGGCCAAAATGGCGGAATTAATAGATTAAATCTGTCAAATTATGCCTCCAAATCACTAATCACATGGTACTGATAAGTTTATTGATCAATAATTGTCATCCGATAATTTTCGACCCCACTCAATTTTTACATGCGAGGGGGTTGCCAATGTATATTCAGTCGAATTTGTTCGCATGTCAATTCTTAGTTTTCCGGCCCCCATTCGATTTGAATGCGGGGGGACCTAGTTGTACCTACACATTTTCAAACTCAGGGTGTCACGCTTTAATCTTAGGCATCATCCGATCTTACAGGCGGAGAGGCTGGTATATATGTACATCTATATTCTATAACTTTAGGCATCACTCGATTTTAGAGGCGGGGGGCTGATATAATGACTTAATGTATATAAGTTTAGCCTAGGCATCACTCGATTTCATAGGTGGGGGGCCTAGCATTTGTAAACATTTTTTATGATTCAATATATCTGTGTTATTTTGTTATGACACCCAGAAAATCAAAATGTGCAAAATAAGCGTCCATCTCAAAATGTTAATAAAGCCACGACATAAACGCAAATTTGGTTGTTTGTTATTTTTGTTAGCCGTGAATAAAGGCTTGTTACTTGTTACTTGTTACTTGTAGAGATAATCCCGATGGCAGCTATCATACAGCTAAACTGGGATGTCCGTGCAACGTGCTGGCATAGTGACAGTGCATGAAGTAATTCAAAACAGTGAATGATGTCTATTATTTACAATAAAACGGTGGACGTGCAAGTAAAAACCAAGACGTGGAGTCTACAGTAGCTTGGACCCAACAGGAGGAGGCAACGCTCTGATGATGGGTAGAGCAGCCTCCTGGAAGATGGTCACTGTTGGAGATATTATCGCAGCAGCTGATAGGTGGTTCCACGTCCAGATGGTGCGAGGATAGAAGGAGTACTTGAAGCTATCAATGGAAGCTGGGGGTACTGCATACTTCAGAGGGTGATCATTTCTGCCCAGATATGTAGCTGGGATAATGTGAGTGGGAAAAGGCATGTTGAGTTGATGATGGTGCATCTTGTAAAACAAAGTGGACTGTGCAAGAAGCCTGCGATTGTGAAGGGTATCCCATCCCAGTTTGTTGACAAGTGCTGTGACTGATGTTACTCTCCGGTAGTCTTGGTATACAAAACGGGCGGCAGCTCGCTGTACTTTCTCAAGACTTTGTATTGATGTCAGAGTCCGAGGGTTCCAAGCTTCACTGCCATACTCAAGTTGGGGACGAACAAGCATTGTGTAGGCTTTGGATTTGATGTTCTTGGTGCACGGTGATAGAGTTCTGCGTAGGGGGCCAAGGGTTCTATTGGCTTTCTGGGTGGTGAGTTTGCATTGGGTGTTCCATTTAAGGTCATGGGTAATCGTGACACCAAGATACTTGTATTGTTTTACTCGAGGAATTGACTCATTTAGTAGGGTGTAGTCCACTGTGATGGGGTGCTTCTTGTTTGTGATTGACAATGAAGCACACTTCTTGATGTTGAATCCCATCAGCCATTTAGTAGACCAGTCTGCAAGAACATGGAGATCTTCTTGCAGTATATGAGTGTCTGAGGGAGAGTCGATACGCCGGTAGATGACACTGTCATCTGCAAATAGACGCATTGTGGACTTGATGTTGAGTTTGATGTCATTGATGTACAGCAGGAAAAGTACGGGGCCGATGACAGAACCCTGCGGTACTCCTGAAGTAACAGGCATCCATGCTGAGCGAGCACCATTGACGACGACAGCTTGATGTCTATTCGCTAGGAGTGACATAGTCCAGCGGAGAGAGTCTCCCCTGATTCCGTAGTAATGTAGTTTGGATCTAAGGTGTGGATGTGGTACGCGATCAAACGCTTTTTGGAAGTCGAGAAAGACGATATCAGTTTGGCCTCTAGATTGAAGAGAGGATGACCAATCATCGGTAGCTGTGACAAGTTGTGTTGTTGTCGAAAGATTCTGTCTGAAACCATGCTGTTCATCAATGAGTATGTTGTTAGCTGCAAGATGTTTAGAAATGTGGCTAAGCATAATATGTTCCATCACCTTACTGCAGATACACGTCAGCGATATAGGTCTGTAGTTACCTGGGCAGCATTTATCTCCTGCCTTATGAATAGGGGCTACAAGTGCACGTTTCCAGTCTAAACTCCAGTCTCAACTCCTTTACTTTGAAAAGGCATAATATGTATGAAGGGGTGACCAAAGTTCGCGGACATTTTAGAACATATTACAAAATGTGATATTCGATCTATGATTTCTCATATTCTACACAACTTTATTTATTTCAATTATTACCAAATGGACGGCAAAGTTTTTTACTACAGATTGGTTCAACTAGAAAAATTTACCGTCGAAGGATTTCGGAGATATCGCGATCTAAAAATTTGATGTCCGATCGTGCGCGCGCGCTGCATCTAAAAAAGTCATAAAAACAATGAGACCTAACTTCACGCACGGTGGTTTACAGTTGATTTATCAAAAAATGTGATCCATCAAAAATAAGGTAATATCATAATTTGCAAGGCAAGATATCGTACAATCAGTTCGTACCACTCTTTACTTACAATTTTCAGGATTTCTGATCTCAAAATGAAGATTTCCAGACCCTTATCGGTAAGTTGATAATTTTTCGGAACGGACGCAAATAACTGCAAAATTTGCCGATCTTTTGTCAATATTTTCACAATTTCGCAACCAATTCTAAAGAAAATTTCGTTTCTGGGTAATTTTAAGACCCTCTTTCCATTGGTGATATCAGAGTTTCGAAATCTTACCGATTTTTTGAGAAAGCGAACTTTGGTCACGCGCGAACTTTGGTCACACCGCCATACAGTACACTATCAACGTTAAGAGTCACTGATTAGACCAATTGCTGTTTGCGAAAATTTTTGCATTAGAAAAAGGTTGCTCTAAAACTCATCTACAAATATACTTACAGTTATTTGCATCTGCTGCCATGACAACGATTCCCATAGGTTGCTGAGGAATATTAGCTCTGAGTACAGTGACCTCTGCAGCAGTGTATTTATCAGCTCTTAATACTGCTCGCCTAACCCAATCAGTCCAGTATAAGTAGTCATCAAAAACAGCCAATCCAAAGGGATGAACAGGCTCAGTGATAAGAAGAACCTGTAACACAGTGGATTAAATAAGGATCAAACACAGCTAAACCAAATGGATGAACAGGCTCAGTGATAAGAAGAACCTGTAACACAGTGGATTAAATACCATTCTTCATGTATCACTATGCAACCTACAGAAAAATATCTTGATTTTCGAAACTGCATCGTAAACTTGTTCTTAAGTAATCAGTAATTAGATGTTCTTTTATATAACTGAGTAAATCCTTCACATAATGCTACTATCTGTACCAACTTGTAAGATGAAATAAGTAGTATATGAGGTAAGCTGGAGGATTCTGTATTATAGGAATGAGAACATTCAGTCGAGGATGAACACAAAATAAAATTGAGGAGGATTGTATTCATACATAATGTTATGTTGCATAAAAAGTTGTTCCTTTCTCATGAAGGGGGAACCTGTGAAATTGCTACAAAGCTTCATCTATTAAAGCATGTGAGATATAGGGTGAAGTCATTCATACCACTCTGTTTTGTCCATCATAATCACAGCGTTCAATTTTGTCTTGTTTAGCATCAGACCAGAAGAGGAGACGTGATTTATGATCGATCCCGATTCCATTAGGCATCTGAATCTGATCAGTGATAATGTTTGTCACATTCTGACCACTCGTAGAAGACCTTTGGATGCGAGGAAATGCCTCATTCCAATTCGTCCAAAACATCAGGCTGCAATAAGATATCAAACATTATATTCACAATTTACTCTACATAACATACACTCTTCTCACATAGGTCTGAAGTATAAGTTGCATTTAAGTGAGATTTATGCGGTTTAAACTGCTCAATATCAGAAGTGATCCTGATAAATCCTGATTTATCCTGATAAAATGATAAGAAAATGCCATTACAGATTTACCTTTAAAATCATATTTGTATTAAACATTATTTCATTAACTTGGCAAGAATACAAATGGTTTAGATAAATTACATTATTGAGTCTGTAATGGAGATCTATATATCTCTCTTGTCTAATGCTAGGATATTTGACTCTTGTCTTACCTATGACAATAGTCGAGTGCAATGAGTTAGTCTGTAATGGAGATCTATATATCTCTCTTGTCTAATGCTAGGATATTTGACTCTTGTCTTACCTATGACAATAGTCGAGTGCAATGAGTTAGTCTGTAATGGAGATCTATATATCTCTCTTGTCTAATGCTAGGATATTTGACTCTTGTCTTACCTATGACAATAGTCGAGTGCAATGAGTTAGTCTGTAATGGAGATCTATATATCTCTCTTGTCTAATGCTAGGATACTTGACTCTCGTCTTACCTATGACAATAGTCGAGTGCAATGAGTTAGTCTGTAATGGAGATCTATATATCTCTCTTGTCTAATGCTAGGATACTTGACTCTTGTCTTACCTATGACAATAGTCGAGTACAATGAGTTAGTCTGTAATGAAGATCTATCTCTCTTGTCTAATGCTAGGATACTTGACTCTCGTCTTACCTATGACAATAGTCGAGTGCAATGAGTTAGTCTGTAATGGAGATCTATCTCTCTTGTCTAATGCTAGGATACTTGACTCTCGTCTTACCTATGACAATAGTCGAGTGCAATGAGTTAGTCTGTAATGGAGATCTATCTCTCTTGTCTAATGCTAGGATACTTGACTCTCGTCTTACCTATGACAATAGTCGAGTGCAATGAGTTAGTCTGTAATGGAGATCTATCTCTCTTGTATAATGCTAGGATATTTGACTCTTGTCTTACCTATGACAATAGTCGAGTGCAATGCCCCTGGGATGATCACCAGCAGTGAGTCTAACTAGAACCTCCTCTTTAGTTGGTTCATCTATTATAAGACGACCGATAGAGGAGTTTGTGTAGCTGGTCCAGTAAATCTGTCTCATGAGTGGGTCATAAGCAATCCCTTCTGCTGACCCAATACCTGTAGCAAATAGTAAAAGATAAACAACATGTCGGATAAATATTCTATTGATGAGTTTAAATCTATATTGTATATGTTGAAACTATCCATAATTTACTCAGCTAAAAGTATCAAGACACGTTTGTTGTGAAACATACTTATACTCTGGTGCAATACAAAGTACTGTACCTACAGCCAAGCAATCAGATGTAACTCATGCATGATAGGGCATGGACCTTGTGGTAGATTAGCCCTGTGCTAAACAAGTTATCCAATAAAGTCTACTACTACTACTACTACTACAAACATTTGCCTAGCTCTTCATCCAATTCTTTATAATTTCTAGTAATTGAAATCCCCAAATAGATACTTGATATAAGGATTGACTTACCAGCAACAATTGTTCTTCGTCCAGTTCCATTGACATTGACCACTTGTATATTACCCAGTTGTATGTCTGTGTAAAAGATTCTTTTCTCCATGTAATCCACTGCTAATCCAATCACATTACGGATATTCTCAGCATCAGACAGTGGCTGGATTGGTTGGTTCTTGTCCGATGTGTTATATAAGTTGATACTCTTAACTCCATTTCTTTCTGAATACAGGATATACGCATCATATTCTGAAAGAGCACAAGGGAAAACCATTCATAGAATGCTCATAAGTTTAACATCTAATATATTGAATGACTTGTTAATAAACTTTGGTTACTCTCATTCTGAATATATTTCTTTGCCCTAAAAAATAAAAATCTCAATAAAAATGGAACAGCTCCCTGAGATTTATAAAAAAGTACATGGCTCCTTGTAAGAATGAGCATTGATCAAGATGATTATTCCTATTAATAGCATACATGTACATGTAACAGCATACACTGAGTAGCTTACCTTCACAGCTCAATCCATCGTTAGCCACTGTTCCATGAGCACAGGCACACGTTCTTCTTGTTCCCCCAAGATAGAAACATATCTGGGAACAATTGCCATTGTTTATACTGCAAGGGTTCATGTCACTACGTATCAAGGGGGGAAAAGGGTAAATATACATATTTCAATCTTTCAATTATTTTGATGACAGGCAAAATTGACAGGAGAAACATCTTACCAGCGCTTCAAATTAAGAGCATAACACTTTGATATTAGGTAACATATTGCAGAACTATACAAATGATTTTCAGCTCTCTGACAAGACAAGTTACCCATCAATAGACAGATAAAACAATAAAGATGGGATAGTGATAGGATACTTATCTGGTTGTCTATTGGTACTGTATACATGTACATCTTTGACTGCAACTCCAATACCACCTTTCATCGTCACCACGGTATCGTTTCCATCCTTGTTCAAACGATAGATAGATCCAGAGCCAGATGTCCTACATTCAATCAACAAACATAATCATGAAATTAGTTACAACTAACACTCTTTGGGCAGAGATATGTAATATCTTGGACAGCAAGACTACACCAATATGCTAACTAGAGCTTCAGAGCCTTTCATCATTCATGCCTTTTTGCAAACATTATGGAGTACCCCTTCAGTTTGATTGTTGATGAGTTAATCAGAATTAGTAATGCTTCCATTCTGTACATGTAGCTCTGGAATATTTTAAAGAGTGTTTGAATTCTCAAAAGGACAAGCCCATCATATAAGATCCAGTAGTTATAAACTTACTAGAATCATTTGAAACTGTATAAAAAGATTAATTAACATGACATGAAGAAGCTAGATGACTGACCTGTCAGTGAAGTATAGGTACTGATGGCTCATTGTGATAGCAAATGGATCATTGATGTGTGCAGCATCACTCAGGATGACTTTATAGTTGCCCCCATTTAAATCTACTCTTGCTATGTTATTATGGCCAGCATCACACCAGTAAAGCATATCTGTATTGAAATCAATGACCAAGCCATTTGGCCAGTTGATTTTGCTGCTGTTGATAATCACTGTCCTGTTTTCTCCATTTAGAAGGGATCGTTCTATCTTAGGCTCGACTCCCCAATCAGCCCAAATCAGATACCTGCATGGATAGTTAAAAAAACATACAAAGGTTCTCACTGTGGTATATCAAATATGGTCTCAAGAGTCAACTACATTTCATACACTCTGGACAATTAAATAAAAGTTAAGGTGTGTACATATATTACGTACAAAGTGTAGACAATGTAATGCATTACACATTCTGATTTAGGCCATTCGGCATTTTAATATTCAGGCAAAGGTATAAATGAAGCTATTGTATACATTGCAATGTTTCCTTTTGTTTAATACAAAAGGCCTTTAGTGCAGGTTTAGGACATAGCTGTCAATCTTACCCTCTGACTGGATGAACAACAATAGGTCTAGGCTTGTCTATTCCTTCTGAGATGAGAACATATCTGAAGGAGCCATTAGTCCTAGACACCTCAATCACATCATTCCTCTGATCAGTCCAGTACATATTACCTAGGATAAACAACAAACACATTAGAATCAATCTGATCCGTCCAGTTCATATAACCCAAGATAAACAACAAACACATTAAATATCAATATGATCAATAGAGTAAAGTTTAGACTTCTTACAAATGATGATACAGTCTACTCACTTGCTTCTACTCACTTGCTTTCCTTTCTATTCTGATGGTTGAACATTGCTATGTTCTAACTGGTTTAATTGACTAAGTATTTACCTGCGATCCAGTGAACATTGCTATGTTCTAACTGGTTTAATTGACTAAGTCTTTTACCTTGATCCAGTCTACCGAAAAGGTTTATCTGGTGAAATGTTTATTACCTGCAATCCAGTCAACTGCTATAGCTTTTCCTCTACTAAACTAGTTCAACTAAACGAGTTTAACATGAGTTAACAGGTTTATCTGGTTACATGTTTATTACCTGCAATCCAGTCCACTGCTATGCCTTCAATTCTGCTGTTAGTGGCTGTGAGTAAGACTTGGCGTTCTGTATGATCTCTTTTGATTCGGTTTAATGTGTACAATGCTGTATCAATCCAATAGATAAAATTCTCGGCTGCAAAAAAAGAAAAGGAATTTGGGTGACTTTATTAAACTTTTGATGCAGATATTTGAAATAAATGTGTGAAATTTCATGTTCCAAAATAAATAATAGAACCAAAGACAATAAAGTGACAGAAATTCTAAATCTCTACTTCAGGTACTGTTAAACAGCTTTGGCAGAGTTACCTTTACCTTTACTAGCATATCATCATATTGTTATGCAAACTATGCAATACTCATACATGTATATTACTCCTAACTGTATCACATTCTTTTGTTTCCTTTATTGTTAAGTGCACTGTGGATTGTATGATCAGTCTCGTTTCATACATGTACATGGTATTTGTCATATTTGGAGAATAACATTATTTGAAAGCGAAATTAATTTTAAAAAAACACAAACGTTAACTAATATGTAATATTTGAATATGCAGTAAATACATTACAAAATGCTTACAAACACCTTATAGTTTATTGCACAGAGGTGACACAAATATCTTCTCCTTTGCTTGCTGTATTTTGCAAATATTTTCTGCTAAATAATACATGTGTACATCTTGAAAGTCATTAATCAAAAATGTTTGATGAATACTAGAAAGCGAAATTGATAAAAACACAAACGTTAACTAATATGTAATATTTGAATATGCAGTAAATACATTACAAAATGCATACAAACACCTTTTAGTTTATTGCACAGAGGTGACACAAATATCTTCTCCTTTGCTTGCTGTATTTTGCATTGTAGTAATGTATTTCTCACCTGCATGGAAGTCAATAGCTACTGAGAGCATATGGCCTGTGATTGGAGTCAACATATCTTTATCATCTAATGGATGCTCTAGGGATATGCCTCGGATCGTCTCATCAGTTGAGTAAAGAAGGAACTCACTTACGCCTACAAACAAACAAAGTTAACTTATTGTCATCAAACTTATAACAACATACAGTATTCCATGCTTATACATGATGCTACATAATAAATAGAAACTTAATCTGTATACTAGAGTAACTCATTCACACAAGAAATACTATCAAAATAGTTTACAGTATATCAATATCTATTTGCCTGACAGTAATTTTGATGCCCTGTATAATAAATGGTAATTCAACATAAAATATAGGGGCATCGTGAAGTGATCGAGACACTTTCTATCATTGTTCTTACCATTACAAGTAGTACTGTCTGCTGAGGTGATGTAACCAGCGGTACATGCACACTTTCTATCATTGTTCTTACCATTACAAGTAGTACTGTCTGCTGAGGTGACATAACCAGCGGTACATGCACACTTTCTATCATTGTTCTTACCATTACAAGTAGTACTGTCTGCTGAGGTGATGTAACCAGCGGTACATGCACACTTTTTATCATTGTTCTTACCATTACAAGTAGTACTGTCTGGTGAGGTTACGTAACCAGCGGTACATGCACACTTTCTATCATTGTTCTTACCATTATAAGTAGTACTGTCTGCTGAGGTGACGTAACCAGCGGTACATGCACACTTTTCATCATTGTTCTTACCATTACAAGTAATACTGTCTGCTGAGGTGACGTAACCAGCGGTACATGCACACTTTTTATCATTGTTCTTACCATTACAAGTAGTACTGTCTGCTGAGGTGACGTAACCAGCGGTACATGCACACTTTTTATCATTGTTCTTACCATTACAAGTAATACTGTCTGCTGAGGTGACGTAACCAGCGGTACATGCACACTTTTTATCATTGTTCTTACCATTACAAGTAGTACTGTCTGCTGAGGTGACGTAACCAGCGGTACATGCACACTTTTTATCATTGTTCTTACCATTACAAGTAGTACTGTTTGCTGAGGTGACGTAACCAGCGGTACATGCACACTTTCTATCATTGTTCTTACCATTACAAGTAGTACTGTCTGGTGAGGTTACGTAACCAGCGGTACATGCACACTTTCTATCATTGTTCTTACCATTATAAGTAGTACTGTCTGGTGAGGTTACGTAACCAGCGGTACATGCACACTTTCTATCATTGTTCTTACCATTACAAGTAGTACTGTCTGGTGAGGTGATGTAACCAGCGGTACATGCACACTTTCTATCATTGTTCTTACCATTACAAGTAGTACTGTTTGCTGAGGTGACGTAACCAGCGGTACATGCACACTTTCTATCATTGTTCTTACCATTACAAGTAGTACTGTCTGGTGAGGTTACGTAACCAGCGGTACATGCACACTTTCTATCATTGTTCTTACCATTATAAGTAGTACTGTCTGGTGAGGTTACGTAACCAGCGGTACATGCACACTTTCTATCATTGTTCTTACCATTACAAGTAGTACTGTCTGGTGAGGTTACGTAACCAGCGGTACATGCACACTTTCTATCATTGTTCTTACCATTATAAGTAGTACTGTCTGGTGAGGTTACGTAACCAGCGGTACATGCACACTTTCTATCATTGTTCTTACCATTACAAGTAGTACTGTCTGCTGAGGTGACGTAACCAGCGGTACATGCACACTTTCTATCATTGTTCTTACCATTACAAGTAGTACTGTCTGCTGAGGTTACGTAACCAGCGGTACATGCACACTTTCTATCATTGTTCTTACCATTACAAGTAGTACTGTCTGGTGAGGTTACGTAACCAGCGGTACATGCACACTTTCTATCATTGTTCTTACCATTATAAGTAGTACTGTCTGGTGAGGTTACGTAACCAGCGGTACATGCACACTTTCTATCATTGTTCTTACCATTACAAGTAGTACTGTCTGCTGAGGTGACGTAACCAGCGGTACATGCACACTTTCTATCATTGTTCTTACCATTACAAGTAGTACTGTCTGGTGAGGTTACGTAACCAGCGGTACATGCACACTTTCTATCATTGTTCTTACCATTACAAGTAGTACTGTCTGGTGAGGTTACGTAACCAGCGGTACATGCACACTTTCTATCATTGTTCTTACCATTACAAGTAGTACTGTCTGGTGAGGTTACGTAACCAGCGGTACATGCACACTTTCTATCATTGTTCTTACCATTACAAGTAGTACTGTCTGGTGAGGTTACGTAACCAGCGGTACATGCACACTTTCTATCATTGTTCTTACCATTACAAGTAGTACTGTCTGGTGAGGTTACGTAACCAGCGGTACATGCACACTTTCTATCATTGCCTGGTAGAGGGAGACATAGCTGCTGACATCCTCCATTCTGATCCTTACATGCATTCTCACCAACTAAAGATAAAGACAATTATTCATTATGTAAATATCATTGACACCGAAAACAAAAACAAAAAAATAATAATTTGTAAATTATTCATAAAAATCATAACCAAAAAAAAGGCTGATATGTACATCAAAGTTTTTTTTTTGAGAACGATTACAGTACACAAATAGATAACCAGATACAATCCAGAAACAAAAGACATTTACATCTAGAGGTAGGTCCAAAAAAATAATAAAGAAATATAATCAAAACACAGTATTGACAAGTGTATCACAGTGGATTTTATAACTAAAAAATAAAGACTTTCTTGGGGAAACTTCTAAGAAGTCGAATGGAGAGAGACAGAAAGAGTGTGACAGAAGGAGATAGAGATATTGAGCAATAGATACAAATAGATAGTAAACTTACTCTGTGAGGTAGGATTGTACATAAACATCTCTGTTACTCCTGGGGTCTTTCTCCTAAGGATGTTGATGTGATCACTATCATTCTTATGTACATACTTGATTGTTCCTAAATCATTGTTGTCTGCCCAGAACACCTGCAAAAGATGTATAAAATGCATTTGTAAGTCAATTTCTGGGCAATTGATTACTGATAAACTATGTAAATGTAGTAACTCATATGTATATGAGGAGAGGATGACAACTGCATACATTTATCTGATATAATACCACCAATGATAGCACTCTCAGAAAGTGAACAAACTAACCTTGTCAGGAGTGACAGTGATAGCAGACTTACCTTGTCAGGAGTGACAGTGATAGCAGATGGTTGAGAGGCTTCATCAAGTGACAAGAAATCTTGAATATTACCCCCCTCAAGGTTACTGGTCTTAATCTTGAAGAGCCCAGCATCGGTCCAGTACAAACGCTGCTTGCTACGATCAATAGCAAGGCCTGATATATAAGATACAAACAGAGTCAATACACAATAACACTTTTCAGACATAAGAGTTAAAGTCAGGCTGATCTAAGATAATCATAATTGAAATGACAGGGGTGTACCCCTTTTATTTGAAAGGAAAGAGGTAATACAGACATTTATGAAGAGGCTCACATTGACAGGGTACTCCTATTCATGCATGAACATGTATTTTGGACAGCCTGATTTTGGTCCAAAGCTGTCCCAAGAATGAAAGAAAACATCCAGATCAATTTAATAGATAGATTTTTTACAAAATTAATGGTGACTTTGGCTAATCCTGAATCGGCTTCAAAGTAAGATACCTTGAAGAAGTTTAGTGTACAGCCTGTATAGTTTAAAAAAACACAGACGAGGGGGTGTTTATGTAAACCACTGAGAGTATGTACCTTGAAGAAGTTTAGTGTACAACATACATAGTTAAACAAAACACTGACAAGGGGGTGTTTATGTTAACCACTGAGAGTGTTTATGCAAACCACTGGGGGTGTTTATGTAAACCACTGAGAGTATATCATGTAACCTACCTGTAGGGTTGTTAAGAACATGGCCTGTGACGATGGACGTCTGATTTGTACCATCCATTCGAGCCTTCTCAATAGATGGAATCGGTCCAGCATTGATCCAGTACATTATCCTAAACAAAATAATTACATCGTTACACATGATAGCAGACTAAACTGATCTTCAATCATAGTGCACATTATCTGTCCAAAATGAATCTCAAAGGGCCTGCTTACAAAGTGAAACTATTAGCAAGGTTTGACCTGTCTCAAGGAACATTATCATGGAAACAAACATACATTGTAGCTTCACGGGCTCATGAGTGTATCAAATGCACTAGATAATTTACTTTTCAACATTGTAATACTTATTATGTACAGGTTTACAAGTTTTCCATAAGAATCAAGTGCCTGAATAACAGTCTTCAAACTGCTGACCAGAATCACGACATTGGACCGATAATGGTGAACTCTTGCCACTACAGCTAGCCATGAAGTACACATAGACAGAGAGTACACATAGACAGAGAGTGTTATTCTTAGCCAACAGTTGGTTCACATAGACAGAGAGTACTCATAGACAGAGAGTGTTATTCTTACCCAACCGTTGGTTCAATAACAATGCTTTTGGGGTTGGTAAGGTTGAGGTTATCAATCTCATTCTGGAAGCTCCCATCAAGTCTAGCGATGTTAATAGTGCTCTTATCTGGAGACAAGTTGGTCCAGTACATGTTCCTTGATACCCAGTCTATGGCTAGGTTATATGCATAAGGGATACCTACAACAAGAAAATAACAATTGCTCAAATCAACTTTACAACTGTGAATCATAATGAAAGCTAATTTTCTGAAGATCCTAACCTCATGCATCGTTGATAATAATACGAATTGGATACAAGAAAAAGTTATCCATTACAAAAAGAACAACTTATACAAATAAATTTTCTTCTGAATTAGCTCCTACATGTACATTTGGAAAGAATTGATAAGCATTTTCTTTGACTATTACTTAGGATCTCATTGATGATATAGTACAAGCCATAATTAGGTTTTAAAGTCATATTTTAAGAAAGTGATCAATATAACTAAACTATATACAAATATTTAGTTAGTATAAACAATAAATATCTGGAATTAAACATTCAAAAATTATTTATTGAAAGCCAGTTTCCATCTGGTTGGATGTTCCTAATAATAGATCTCTTCAATATACCATTGAATTCATGAATCTTCAGGTTTTTACGTCTGCAAAAGGGACAAACCCTCTTTGTTTTCACTGCAAGTTTCCAACATAACTCACATTTTCATTACTTCTAAATTTACTGATGACTACTAGGGCAGAAATAAAATGTAAATGAAAGAAACTCGTCTTTTACAATGGCTTCATTACATGACTAAATTTATAAAGAATGAATACCTTCAATAACTGTTTCAATATCAGTTCCATTGATAAAAGCTCGATTGATGCTTTTCCTCTGTAAGTCTGTCCAGTAAATCCTATTTTCAATGGTATCATGATCAATGGATGATGCATTAGCTACATTGGGTATTGTCAGGGCAGGAATCACATTGTAGTATCCATCATCTACATCCACTCCACGAATATCCGTTGGACGTGAGATAACAAAGAAGACAGTGTCATCTATAGCAAAGAAAAAAAGTTAAAGTTGAAGACATTACTTTTGTTGTCCTCTTTTATATTTTCTCAAAGTAGCTAGGGATACTATCATGCACATTTATTCAAAATTCATTAAAACCAGAAGCAAAACTTTGAGCATAAATTTTACATACTGATGCCAATAAATTATAAATAAGTGTTTGATTTCCTTATCATCATCATTCTTTACATTCACACCCATCCTCCCATGCTGTAGGATGATAGATCCTGGGAGAACTTTCCTTTTTCAATAAACACACATTTCCTAGCAGTTTAATCTCTTAATACTGTACATGGCTTTTTATCCAAAGTAGGTCCATCACTTCTTTTTGTTTATTCATTAATGAACAATGAGCATGAATTTAACTTACTAATGCAGGTCTTGTTATCTGTGTGTAGCTTCTTAAGATGGGGACAAGCACAGGCAATTCCATGTCCATTCAGTAAACAGAGATCAGAGCATCCTCCATTCTTTATACCACACGGGTTCGGTTCTACAACAAATAGTATAAATATTATATTATTATAAATTATTGTAATACTGGCAAATATAAGCATTGGTCTCCCTCTGTGTTACACAAACAAAGAAAGAAATTACATGCATCACTGATAAGATCTATAGTACTTACATGTAGATACAGCCTTTACAACATAAAGAATTCCTTTCCTAAGGGACTGCCTAACGCTTCCCACAGTATTTATAAAATATAATGATATTACATTTTGTCAATTAAATACTCATCAATTGATTTTTTTTTTTTAAATGATCCCAATGAGTTTGTGCATGCTTTAACTTTACAAGCACATATATTTCAAAACAGGCATGTGAAATTAGAGAAATAAGTGACAGGAAACTCTTCCATTATACAAATTACCAATGTGTGTGTTAGGAAAGTAACCACATTTATATGCAATATACAAAATCAAATAAAAAAGACTAACTTTGTTGCTGTCTGTAAGGGTGATAGACATGGATGTCAAATGGCTGAGTACTTGTCTTCTGTATGGCTGTTACATTCTGTCCAGTAAACTTGTTAGCTTGGTAAACAGTGTTACTACGCCAGTCAGTCCAGAATACACGCCCCTCAAACACAGTAATAGCAAAGGGATGATAGAGGGAGTTGTGTCCCTTTAAGACTGTGAAGATATTAGATCCATTGTACAAGGCAGCATGGATGGCATCTGACCTGTGTTTGAAAAATGTACACCATCATTTTGATATTTTGTCTCTTTAAATAGGAGAAAGTTCTCATAACAAAATTTGCTGATAGGACTCTGATCATTCCTAATAATTTGATGCTTTGACTATTTTAAGGTAAACAAGGTGACAAGATGCCTTATCACCTACTGTATGATAAACATGCCTTAAATTTATATACATTATTTTATCAAAAGTCATAACAAATCTCGTTCCACTTCATAGATGAAAAAAATGTAATTCCTCTCATACTACATTGTAGCTTAAATAATAATAATAACAGTGAACATTTATAATGCGCCATGTCTGTCGAAAATATATTGGATTGAACACATTGGCCCGTATTTTGAAGTCGTGTCTCACTTAGCCATGTCTAAAGTTAAACAACTGTTAAGTTAGACACGACTTAGACGCGAGGTCGTGTCTAAGTCCTGTCTAACTAAATTTCGTATTCTGAAGTCGTGTCTAAGTCTCGTCTAACTAAACAACTGTGTAAGTCCTGTCTAAGTCGTGTTTAACTAAACAACTGTTTAAGTTCTGCGCAGGTCGTGTTTAACTTGTAGTCAAGACTTCTGCGCATGCCCAGTAGGCGTTAATTCTGACGATAGATCGAATGCGCATGCGTGCGCGCACCGGATAAATAAATTAACGCGCACAGCTAGCTGTGCGCGTGCTGGTACCATGGTGATGTGATCGTGACGTAATGACTAGACTACATGTACTGTGTGTACGTAACACGCTTAACGTACCTATTGCATTGACAAACACACTAATAATATCACTTAGCAGTGCCTCAGTGCTCGGAAGAACCAGAAAAGAAACTTTTCCAACAGAATGGTTAATTTATTATAGATTATGGAATTTCCAAGATGTCATCAGTAGATAAGAATAGTTAATATTATCGAGAAAAAAGATTAGGCTACACAAGAAAAAATCCTGCAAAGCGAATTTGAAAGTTTAGAGGATGCAAGTACCATCGTTCTCCCCCGCAAGTTCGGGGTCAGATAGTAGAGTGTACCTTCCACGTTGAAAAGCAGAAGAATCACGCCCTTAAACAGGACTTAAACAACCCCTCGCAGTTGTCTTAAGTTAAACAGGACTTAGACAGGACTTTGTGTTTAACTTTATTTAAACACAACTTCAGAATACCAAAAAAGTTAGACACGACTTTGTGTCTAAAGTTAGACGGGACTTAGACAGGACTTACATGTAGACAACTGTTTAGTTAAACAGGAGTTAGACACGACTTCAGAATACGGGCCAATGAATACAGATCCAAGGAAATCCTTCCAATATGTAAAAGTACATTTATCTTCTACACTTGTGTGAACAATGACAACTACAGAATGAATGCATTATCTGATTACATAGCACCAGGCTGTGATTTGAAACCTAAACTTTGCAACTAAAAGTGACAAAGCTATTGAGACTACATGCATTGATGTTAACAGGAGTGTAAACAAACCTTGCATCTATCCAGTAGATTCTCTTCTCTGAGTAGTCAATAGTAAGTCCATTAGGCCAGCCTCCTTCCAGCTGAGTAATGTTTACAATGATACTACGATTGGCACCACTCATACTCGCACGTTCTATACGTGGGGCACGGTTCTCCCAATCAGTCCAAAACATTAACCTATAAAACAAAAACATGTAATACTTGTACAATGTAGCAATATATTTACAGACAGGTAATATAATAACTGTTTTCTTGGTCTAGTATAGCCATGTCTGAATTAGTGCCCATAAAATGTATATTACATCTAAAGAATGAAAGTAATATTCTCACTCCTTCATAAATCATCATTCCAAATATATACAGTCCTACAACAACATCAGCAGTAAGTATGACAAATTTCAATTTAAAAAAAATAATCCATTTTAATATTACAACAATCGCAAGGAATGGAAATCACACTGAAGTAGTCTGAAATGAATTTGTGATTGCAAAATATTTTATAGATAAATCGATGCATTTTCCCCAAAAACTCCATGCATACATGTACATAGCATCTGACAGCATCTCCTACATGTATTACATATATATATATATATATATATATATATATATATATATATATATGTCTCACTCACCCTTCAGTGGGGTCGAGAGCAATGGCCCGAGGGCTCTCCATGTTAGATGCAACCACAGTAGTTCTCATAGCTCCATCTAATCTAGCTACTTCGATCTGATCAAGATGACTTTCAACCCAGTACAGGTTACCTCCAATCCAATCAACAGCTAGCCCTTCACAGGTGGCTAGTCCAGCTTCAATCACTGGCTCTATGTTTCTTAGACCTAACAAATACAGACAAAAATAAAGATCAAATATTTTGTCAAATCAACATAAAGACTCCTCTTTGACCATTGTCAGAGGTTATTTCAGTTTCAGTGATTATACCTCTTAATTTCTTATGTCAAATAAGAGTACAAGAAGTAGCTCAAGATTTGGCATTTAATTTTTTTTTTTTAGACAATGGCTTAAGGTTTAGATCACATTGCTTTCACTTCTTCAATAAAGGACATTGAAATCCCATGTATCATATTTGGTACAGTGTACCTGTATGTGAGCACAATCAAAATTGTTTAATTCAAAACCTCTAAATGGTCTTTACAAGCATTTCATGATAGACTATGCACAATTTGATCAATTGAAAAGGTTGAACAGTAACTTTAAAGCCACATAGTAGGCAGTGTCTATGTGTATTGCATCATAATTCATTGACACCAGATTTTGTTGAATTACCAGTTAATGCGTACACATGTCTCTCAAGCAGGGAGCCCGTTGTCTCACTAGAAAATACTCCAGCTTGCCTTCATATCTCGAAGTTGAGGAAAATTATAAGAATTCCTTATGGCAGTAGGTTCAGGGCACAGTGCATTCGACAAGACTTATTTGTCATAAAAGTGAAGTCCACTCCGATTGACAACACCTGTTACTGGGTAAACACCAGAAAGGTGTCATATTCCCTATGAGAACCCACTACTATAAGCCTTCAGAAAAGCTCTAATGATATATTTGTCTAAGTGCACAAGAATAATGTTAGTTTGCTTAAATGAGTGTGAGCTAGTTGTAGGTGATTCAGGTGAGCAGGTTTACATACCTGCATTAGGAGAATTCTCGTCAAGCCATCCACGATAAATCTTATCATCTACCACATCAGTCCAATAGATGGAGCTGTTGCTATAATGGAAGTCCACTGCGATACTGTTGTGAAGGTTAAAGACAAGGACATTGTACTCGCTGGTAGCCAGATTGACACGACGAAGCTGATTGCGATTGGAGAATATCAGGTATGGGTTGGCTGTGGCTGAATGATAAATGTAGGTATAGAAGAGTGAGCAAACATGAGAGAGTATGAGACAATGTGTGTGGTCTCCTTCATCTCATCATCATTTCTGAATCAATCAATTGAACAAAAGGTTATTGATTGCATAAGCACCATGAAGCAAGTAAGATCATAAATCAGTAAGAATGCAAGAAAAACGCCGACATTGTCAACTCACGGTTGCAAATAATGTATTCAACAATATTAATTGAACAAGAATATTAGAAAGAGCAATAAATATTGATATAACAAAACATTACAATCAACAGTTCATATTGATTCATTTCTTAACCCTTTGAGTTACCAGTGCAGACAGTGAAAACCATCCAAACCAACCTAATCCAAACATTCATTCCTTTATTCATCTGCTGCCATCCCAGGCCATCCCAGGCCAGGGTTAGTAGCTATGCCCATCCATCCTATTTGATCAACAGAGCTTGCTCTCACTTCTTCATAAAAGTCCAATAGCATATTTGTAAAGCGCTTAGATACATTTTTATTAAGAGCTATATAAAAATTAAATATTATTATTATTATTCTTAATCCGCCGCTTGATGTCATCCAAACATTGTGTTTATCAAAGGGTCCACATATAAAACCTTGCCTTATTAAATCCTATGAAACTTGTTTGTAAAAAGTGGCATGGTAAGGGTAAACAAATTTGCAATCAAGCTTCATCACAATATTCACATTTTAGTCTATTGTGGTTCCATTATGCGGTGTACATGTACTATGTTAAAGGGATTATCAAAATTTAGTATAACCTAATCAATAACTAAACTGACCCTAAAATTGGTGTAACATCAATAGTGCATGAAGTGACCAGTGGTACTGAGTTGAGCTTACCATTGCTTTTACAGGTCCAACCATCACTAGCCATCTGATAACCAGGATAACACTTGCAGACATAAGTTCCTTTCCCATTGATACACTGCTGACTGCAACGACCTCGCTTCGTACACATCTTGGTGTCTAAAACAAATTGGACAGACAAATAGTCAGAATCTTCATCAGGATTTAATTGAATCTTGCACCAAGTTTGTGCCAAATCAAGGAGAGCACCAAAAATGGGAAGGTGACATTCACATAGCTGCCAACATTTGGAATGTTCAATTAGTAACATTTAAGTAAAACTGAATATCTTATCATTCAAGAACTATATTCTTCAATCCCAAAAGTTGTATTTTAATGACAAAAATTGTATAAAAAATTAAAAAAACACGGATCAATGCCTTTTACAGTTCCTTCATACAGAAATAATTTTTGTATGGATCATTGGTTGAATATGCATGATTTCATCATGACTGATGTGTTCGATGAACCAATGAACATCCCCAAATTGCCAATTACAGGACAGAATGGGCATTTTGATGTTTTTTTTTTGTTTTGTTTTTTCGTAATTTCCTAACGAGGGTGGGAAATTTGTAACAATTACGATTTTTTTTTTTGTTGTTGTAACATTTGGCAGCTATGCATTCATTCAAACAATATTGCAATTTATAATAATGAATTTGTAGTATTAGAGCAGAATAATAATTTCTTTTAACGAAAAATAAAAAGGTATTTTTTTTTTGGGGGGGGGCTGTTGCTATTACAATTCTGTGACCACAGATCAGTGTAATACAAGTAGTAACTGTTTGTATCCCCATCTATTACACATAAAATAACAGGAATACAGGTCATAGTTATGGGCTTAAAAGTTATAAAATGAAAGTCCATGCATGAATTCTTACCCAGTATGCATCTGGTGGAGTCTTCTGGGTCAATGACCTTACCCTCTGGGCAGTAACACATGACCCCTTTCCCAGGTATCACCTGACATTCCTCTTTACATGCTGCCTTGTCACACATAGATAGGTCACCTAATATGATAGAGAAGTGGATCAGTATCAAGTATAGAGTTGTTTTGACAGTTGGACTGCATAAAGATGTTATAGTTTTAAAATCAACATGCATGTTCCTTTTCCACGTACAGCCAAGCTATATACATGTACATGTATCTTCTATGAGGCTGATTTTACTGCTAGAGTTAGGCATGTCTAATGCTTGTAAAATCAGAACCACAAGGAGAACTCAAATAGAGCATACAGCTTGAGGTAATTACACTACAAAAGCTTTGGAAAAAAAGTGCTGTATAAGAAGCAGATATTATAATGTTCCCAACTCATGATATCATGAGATAAGTCAGATTACTTATTAAGCCCAAAGCACACTGTACGGTTCAACTACAATTAGATTTTGGAAGAATTTGCAAGAACATTTAATAAGAAAATTGAAACTTAAAATCTTAATTATTCAGGATCTCAATAGTCACATGCCTAATAAGATCTAAATTCTAAAATCTAAAAATAAAATTGGCTCAGAATCTGATGGCTTCAGACCATTAGATTGTCAATGATTTGAGCCAATTCAGTAGGATAGTGTAGTGTGCCCTGGCCATTACAGACAAAGGTAATATTCATATATATTGTAGGTCTACTAGGAAAACATCATCCTATATTTACATGTACATATATGTAGCACAACATTGAATGAACTCTAGGATACACAGAGAGCTTTGATAGATAGAGTTACAAAACAATAATACTAGAGATGATTAGGAAATGATAAGTGAAAGGGTAGAAGAAAAACAAGTTATGTACAGGTTCTATACAGGTTGTATGCCGTAATTGTTACATGCTCATGTACGTGTATACTTAAAGCTTGATTTATCCTTCTTCTTTTTCTTCAAATCAGACATCACAAGGTTGATAAGGTTACTTACAATCCAATTCATCTGTTCCTCCAATACACTGTTGAGCTCCATCACAGAGGTTATGTAATGGGAGACACATGGTATGGTTCTCACACTGCCATTGATTCACCTCACACCGAAGCAATTCTAATATCAAATACAAGAAATTCAGAGTAATAACAAATACATTGTAAAGATCAAGAACACGCAGGGATGATGATACATGTATAGAATGTGATGATCATTTTTTTTAATATTAAGATTTATGCTATATATATAGCTAATGTTCATGTGGATAACGTTTAACTTCTAATGAGTATGAGATGTATAATAATCACAATGAAGAGTTCATTGTGCATTCATGTTATACATCTCTAAATCAAACAACAAAAAATCACTCTGAAATACACCATTTAAAACCAGGCATCACAAAAATCATACTAAAAACACCAAACATGATTTCTTTTAGTCTGTTGTCTATCGAAGCCCTCCTACAGTGAACATGTACTTGCAATGTATTTTACAAGGTGACAAAATGAGAATCAGAATTCTATTCTTTTTTCATTCTTTGAAGGGATTATCCAACGGTTCTAAACTTGGTACACCAGTTAAGCAAATCCTGTTTCTATTTTGTCTAAGTAGTTCAAAGCAACTGCTGACTTATTTAAAGTTCTGGGACAAGAAACCAGGGTCATATAAAAATGAGCACTACAGAAAATCAAGATTAGACAAACAACGGACTAGACAACACTACCCACATTTTAGATTGTTTGTTGCTTCCAAACTTTGAAGTTACATGCATCTAGTCAAATTAAATCTAGTTCTTTATTTGCTTCATAAATCTGTGGACTCAACATATTTTGAACTTGGCTGAAAAATGGAAAGCGACTTACGACAGTTGACCTCATCTGACTGATCTTGACAGTCTGCTATACCGTCACATTGCCAAGCATCAGGGATGCATTTGTTTTCATTCGGACATTTGTAATGAGTTTCCTCTCTGCACACAGGAACTAAAAGAAAACATAATCAGCAACAAAATACAGGGTTAAATCTAAACATACTTTAAATAACTATTGAAATCAAAGACATGTTTATCTGGCAGTTTTTCCACAGCCTAATTGAATGGCCACAGTGATATTGATTGTAATCCTTACATTCAGAAGAAACAAGTTCCTCCTGTCAGCCAACAGACACATAGAGTATTCCCAAGAAGTGTTGACATTCCTTCATTACAATAGGGTAATAAATAGGATTTATATGGCGCCAAATCCACTTAAAAATTAAAAGCTCAAGGTGCACGAAATACCCATATATTCTATCTTTATATGAGAAAAGGTGTTTGTCTGTAAACTCCTAGGCTTGCAGCTACATGTAGACTAACATAAAGCAAATCAAATTGATCTGACTCACCCGCAGGATTTGTACAGTTATATTCATCGGTGCCATTGATGCAGTCTTCTTCTCCATCACATTTCCATGTTTCAGGAATACAGCGTTGTTCATCGCATTGAAATTCATGCATGTTACATACCACTGGATGGAAAGCTGTGTGGGTAATGATCAGATCATGAGTTACATTACATACTGTATGTTTTCTGTGCGTCCTGCATGAAGATATTGGTAGTACATCTAGTAGAGCTGCGTACAGTGCTCACAGAGGCTCATTCATTCATTGAGCTTCAGCCACATTTGTTCTGCCTTACATGTATTTTAGGAAAGCAATATATCATCTAAAAACCAACCTCATTACTATTAATAGGTCAAGCACGTTTGCACTGACAGCTTTACAACAAGAAACAGGTTTGACAAAGTACTAGAGGATACTGCAAAAAAAAAAGTATAAAAACTTACAGCACTTTTCTCTTTCATCACTGGCATCTTCACAGTTTTGTACTCCATCACATACGAGATCAATATTGATACACCGTAGTGATACATGACACTGGAACTGGGTTTCGTTGTCACATGAATATGCACAGTCTACTTCATCTGAGCCATCTCCACAGTCATCATCTAGAGGATCACATGGACAATCATAGTGGAGACAAATAAGGAGTGATTAATGAAATAATCAGTATTCATGCAAACATACATGTACGTAGCATACACACCATAGATAGATAGATAGATAGATATTTGGTTTTATTCAAGTACTGATTAAAAAGTCTGAAGACTAAACAAGTCAGTTTACAATATAAAATGCATAACAAAAAATATAACAAGGTAAAAAAACACATGGATGAATTAAATCATTAATAAGTAAAAAAAAAAAAATATATAATAAGTATATAAGTATATAATAATAAGTAAATAAATAAGTATATATAATTACCATAAATAATTATTTATAATACGATCATTGCTACAGTGAAAGGACTTGGAATTCAAATTAGAAACAAATTAAAATAGCTTTGGGAGATCATACAATTACCATAAATAATTATATATAATACGATCATTGCTATAGTGAAAGGACTTGGAATTCAAATTAAAAACAAACTAGATGGAATTCGACTACGCGCAGTCAAAATGATGCCTCCATCATAGAGCAATTTTACAAACCAAAACAGAAGAAATTTTTCGGATTCAAGTTCAATTGTAATCCATTGACAGGTTCTCAGAATATCGTGATTACAAGCAATTTCTCATATACATATATGACCCTTTGATCTTTGACCTCATGACCCTAAAATCTACTCAGTTCATTGGCTCTGCAAGATGTCCTGAGTTAAATAGTAATCCATCTGTCAGTTCTAATGAGAATGCGTTCACAAGCTATTTTTGCATACATAATGAGCCCATGATCTTTGACCTTTGACCTTATGAACCGAGAATCTACTCAGTTTATTGGCTCTGCAAGTAACATACATGACCTAATTTTGGCAGGAATCCATCAATCGGTTCTTGAGATAACGCGATCACAAGCTGTTATTGCATACATAATGTGTGCTGTGGCCTTTGACCTTTGACCTCATGACCACTAAATCTAATCAGTTCATCGGCTCTGCAAGTAACATACATGACCTAAGTTTGGCAGCAATCCATCAATCGGTTCTTGAGATAACGCGATCACAAGCTGTTTATGCATACATAATAAGCCCTGTGACCTTTGACCTTTAACCTCATGACCCCAAAATCTAATCAGTTCATTGGCTCTGCAAGATACATACATGACCAAAGTTTGGCAGGAATCCATCAATCGGTTCTTCAGATAACGTGATCACGAGCTGTTTTTGCATACCTAATGAGCCCTGTGACCTTTGACCTTTGACCTCATGACCCCAAAATCTAATCAGTTCATTGGCTCTGCAAGATACATACATGACCAAAGTTTGGCAGGAATCCATCGATCGGTTCTTCAGATAACGCGATCACAAGAACGGGATGTACGAACGTACAGACGTACGTACGGACGGACAACCCGAAAACATAATGCCTCCGGCTACTTCGTAACGGAGGCATAATTAAAACAGCTTTGGGAGATCATACAATTACCATCAATAATTATATATAATATGATCATTGCTATAGTGAAAGGACTTTGAATTCAAATTAAAAACAAATTAAAACAGCTTTGGGAGATCACATTAATACTAATACTTGAGATAATCAGTATGCAATAATTAATTAACATTTAAAAATTCACAATGGCGAACATATGAGGGCATAACTAAGAAGTTGAATTCAGAAGTTGTATAAAGTAAGGAATGGGAGAAAGCATGCGTCTTTGAGTTCGTATACGAGGTAATGTCATGTGAGTGGAGTTCCGAAGATTGCGACCTGTGATTGATTCTCTACTTTCTGGCAAGAGATGGCGATGGTCAGGAGAGGTTAAAACTGATTTGGCCAATTTAGTTGCTAGTTCGAGACGCCTATTACTAAGGGATTCTAGTTTTAAAGTCTTGAGGAGTTCACTATATGGCAGTAAATTTGGGTAAACGATTATCCTCAAGGCTCGCTTCTGAATACGTTCGATGGTTTCAGCCTGAGCCTTCGTTATACCAGAAGTCCAAACGGGGGCCGCAAACTCCAGTACCGGTCGAATGTAGAGCTGAAAGATTGTCACCAAATCTTGAGTGTTGACCCCATTCCTTTTTAACTTATTGATGATGAACAATCTCCTCGACGCGTTTGATATGATGCGATCGACTTGTTGATCCCACTTGAGGTCATATTGGATGATGACCCCGAGCAACTTAATTGCGGAAACAATCTCCAGGCTAGCTGAGTCGATGAGCAGATCAGGAGGATGCTGTGGAGTTCGGAGAAAGGAGACTTGCATAGCCTTGCACTTAGCGGCATTCGGGATAACATCATTTTCCTGACACCAAGTAGTAAGGCAATCGACATGAGACTGTAATAGGGACGTTTGAAATTTGTTAATGACCTCCAACAAAGTTAGGTCATCTACGTACTTCCAGCGGTTTTCAGTCATCTGTGCAGCATCGTTGGCCAATACCAAAAAAAGTATCGGGCCCAAACGTGTTCCCTGTGGCACTCCACAAGTGATGGATCTCTCCTGGGAGGTTGTTCCATGGTAGCGGACAGTTTGCGTTCTCTGAGACAAAAAGCTACATAAAGTAGGGATGATAGAGCGATCTACTCCTAACCCAATCAGCTTCTGGATCACAATCGCGTGATTAACGTGGTCAAACGCCCTACTGAAGTCTATTGTGCACAGATTAGCGAAGGTTCCAGAGGTGTCGATACCTGTATGAATGGTGTCCAACAGGCTGACGAGGCAATGCACAATCAAAGTACCGCGTCTGTTACCAAACTGCTTAGGGTCGATTTTGTCCTTGATGTCGTACAATATCCAATCAATTCTAGATTTATTCATGTACCAGTACATGATGGCATGTACATTTCATGTACCTCTCGTTTTATAAATGTACACAATGATTCTATTTTATGGAATGCAGAGTATCATGTTCATGAACAGAGAAAATTACTCCATCAAGGACTGGATAGACATAATGTACTAAATCTTCAAAGGACCGACTTCTTCCGAAACCAAGATAAAAGCAAGATGAACTAAATAAATAAATGTACACACTCCCCCAACCCTTCTCATTTGGTTCCTGATGGGACGTGGTGAAGGAGAATGAGATATACATACCTCTGTCACAGCGCCATGTTATGCTGATACAAGCACCATTAGCACACTCAAAGAGTCCTTCACGACAGTACTCTGCAGGTAATACATGCAAAACACGGTTTGAACAAATTAATATGATCCTACCAACAGAACAAAATAATTATGTTCAATCGATTTAAATCATTCTGGTTTGTGTCTCAAATGCACTATAAAATATCCACAATTTTTGTGACCATCATAAAAATGGATATATATTCCCTTTTTCTCACTTTTAATGAGTTTTCTATTTCATACTGTTGCTCAAGTAGTAACTTGATTTAATCATAGATCTTCTCAAGCTGCCTCACAACCTTTCTTTCCTTGTATCTCTGTAGTACTATCCAAGCTAATGATTCAATCTTTCTGGCTTTCAGTTCTTGCATCTAAATATATTCAGAAACATCCCATTTTTATTCTCCAGTTTCCTTTCCTCATAATTTACCACAGTAAATATCATCAACATCTTGACAACTTCCTGCATTATTTACATCAATTTTAATGCAAACAAAGATATCAAATTAATTCATACATTGTACATGTACATATACCTAAAGCTGTAGACATATGTAAAAGAGATCATACTTACTGCAATCTTTTTCATCACTATTATCTCCACAATCATCCTCTTGATCACAATGCCATGATGTTGAGATACAGCGACCATTGTCACATTTGAACACATCTGGATCACAGGTTTTCTCTGCTTCAGGAGAAGAGTAAACACAGCTTCTTATAATTAATATCAGTTTTAACCTCCTCAGATACATGTTGTATAAAGGTGACAGCTAATTAAGTTGAGCTTTATAATAATAATAATAATAATAATAATAATAATAATATGTCTTGTTTACCCAGGGTAGCCTGATCAGTATTCATACTGTTCTCCCTGAGGGCCCTGCAATCATATTATTATCAACCTATAATTCAAGGTATTCTATTGTACTCCTTCAATATATAATTATTTTTTTTGTTATTCCATCCTCCTAGGGACTTGAAGTCAAAGATAAATGAAAAATATGTCCTTTACTTAATATATTTGATATGTTTATATACATGTATATAAAATAGGTTAACCAAAACAAAAAAATTATAAGCTGTAACTCTTAGATGTCTGGATGAAATTTGATTATAGCACAACTGCACTCATGAAATATATACTTACGAATATGTCCACTGCATAGCTCATGAGTTTCATCACTGTCTCTGCTATCACCACAATCATAATCACCGTCACAAGTCCACCGCATAGGGATACACTTATTGTTTGGACACTGGAACTTGTTAGGTCCACATGTCTGATTGTCTATATAAGAAAGCAATATTCAAGCAAAGTCATTCAAGTTCAACTCGTTACGTGCATACACGTGTTTGGTTATTTGTGTGGTACAAACTCCTGGTTATGGAAATAAAGTTATTAATTTCATTTCACTATATGTTTCTTGTTGAGCAAAAGGTATTTTTGTTTAAACTTATAACATACAAACATAATTATTTAATTATGTCAATCAATGCAACATACATGTATAGAAAGTGGTGTTTTTACATCTTTAACATTTTATGCACAACACTCTTCATTTTCATTCATATACATTGTTTATATTCAGAACAATTTAAGATATATGAACATTAAATATTGATTTGACTGCAGTAAATTGGAGTGTAACTTTAAACAATAATCTGCGGTCACATGACTGTATTGTTATATTTGAATGTACCTTTCTTTCTCAATGTGTACGTCAGTTTGTTATACAAACAGTAAAGCATAAGACGGGCAATTAGCAATGAAACAAACATGTATCAATTCATAAGAAATAAATATACTACTTACAACAGCCACCATGAGTTTCATCGGTATTATCTCCACAATCATTATCCCCATCACATAGCCAAGTGTGTTCTATACAACGACCATTGTTACACTCAAACTCATCAGAAGCTTTGGTACATCGAGAATAGCGGACATAATCAGGATCCTCTGAAAAGAACAAGAAAACCATCTTTAACATTGACAGTCTATTATGGATATAAACGATGTGGGCTTGATTTATACATATACCAGCAAGTATATAAACACACTCTCCATCAACATTTTAGACTGCTGATCTGACATTTACTGCAGCAACAATTGCTCTTAATTTTCACCATCATCATCTACATTTATTCAACTTTGCATTTTCCCTCTTACAAGGGGTTACTGACACTCCCTCCCTTCCTCCACTTCTTCATTTAGACCAACCTAACTACGAAGGTTTAGGGTTAAGATTACATGTAGGTATAGTATTTGGTACGCGATTAAATTAAAGGAATTCTATTACTGTAAGAAATAGACCAGAGAGCAATTGTCATGAAATGGATGGAACTCTAGCAAATCGTGTACACAAATGGAAAAAAAGTCATACGGAGCACATGTGTAAGTAAAAGTTAAACATACATGTAGTGTTATCAAGTCAAGGTAAAAACAGTCAACAAATCATTGTAATTACTTTACAATGGGACTAAATCACAAGAGAAGTTTATGTACATGTACACTTTTGGTTACATTCTGAAATACTTTAAAACTTATAACTTGTTCCAACAAGCACATACTATGCTGGAGTTTTATGAGAGATTCAAACTCTTAAGTATGTTTCCCTTTTCCATTCTTTATCATGGTTCAACTCTAATCAAATCTAATCAGTTCATCCGCTCTGCAAGATACATACATGACCAAAGTTTGGCAGGAATCCATCAATCGGTTCTTCAGATAACGCGATCAAGAGCTGTTTTTGCATACATAATGAGCCCTGTGACCTTTGACCTTTGACCTCGTGACCCCAAAATCTAATCAGTTCATTGGCTCTGCAAGATACATACATGACCAAAGTTTGGCAGGAATCCATCAATCGGTTCTTCAGATAACGCGATCACGAGAACGGGACGTACGTACAGACGGACGGACGGACAACCCAAAAACATAATGCCTCCGGCTACTTCGTAACGGAGGCATAAAAAACATTATTTTTAAATATCAAGGAAAACAACAAACAGCGAAAGACCATTTACAGCACTGGAAGGGCTTATCAAACCCATCACTAACAATGCAATTAATCTTCATGCGCAGAAATTACTCTGTTTAAGTGCATATGCTTTTATTAAAATTACTAGTACATGTATGCCATAGAAATCCAAGTATGAATGAAAGTCCATACTAACCGATGCACTGTGTGCCGTTGATGAGTTTCTTTCCATTCTCACACTGACAAACTTTTCCATCAGGAACAGGGAGACACAGATGCTCACAGCCTCCATTCTTGACGCTGCATGCATTCGTACCTGAACAGACAAATGTAAAGCACTATGAAGATGACACAGACGGACACACATGTATTCTATCTAGTTTGCATGTTTGCTAAAGATGCCAAGTCAAATTTGTACTACCTATGTTCCTAAGGCTACCCCACACTCTATGATCGTACTGCAATCCAATTTTGTCAATGAAAGCCATCTTAAAGCTTTCAATGAACCCAATATGTTTCAGGGACTCAACCCCATATTTACTGAAAATTCTTCAGCATCACGAATAAAAATTGAAACACTGAAGTATCAATTATATTTCTCTATCAAACACTTTAAATCTTCGTTCTTCTTTTCCTCTTGATTTGTTATCCCACATTTGAAATCAATCATACTAATATAACTAATGTCAAGGGTTAAAATATAGCATACCTTTCTGTGCATTAGCATCATAAAGCTTGAGTTCAAAGACCAAGCCACCTTTACGCAGTGATACAGGTGTAGGAGTTTCCATGGTAGTATCATAGCGATAGATAAACCCTGTACGGTACTCTGACCAGAAGAGGATGTCTTTATAGTGAGTGATACCAAATGGGTGATTCAGCTCTGGTTGAGGTCGGATTGTCACTGTCTATATCATACAAAAGTAGAGAAGACCGTCAAATTAGTCATTGCTGCAAATATATTCATACTAGCTGGAAGAGCCAATGCCAAAAAGGGTAAAAACAAAAACAAACAAAAAAACAAATGAACATAATGGTTCAGCTTGAACCAAATTTAGAATTTATCAGGCAAGCTTTCATCAGGTCCACTTTAAGCCAAGTGCTTCAGTTCAAGGCAGTAGTGAGCAAAGGACTGACTTTATAAAGTCCACAGGAGTAGCGAATGCTTGCCTGCTCTATTTGAAGTTGAGTAGAAGCTGAACTACATGTTACGATTACCCAAATGGACAAAAAAATTATGTATCAATTAGTACATTTTCTCAAGGGATAATATTCTAATTGCATATAAGAGATTAATGTCGTTAAGCAAAACACATTTGATTTTTTAATTTTTCTTCAGTCTTCCCTCATTTCTTTCAAAAGTAATATTGAAATTGAATTGAATATTGAATATTGAATATATTTAACATATTTCAATAAATGTGTTCTGCCATCTACTTTATATAATATAACTTACCCCATCACCAGTTCCATTCAGAAACTTTCTAGAGATTCTGTCATGAAAAGCATCACACCAATACAAGACTCCACGATCCTTATCCAGACTGAGACCATTAGGCCATTGCAAGTACTCATTGACAAAGACAGTTCGGTTCCTACCGTCCATAAAGGCTCGTTCAATACGTGCTTTTTGACCAACACCCTCAGACCAGTCTGACCAGTACATATACCTGTGAGATATAAACATCTTAGCTGCTTGTTCAATGAGATACGAGCATTTTAGCTGCCTGTTCAGTTACACTAAAGTCCTTCACACAACCACACACAAATCATGACTAATAAATTAGCTTCACAATTTGAGTAATAGAACAAGGTATTATTTCTCCATATATGTAGAAATAAAAGTCAGAGTAATTATTGTTCTGCACTACATATATGCTGAAAGCCTCCCTCCTCAGCCCTGAATGTGCATCATACATCAAAGGGAGAATGAAAGACATGTTACATATACATGTAAGAAACCTATCTTAAACTTCACAGCATGCATGCATCTATCATTTGACTTAAATTGTACCTTGGGTAGATAGGATAGGATATCTCCAAACCATCCAACCTCCCCCTCCTCCTTTTTGTCAATTAATAGGAGCAGGCTTGTTTAATATGCAGATCAAAAAAGCAAAAAGGAATGAAAACTTACCCATCAACTGGGTCTACCACAATAGCTCTTGGATGAGTGAAGTTCTCTTTAAGCAGTAACCTTCTCCTAGACCCATCTAGTCTAGCAACACTGATGGTCTTAGATCCATCATCTGTCCAGTAGAGATTCTTACTAATCCAATCTACAGCTATTCCTTCACAGTTTGTAATATCTATTCAAAAAGACAGAGTGACACACATTTACAAATGGAACTGATCTGGAAGAAAAGAATTCCAATGAAAATATGAAACTGTATCAATATTATACAGTTATTGACTGGCAGGGGGTGTAATATAACATTATTTGGACCGCTGAAGGGAGTTATATTTCCAAAGTGGTTATATTATCCCGAAGCGCGCAGCGCTGAGGGAAAATATGGTCACGAGGGAAAATATAACTCCCTTCAGGTCCAAAGAATGTTATATACCCCCTGCCAGTCAATAACTGTTATATTAGATAGACTTGGTTGGTTTTTTTTTTTTTTGTGGGGGGGGGGGTCCATTTTTTTTTTAGCCCGAAATTTTTTTTTTTTTTTTTCGGGGACAATCAAAATTACGGAAAAATAATTTGTCGAGATTACCTTAAAAAGAAAAAAAAAAAAAAAAAAAAAAAAAAAAAAATTTAAAAAAATTTGGGAAAAAAAAAAGGAAAAAAAAAAAAAATGAAAAAAAATTTTGGGGAAAAAAAAAAAAAAAAAAAAAAATTTTACCCAAAAAAGCATTTTTTGGGGAAAAAAAAAAAAATGTGGAAAAAGAAATTTCTGGGGAAAACAAAAATTCATGAAAAAAAAATATTGAAAAAATAAAATGGCCCTCGATAATGGTGTAATGTATGTAATTGGTGACATACAGTCCTCAAGAGGGCGACATGCATTGATTAAAAATATATTCATTTCACCAGCCGGTAAAATATAACACTGAAAAGTGACCGGCCAGGAAAATATAACAATTTGGATCCTCGCAATTGATATCACGTGACGAGCTTTGGACCATTCACATCTCGGTATCTGTCTAAGCTATCTAATATAGAAAAAGTATTCGTAGTTATTGAAATTTGCATAAAGATATTCCATTAGACATAAAGCATCAGCATGATCGAAATCAGCTTTCTGTAACGGTTTATTTGTAACATATTTGAGTGTGAAATTGTTAAGGTGAAAGCATCTGGGATCCTGCCTTATTCGTTATTATTAATAATGCTTGTTATTATAACTTACAGTCGTTGAGGAGATCTTCCCGGTGTGTTCCGTTTAGTTTTTGCCTGCCGATGGTATAGTTTGTTGAATCTGCATAGTAAACATAATCCTCAGCAGCATAGAAGTCTACTGCCCTTGGACTCTGAAGATTCAGTATAGGCACCATAGATTCATAGTTTGGATCCCTGCTTTCATTGACTGGGATACCTCGCACTGATCCAGGATATCCTTGACCAAACAGAAGAAACTTGGCATTGTCTGCATTCCCTGATAATAAAGAATATAACACAAATATATCAAGTCTAGATGCCAAAAAGGAAGTATGGTAGTAAGAATCAAAAATAAGAGTAAATTACATACCAAATATTGTTACGAAATTAAAATTCCTCAAAACGTCAATTTACTACAGAACGAGAATCACTCAATTTCCATGAACTACTGTATGGTCTGATTCACTACTTTCTTAAATTTCATTTTACTTTCCTATTAAAATACTAAGTATAACAAACAAACAATTTCCTGCAGCATTCAATTATATACATGTATCTGTAGAAGTGTTTTCCTTTAAGTTAGGATTCAGAGATTATCAATTATTTACAAAAAGCAATTGATAACAAAAATAATAAAATTCTATCATGTTAAGGTGTACTTGATAGTAAGAAGGACTTACTGATGCATGTTCCATTCTCTAAGACATTATATCCTTGTTGACATCTGCAGGTTGAAGAGCTATCACTAGCTACTAAACACAGATGCTCACATCCACCATTGTTCTTACGACATGGCTGATTGATTGCTAATCACAATAGAAAAATCAATCAAAGAATTAGTATCAGAATCATAAATACTACATGTACAGGTATCAGAAACAAAGGCAAATGAGCATTTGAGAAATTGAGGGCAAACACAATGAAAAAAAAGAGGATTTTCTGTAGAAAAAGGCAGAATACTATCCGAGCACCATAAAAAGCACACCAGTACCTTGAATATCACCGTTTCTTAGCCTGATCAAATGTCTAGCACCACACCAAATTCACACCTAAACCTAACCTTAAGCCCAATCACATCCCAAATTTTGTACAAAAAATAAATAAAAAATGTTATCTAGCATACTATTATGGTCTGTATCCCACAGCCTGTACATGTAAAAGATTATATCAAGTAGAGGAATGACTATGGAGATAATACTTGGCATCACACTTACGTGTAGGCTGTCTTTCTGGATGAACAGCATGTATAGAACCAGCTCGATGTGTGACTGTAGACAGCTCTGTTACTTCACCAGTAAACTTATCAATGCTGATGATAGTAGCATTCGTCTGCCATTTAGTTGCATAGATATGATTCTCAAACAAAGTCATGCCATACAAATAGCTCACCTGTAGAAAAATTATATAACAATAATAATAAAAAACGGAATCTTACATTGAACCAGGTACATGTACAGATGACACAAAATTGACAACTTTGTCTGAGGGAATACAGACTTAGTAAAAATTCAAATTATAAACATTTGGGATGAAAGTCAAGAGAAGTGGACCACTACACTGAAAACACAAATAAGATCTACAACACTAAGGAGTGAATACCAACATTATTACCAAGAGTATATGAGCATGTTCTGTAATGGGGTCCTAAAATAATCAGAGCAAATACCTGTACATCCATAATTACAAAAAAATATAGAATTATGCATGGAAAACACATCTTGGTGTAGAGTACTATGAAAAGACTTTTTGTAAAAAAAACTAGAAAGAAAAGAGAAATAAAAAGAGAAGTACGCACCCTAGATCCTTGAGCAATGATTCTCTGTCCTGTGCCGTCATATCTAGCTGTCTGAACCATCTCAAGCTGTGTATCAGCAAAGTAGATACGTTGAGCAGCATAATCAGCTGTAATCCCATGAGGAAAGACTATCTTTGTGATATTCAGATTCAATCGTCCACTACCATCCATATTGGCTCGTTCAATCTTAGCAGGTTTGTCCCTCGCCACGGTCCCCCAGTCGGTGTAAAACATGAACCTGGTTGCAAAGAAGATGAGTACTGTTTAACATACTGTATGTTTCTCAATAAATCCTCTAATTCTAAAAGGCTTTGTCATAATAGTGTATCACTGTTTCAAACGCTTGCAGACCCACTCGAACGACATCCCAATCACTCCATCATAACTTTATCAGAAATAACAATTTATCATAGATAAGAATTCCCTTCCAGATAAGCAATCATTTATCCAAAAATCCAATGTAGTAACTCCGGAAGATGAGGATAATCAATAAAAAAAAGAAGCTTACCCCTTCTTAGGATCGAGCGTGAGACCCTTCGGTCTACTGAGGTCTCCATCTACCACAGTGATACAGATATCCCCAGCAAACCTACAGACGATAATAGCATCCACTACTTCATCCATCAGATAGATGTTACCTGTCACCCAGTCAAGAGCTATCTGTTGAACATCTATGGATCAAAGAGAAAATCATCAAGTTAGAAGATTCTAGAACAATTTATTTAACATCTATGGATCAAAGAGTTCAGAAATAATCATCAAGTTAGAAGATTCTAGAACAATATGTTGGATGCATGGGGATCAAAGGTTTAAGGCATGCTAGTGATGACCATCAAGTTTTCTACATCAATTTGATTTATGAAAATCACTTACATGTAGAGTGAATGGCAAGTGCAATGAAAACACAAAGCTGTTTGCAAAAAAAATGATCCCAAACCATCCTCACATAGTGTTGGTTATACACAAAGAAACTTATTTGTGATGCACACTATGCTTGTAATTTAATTTGCCAATTTCTTTTTAGGCTGGTTACCCCCATTGAATCTGGAGAAGGTTTTAGGAATGTTGAGGCCTTGGCTAAGATTAATATGAAGAATAGACATGTGTTACTTACTGGAAAGATCAAGGATCAGGTCCTTTACTTCGATGTTATCCATCTTTGTCAAGTCAGCACATTTCAATTGCTCAGCATGGTTACCAAAGTTCACCCAACAAACCTGAGAAATAGATAGATTGTATATATACATGTATATCTCATTAACATATCATTCCACTGTAGATTGGAAACATATTCTCAGGATGATCACACAAACCAGACTACAATCAACTCATCATGCACACAAAAACAAACCCCAAATCACCAAATGATTTTGAAGTTAAAACCCGATTAGAAATGAGGGGATACTCAGCTTTAAAAGTATATATTGCATGGTCCCATTGGATGTTCTTAAAGCCCCAATTTACTTCTTGTAGCTACTTGCTCCCTCTATATAGAAAATAATGCCTAATATGTGACCATTGGTCCCCCATGATCCTCTTTTTCTTATGTTAATTGAGAGCTGAGTTGATGAGATAGCCACCTGTCAGTGACCACCATGGGTGGTCTAATCCCTCCTAGTCAAACTAGTACAGACGGCCTTTATAACCCATGAAAGGAAGTGAACAAATGTCAGACCCCAAAGAAAGTAATATCTATGATGAAAAGGGTATTTAGATTTAGAGTCCAGTGAAGCACCGGACTCAAGAGGTATTGTGTAATGTATTGTGTAAGGGAACAATAGAAGGATTAAGAAATCAGTTCAAATTTGTATCTAGAATTTTCAGATCATCCCAAAGCTTTGCAACACCCATTCAACACTCATTCTACACCTTTTCATTATCACAACTGATTATCAACGCAACAGCTTACTCCATTGTAAGCGTGTGGGAGGTCAAAATGAGAACAGGAGCCAAAGTCGTAAAGAAATGAAACAAAATCAACTAAAACCACATTAGACATACATAGGTATACAATATACAAACAAACTTCTTCTACTATTGTTTAGTGGCTCAAAATGTTGGCATTCGGCCAGAAAAGAAAAGTACATTCTTTCAGGTATCACAGTGTGACCAAGCTTACGAAATACATCTCCTTTAAGCTCTTAACTGAAAAGCAAACTAACTTCTTTGTTTTAATGGTACACAATCATAAGTATATGATCAACATGTATCATTCCAAATGTACTATACAAGTACTTATCTACATATACAAGGCGAGTTAATATAAATACAGATTCACAAGTATCACAACTACAGTGATCTGTGAAAGCTTAAGAAGTATTATTTTTCTTTTCATTCCAGGTAAGTTTTACATCCTTCAGAACCCAGTGTGTATAACCACTTGAACAAAAGAAACAACTTAGGACTTTATCCATAGCAAATGAGCTCCAAGAATAACCCAGTTTAATATGTGATCACTGCTTACCTTATTTTTCTTAAGATTGTAGTCCATAGCCCTAGTGCCCATAGCAGCTAATAAACTTGTCTTGTTTATGCTACTTCCATCTATGTTCAGCTGTAGAAGATTGTCCACATTGGCTACCAGCAACTTGGCATCTACACAATCAATCAGTCAGAAGGTACTCATCATACAATACACATATCAAAGGAAAACAACATCCTGATCTCATTAGGAGAATTATATTAATTAGAAATCTTTGATAAAAGAAGGACCATCAATGCATTAATTGAGTCTTCGTTCATGCACTATTAGGCTACAATTTGTCATGAAAACTGAAAAGGGAATGTGACAATAAACTGCCCTGCTAGAAATCTATCTTTCAACATTTGCATTTTTCTTTTCTTCTCACTTCAAAAATTATTTCCGGTCGACAGCTATTGTCATCATTATCATAATGTTAAGTTGATGTAATTATCATTGCATTGTTCTTTGTGCATGATGTGATGACCATCACTGTGAAGAAATCATGAATGATGACCACTGTGACTGTTTATGACGATCATCATGTCTGCATTGTGTGTATCATTGTAAATGAATGACAACCACTGTAACTGTTATGAAGATCATCATGTCTGCATTGTGTGTATCATTGTTAATGAATTTGACCGAGTTGGTTTACCTTCATCTGACTGACATCTTCCTTCAGAGAACTTGATATAACCGCCAGCACAGGAACATGAATAGGATCCGGGAGTGTTCTTACAGATCTGATCACATGTGCCATAAATGTCACATTCATTGATATCTGAGAAAACAAGAGTTTTAAACCCAAACAGAATTACATCATTGGCAAGACCAGAAGAAAGGCACCAAACCTACCAAGTTCACTCTTGAATGCTTTTTCAATAATTTATTGAATTCCTACCATTTAACAGTATAGTATTAATGACTGCTTTGAGAGAAATAGTTGTTTTTATACGCTCAAGGGAAGGTTAGAATTGTGCTATTACCCGAGGCGTGCCGAGGGGAATAGCCCAATTGTAACCTTCCCGAGAGCGTATAAAAACAACTATTTCTCGAATATTAAAGCAGTCATTAATACTTTTATATGCCGAAAAAAATAGACTAAAAAATAAAAAATAAAAAATACTTTTTTTTTTGGTCCAAGATGAGATTCGAACTCTTGCGTACAAAAGGTGATGCATCTAAAGTCAGCGCCTCAGACCTCTCGGCCATCGCGCGTTATTAACATGCTCGGCAGTTTTGTACTATATATACATTAAAATGGATTGAAACCGGCTTTGCGTGTGATGAATGCTTCGCAAAAGCTCCATATACGGACTCTTCTTTTACTTTTGCAATGCATATTGGCACGAACTTAGATCAAGATCTATCGGCAGATGTTGTTTTTTTGTTTTTGGAAGTTTATTTTCGTCTTCATGTCAACAATGCAAGATAAAATTGTCGGTAAGATCGATCGAGATTCAATTGTACTGAAATTACCGACCAATTATTCGCACACATACGGTATCCTCCATCGCTCAAACCATTTTTTAACATGTAAACCTATGGGGTAACCATGGAGACTGACCTATTTTTTTAATAACCATGGTTATTAAAAATATTAAATGTTTTAAGCATGGTTACCGGGAATTTTACAGGAACAGTTGAAGTTTATGAATGCAATTTCGACCAATCAGATGGCTGGATTACTTAAGTGAGGTATATAATCACTGCTAAATGACTGGTATTATGGGTAATAAATGACTTTCTAAATACATCACAGACAAAATTGTTTAAGGACAAAATTCTATTAAGTTTTAAAAATCTTGAAACCATGAAAACATTGGTGTGTGTGTAATTGAGTTTTTACAGACGTGTATCAGTCAGATATGATTATTTACATCTGGGGACGGACCTTTAACGTCACCATCCGTATTTTGAACTGTGCTTTTAAGGGAAAACTGAACAGATACATGTATATGATTAACTACATGTACATAAATAATCCTGACCTACATTGGCCATTTTTTCTGACAACTAATGCCAACTAAATGCACTACTAAACAAATTATTCACATGAACCATGAATTTGAAAAACATTGTACATGATCTTAAAGGTAATACACAGTTTTGGTATGGGGTCATGAATTTGGTTCAAAGTGAACATATTGGAAGCATATACGATCCTACAATATTCAGTGATCGTTGTCGTGGTTGAAATCGAGTCTAAAGTTATGACATTGTAAATAATAACCTCTTTATGATGTATAGCTCCCTCTCAAGTTCAAGATATTAATAAAGCTATAAAAACATTTTTTCTTGACTAAAATCGACTGATTAGCTATTCCCGTTTGGAAATTATATACCACAACTACATATTCTGAGATTTTCAGGGTCGCAGCTACCATTGTATGGACGTAGGCGCTATTTGAAATTTATCAAAATTTACCGGGAGCACCGGTAAATTTTCAATTTTTTTCAATTTTTCTCGAAAGCAGAAGTGTCTTAGGGACTGAATTTACTAGTGCTTATAATACATCCACAGGGGCATCTAAATATATCAAAATTGTAAAGAATGGCTATCCACCGAATTTTTAAAATTTCCCAAAACTTTGTATTGCCTTTAAACAGGTATGACCATTTAGATGGTATTTATATAGAAGACTAATGGTATTTACCTTCACAGAGTGTAGAGTTGCTTTGATTGACTTGGTATCCTATTGGACAGATACACATACCACCATTGATGGTTTCTTGACATACTTGATCATCTCCACACTGCATCCTGGTACAGTCTCCTCCATTCTCTGTATTATAAACAAATGGGAAAAATCAATTGGTTACTCTACATGTGGAGGTGTCGTCTAGTGGATACGTCACAAGACTGTGGATCACAAGAATTCCAGTTCGAGTCCCGCCGGGGCACTAATGTCCTTTAGCAAGACATTAATGCCACACTCGACCCAGGTGAGGTAAATGGGTACAGAAATTAATTCCCTGAAATGCTAGACAGCCACAATGTCAGCTATTCTAGAGCCAGGGTAGTAACTGTGGATCGCCAGGAGTTTCAAGTCTGGCAGACACGAGCTCAAGACAAGAACCCGCTATTATTATTATTATTATTATACATCAACAATAGATGAACATGAACATGAGTTCATAGGTCAAGATACAAAAGGCCACATCATACCATTATATGCATGCAGCTTACAATAATCAAATGCAAGTTGGTCCCACTTGCAAGTTGAATTGAATGGATAGAGAAAATGTAAACGAACATAGAGGGCCTGAGTTGCCCTTTAACAAAGTAGAAAGATGAGCGAAGTATCTCCATCATCATACACTAATATCTCATGCATACCACATTCTAACAAGTTTAAACAACTGTTACTTGAATTGTATCCTTTCTCGAAAGCATAAAAGGAGTATCTAAAAGACAAGACTTGCCTTTTATATCCTTTGTTAAAATAAACCTTCCTGATATTCCATTTCTTCATCTCGGAGGGCCTCTGTTTGAATGTTCATCATAATGTTCCATGATAAGTGTTACATGACATTAGTAGTACATGAGGAAGAAGAAGTGTTACATGATAGGTAGTACATGATAAGTGTTACATGAGGAAGAAGAAGTGTTACATGATAGGTAGTACATGATAAGTGTTACATGACATTAGTAGTACATGAGGAAGAAGAAGTGTTACATGATAGGTAGTACATGATAAGTGTTACATGAGGAAGAAGAAGTGTTACATGATAGGTAGTACATGATAAGTGTTACATGAGGAAGAAGAAGTGTTACATGATAGGTAGTACATGATAAGTGTTACATGACATTAGTAGTACATGAGGAAGAAGAAGTGTTACATGATAGGTAGTACATGATAAGTGTTACATGAGGAAGAAGAAGTGTTACATGATAGGTAGTACATGATAAGTGTTACATGAGGAAGAAGAAGTGTTACATGATAGGTAGTACATGATAAGTGTTACATGAGGAAGAAGAAGTGTTACATGATAGGTAGTACATGATAAGTGTTACATGAGGAAGAAGAAGTGTTACATGATAGGTAGTACATGATAAGTGTTACATGACATTAGTAGTACAGGAGGAAGAAGAAGTGTTACATGATAGGTAGTACATGATAAGTGTTACATGAGGAAGAAGAAGTGTTACATGATAGGTAGTACATGATAAGTGTTACATGAGGAAGAAGAAGTGTTACATGATAGGTAGTACATGATAAGTGTTACATGAGGAAGAAGAAGTGTTACATGATAGGTAGTACATGATAAGTGTTACATGACATTAGTAGTACAGGAGGAAGAAGAAGTGTTACATGATAGGTAGTACATGATAAGTGTTACATGAGGAAGAAGTGTTACATGATAGGTAGTACATGATAAGTGTTACATGAGGAAGAAGAAGTGTTACAATACATGACAGGTAGTACATGATAAGTGTTACAGGAGGAAGAAGAAGTGTTACATGATAAGTAGTAGATGAGGAAGAAGAAGATCTAACCTGGATTGCAGAATGCTCCCTCATCTGACCAATCATCACAGTCAGGAACAAAGTCACAGATACTGCTATATGCTATACAGCTATTACCATCCAAGCATTGATACGGCATGGATGGAGGACAGGCGAACGGAGGTGGAACAGGACCTACAGTACAAGAAAACAGAGCATCAATTACAAATCAACAATGCATGACTCTCCAATCTCCATCCAGATCAAATTCCTCTGATTATTGATATACCGGTATATATGTTCAATGGTGTTGAGATTGAAAGAGTATCTACATTTAAATTTCTTGGCTTGCATATTGATGAACATTTAAATTGGGAGGACCATATTAGTAAACTTTGTACATTATTGTCAAGAAATACTGGTGTAATATATAAATTGAAATCTGTGTTCCCACTGAATATTTTACGTATGCTGTACGCCACTTTAATTTTGCCATATTTGCACTATGGTGTGCTAGCTTGGGGCAACTCGTTCAAATCTCAAATGGATAAATTACTACTGGTACAGAAAAGAGTAATACAAATTGTTTATAATACTCACTATCTTGCGCATACAGATGTTCTTTTTTACAATAGTAGTGTTTTGAAAGTTGAAGATATTTATCATTTACAACTAGGAGCTCTAATGTATGAATTGAATGCAGGTCTACTGCCAGTGGCCTTGGCTAGAATATTTAAGAAAAATAACCAAGTTCATAGTTATTCCACACGTCAGGCGCAAGCATATCACTTGCTTCTTGTTAGAACGCAATTTGCCCTTACTACTTTGGGGTACACTGGACCTAGGTTTGTAATTCCCTTGAACCAAGAATAGCGCAATCGGTCAGTATTTATGTATTTAAGCGCAAAGTGAAGTTACTTTATTTGAGTCGATATCGTCTAGATTTATAGCTGTGGTCAATATTTAAGAAAATTATTAACTATATACATATGTCAGCATAATTCTACTCCTGTTTCTCACATATTTTCATCTGTCCATCTTTTTTTGTTTTGTCTGTGTTTCAGTCCAGTTGCTCGTAGTTTTTTTTACTGTTTCTCTTGTTTAAAGCCATTATTAAGTAGTCAGTAGGTTTTATTATACTTATTTATGTTTATATTTTCTCAGTTGCTTAGTCAGTTTAGTTTGTCAGCATTTAAATGTATGCATTATTCTTATCTGACAAGTTTGTTATATTAGGACATACTCATTAGCTACTCATGAGGGACCTTAAATCCACAAGCCTTGCTTTCAACCAAGGTCACCTCATCTTTCTTTGTAACGCCATATTATGTTAAATTTGTTATATTCATGTCATATTTGTAAAGTGTGTTATGAAAGAAAGATAAATAAAACTTGAACTTGAACTTGAACTTGAACTTAAGCTAATACTGGAGTCGCTTTACCATGAGAGGAAAGGAGAGAAAATGGAAAAGAGAGGAAGACAGAGATTAATAAAAAAAAAACATTAATTAGATTTTTAATAGCATATCAGGTATCCACTGTGTTGAATGGTATAACAAACAATGCTTTCAAAACTTGATTATTTTTATTGGACCTTGAATACAAAGCTAAGATCACCTACCGTATATGAGGGACTAATACTAGCATATCGTATGTAAGTCATACTTGTATCAATCCCGAAATGTGTCCATCAAGATGACAGACATTCTAGAAACCAGTTTAAACACTTCCTTTCTTTCAACTAAAGTCACAGTATGACCTATAAACATTTGCTCTAATGACTTTACTTCAAAACATCACTGAATGCAATTCAAACACTAATCCTTTTAGCACAAGTATGGATACAGATTTTTAGAATCTGCATGTGCCAAACGTTAACACTTTGGATTCGGGGGTCCAGCCTTAGATTTTGAGTGCTCTTGGTTCTGGATGCATCTTCTATTTTTCTCTTTTGTTGGGGTGTATATTGTGCAATTGGATACAAAAGCCAGTTCAGGTAGCAACAGATAACATTTATTAACAGCTGGTCACACCAGCAGGCCCTGTAAGGAGAGTCCAAAATTGGTTTCGCTGCTGCTCAGTTGATGCATGTTAGTGTCAAGCCCTGACTGAACACCTAACATGTAATCTGGGTTGATGTAGCTAGATGATGTGCTAGCTCATAATGAAACTTATCTTCACGCCTCATTACACCCAGTAATCACAACATTCATGAGAGCAATGTTCATGCATCATGAGGTCAAACACCTAAACATTAATGCTTTCACAAACTAATGATATGGTGTACTTTATATTACTCTATCTTACAACCCATTAGAAAGTGTATGCATCTGGTGTTTTTCAAGGCAGTTTGCAGCATCATTGTTTAACAAGACCTAATGATGTGTGTACAGACAGGGGAAACGTGCACACATTGAGTGTTCCTATGTAGGTATCCACTCTGATAACATAACAAAGAAGACACACATGTACATGTATAATATTAACGAGCTCTGACAATCTGTCTCCTACACAAACTAACTATGAATCTGTGTTCTAGTAGGTTCGGAATTGGTATCCCTGGAAAGGAAGATAGTCTACCTACATGTACATGTACTCTAGACTGGGTGGGTTACGACCTAAGAAGACAATACAGAACACACAGTGGGATCTTTCTTCAAGTAGCTTCATAGAGATGAGTGACAACCCACTTCATCTGGTAGCAGGATAGAGAGCTCCAAAGCTTGTTATTGGAACATCATCCTTTCTCTTTCATAATGTTATGAAAGTGGGCATCAGGCATTATAAAGGTGTTACATACTGGTACTGTTGATAGACTTACAATCTGGGCCTTCATCTGAGTGATCTTGGCAATCTATCTGACCATCACATCTGAAGGACTCAGGAAGACAGATCTGTGCTTCACTACTAGCACACTGGAAGAAACCTGTTTGACATGATACACCAGTGTATGCTACAATGGCAGAAATGAAAAGAAAAGAGAACAAATTAATCCTCATGTTATCTTGAGACTAAATGCCTCGTGTATACAATTACATACAGATTTACCAGGAAATCTGTTGGACATGTACATGTTGAGTACCAAAAACCTATTTATGTGACTTTATGCAATTAAACAAAGCTATCTTCAACATATTCATTGAATCAAATCCTTTCCTACATGTAGGTTCCTTCAATTTTTACTTTCTCTTCGATAATGTTATTATAACCTTTATAACAATTATCATCCCTCTATCAAAGTGGAAGTCCATCCTGATATTAAGTTGGTTTTAAAGGAAGCAGCAAAATTAGAGTAACAGCTCAGTGAAAGTTTGAGCAAAAACCGATTAAAAATATTTTTTTTAAGTTATGAATTATTTAAGGTACAATCAATGAAACACAAATTGGCAACTCTGTCACATATTTTGTGACGTGCCCTCCCATTTGCCCTGTACTAACAAATTTTGAAAATTTATATTTTCTCTAATCTTTTTTTCTTCATACATTCACCCTAAATATAATTATTGCAAATCCCCTGTATGAAACAAATCTATTCCATCATCAATAACTAAAGAAATGAAATCATAACATTTTCTGTTCAAACCCAATTGGAGAGGAGCTCGCAAGAAATGTCCAATGTTGTCCATTTGTGTTTCACTGATGACAACCTCAAATTTCATAACTTTCCTATTTTTGGTGGATATTGCTTCAACTTTCAATGACATGTTTCTCTCATTTTTTTCTGCTTTAATTAAAACCTACCTAATATCAGAGTGGACTTCCCCTTTGAAAATATCTCATGGACTAACAGCCCCCCCCCCCCCTCCCCCCTTCGACAAAAATCATAGAAATGATTGCCCACAGGTAGATTTTTAGAAGAAGACCAAGTCAAGGAAAATCCCAAATCTAAAGTACCTATACACCTGTATACAGAAGGTAAAATTCTGGTAAAGGTGCAAAAACCTCATTCTTTTTACAGCAGTTTGGAAGTTTAACAAACAAAATTTTGGATGCCCTCGGATTGGAAATATGACGAGCAACATTTATCAAGTTTGGGCCAAACCTTCATGCCACATCTGTATGTAGTCCCATATAACTATATATGTGTGCGGTGGATGTGACTTTCAACAAGACTACGGTAGGTTAATTTCTTCTTACTTTCGTGATTCCAAAACCTCCATGTATACTTTGCTTCATAAGTAATCTTTTCCAACTGATTCCACTTCCAGACAGTTTGTATTGCAATATGCACAACCAGAACTCCACTTATCATTGATGCATTAAAAAGTGTTACATGTACAGCAATCAATGCAATAAGATTGCAAACTGTTTATGTCACTGGCATGTGGTCTGAAGAAGGTTAAACTGCTTAAAGAAAACTTACTGCAATTCTCTTCATCACTGACGTCTCTACAATCTGGGTCACGATCACATCGCCATGGTGATGGGATGCATTGAGTTCCATCAGCACAGGCAAACTGTACTCCAGGAACACATCGGGCTGTCAACAAGAGTCAAAGACACAAGAGAGAAAGATTGTAAACTCTAGGGAATGCATGGTAAAATGATTTAGAGTTTGAGCTGAGATTATAATGACTCTAACATGCCCCATCATGAGGCATATACAATCTGTGTGGTTGATGGATAGAAAGGGAGAGAGAGAGAGATGAGCTACTAGCCCTTTCATAAACCCAAAAAGGTGCATAATAGCTGCATGATACATACAGGAGCATACCGTAAGAGCATGGAGCGTACAGTACATCAAATAGGGTTCATTCACAATTCTTAAAATGAAATTACAGCCTTTGCAATAATGAAGAATACTTCATTTTAGATATTATGAACCCTATTTCATTTGAGGAATTAAATGTATCAACATTGGGAATAAGGAAATAAATGGTATACATTATTTTGAGAATAATAGACTTTTAATAAGAAAAAAACACCTTCATAATAATGAACCTTTGAATCCTACTTCTTTTTCAGAATTATGAGCACCCCTGACATGGGACATATATGTTTTAAAATTATGAACCTTTGCAGATACAGTGTCAAAACTATAAACCTTTGTTGATTGGATCAAACATTCAGCCCATGAAAGTATGATACAGTACTTCTACAGCAAGTAGAAGTATCCTCTTTCAAATTTAAGGCTTTGACTTCTACAAGGATTTAGCTTTTATAGTACCAGAATGTTTAGATATAACCTTGGTTTAATCACCATATCAGGTACATGTACATGTACATCAACTCACATATACCGTTTTCACACTTGGTTTTTTTCTGGGCTAAATGGGTTTTTAGCGCTGCAAGTTTCCGGGCTATCTTTCGAAATCACACCTGGTTTTTCAAAAGTGAGTTAGCTCTGCAAGTTCCCGGGCTAAGTTGGCCCTGCTCCTGAGTAGGGTTGGCGCGGCAATTGCTGCGCTAACCTGTCAGGTGTGAAAGCATGAGTCGTTAGCTCGGCCTCAGGATATCTTTCAAGCAATGGTGCAGCGTATGAATATTAAAGAATACGAAGCATCATCCACAACAACAGCGAGGATCGGAGCAAAGGTTTTCAGAGTAGCATGCAGAGGTTCGCGACTTTGAAAATCCTAAAATTGTTGCAAATGACGTTTCACTTTCTCCCTATTGTTTGAGCTATTACTCTGTCTTCGACGATGATTCTTTCTCAAAAACAAAATGGCAAGCAGGAAAACCATTGTATCCTTTGAAATCCTATTCGAAGTCGCGCGCCATTTTGAAGATCGAAGTCGACTGTCAACTTCTGGTTGGAAGTCGTAATCAAGAGTCCATTAGAGCAAGCGGGCGATACAAGTGGAGCGTAGGGTCCAGGGGTGGTATTCTGAACATTGTTGTAAGTTTTGTGTTATCTTTTGTTGTATCTTCCATAGATAACACAGCGCTAATATTGTTGTAAGTTGGTATTCTGAACATTGTTTTATCCCTGTGTTATCTCTTGAAGGACCGCCTCTATCTTATCTTTGACCATTGATGACACGCCCATTTTTATGGACCCTACCAATCAAAATCTATTTTATATAAGCATGATAAGTAGATCAACCAATAGGAATACTTTATGCCATATCTGAAGATGCGCCTAGCGCATACTAATCTTGGGCGTAATTAGTTATTTGAGCACTTATTACGCGCGTCATCATTATGCGCTGTTGAATGTGGATCATGAAGACAAATCACGCTTTCACTATATTGGTTAAGATGAGAGCATTAAAATAGTCCTATCCTGGCATGTAATATCTTAGAAAGTTCTCATCTGTGATGTTTCCGGTCAACACACAATCTTCTTCTAACTCGTCTATTGGCACGAAGTTGGTTCTGGGCAAAAAATATTGCCGCCATTATATCACCACGAAAGATACAACAACCCCCTACCTGTTGTAAATATTGTTGTAAATACCATGCAAGATAAGATAAGATAAAAGATACAACAACTTTTAGAATACCAATTATCTCGACATATTATCTACCGTGCGCATATGCAAATGAGAATTAAATGCCACTTTATTAATAATACGCACAATTACAAGCGCACCAAAGTATGAGCGCAGGCGCGGCCAATAACATGAGAGAAAAGATACAACAAAAGATAACACAAAAGTTACAACAATGTTCAGAATACCAACTTTATCTTATCTTCAAAGATACAACAATATTAGAGATAACACAGGGTTCAGAATACCGCCCCAGGGGACTGCCTGAACCTGAGGCCTCAACCGGGGTCCAGGGGGGCAGAGCCCCAGAAGCTCATGGGTTTTGGCACTGTCAGTAATGTTCAAAAGGGTATCCAGAGGCCTTAAAAATAAGGATTATCAATGCATAAGTTCACAAACACTGGGCATTATTTGATTCACTGATTAATGACTATAGCAAAAGATCATGTTACACAGGCTTCCTATGCCTGCGCCGGTTCAATTAATTAAGATTAGTAAACACGGAGATCCATTAAAATACAAAAGTCTGAAACATATATTTTGTGCCAATGATAATTCCAAAGAGGTATTTATTAATGTTCAGTGTCAAAGGTACACCGATAATAAACTCCCAGTGTGACAACTGGCATTTCTGATTTCAAACATACAATTCTTACAAAAAACAGCTACATGCAAAGCTTTACAATGTTTATTACAAGAATGATAGCAAAAGAGCAAAGTAAACTACACTGTACAGTAGAAACATATTAGGGAATAGAAGAAAAGAATAGATGTTCATATGAAGTACAAATGATAAAACACAAGTCGTTCGTCAGTAAGCACTAAATACATCGATCAGGCGGAGAGCGTTGCCTGAACAACGACAGCAGTCCCAACTCTTGTCCCGAGGGAAATGGAAGTGGAACCATGGTGGAACCATGGTGGAACACTGTTAAGAAACAAAATCAAGGCAGGTCTTAAAAAGCTGCGACATAGTAACTTCTGGGGGAAGTTACATCACACGTCTATCTGCCTTGAAGTCTAAACTTGCTCTCCTACTTAATCAATAATAATTCTTCTTTATATGGAACACAGTAATTCAACAAGAGTATTTATCGTCTTACAAGTAGTTATTGGGCTATCACTAAACTATCTAATCAAAAGTATTTTACAATGACTGAAATATCTATAAATAGGTCTGGCTTGTGGAAAGTGGTAGCTTAATTCATACACAGTCACAACCATCTTGTATCAAAAGTTAAGGGACAAACACATGAAAATATAACAATGGGTTTTCCAACGTAAGGAGAATCACACTAAACAATATCATACAATTAATTCAAATTGCATTAGGAACTTGTGATATCTCTATAATTTACTAGAATAAAACATGAATATACTTTTAGGAAGGTGAGTGTTCGCTTACCTGTTAAGAAACAAAATCAAGGCAGGTCTTAAAAAGCTGCGACATAGTAACTTCTGGGGGAAGTTACATCACACGTCTATCTGCCTTGAAGTCTAAACTTGCTCTCAACGAGAAAGCCAATCTTTCTTCCAAACCAGGCAAACAACCCCACTATTCCCTATCCCCAAGACAAAGGGGTACCAGTATTAAAGTGTATCCACTGGTCATTCATGATTTATGTACTCTACGAATAAAGGAAGTGGTCTGGGTTTAAGACGTAAACAAGGCCTATAGAATAGGGGTCTTTTTGTTCCCATCTCTTTGTTTCACCAGTAGCATATACCAGAGAGGTGATCTTAATAGAAACATAGTTTAAAGGTACACTTTAAATAGGGGTTCAACAATTTAAAGTAATATAAGCTTACTCAAAAATAAAAAATAGGTTTACTAAAAAAATAGAATATACCTTAATAAACAGGGTCTGACACTCAGATTTTTTTTTTTTTTAATATTGAAAAAAATGTGGGATTGTCCCTCAAAAAGCAGGACACTTGGCAGGTCTGGTATTTGCGTTTCTTTGCACACTTATACCAAGTTTGAAGTTCATGGCTCAGACTATTCTTGAAACATTGCGATAACAAGGCTAAAACCCGAAGTTTTAATGGAAAAAGACCTCCATGACCTTTCACCTTTTACCCAAAAATCATATTTTTTTATAAGAAGAAAGCAGGACAGACAGATGGACAGACAGACAAACAGAAAACATATTATGCCTCCATCAGCATCACCTTCACTGGCTTTAGCAGGCAGAGGCATCAAAACCTGTAAAAGCATCCTGTATTTTATGGTAAAGCACTCGACTGTACTACTTGTAGCTACTTGCTCCCTCTATATAGGAAACAATGCCTAATCGGTGCCCGTTGGTCCCCCATGATCCTCTTTTTCTTATGTTAATTGAGAGCTGAGTTGATGAGATAGCCACCTGTCAGTGACCTTGCTGGGTGGTCTAATCCCCCCTGGTCGAACTAGTACAGACGGCCTTTAAACCACTTGTCCCTTGTCCCATGTCCCCAATTAGCCTAACTCCAGACTTCTTTCTTTAAAACTGTAAAATACATGAACATATAGCAAACACAGGGTCCATTTGTGGCAGATTAGCCTCAGCTAGCCAAGTTATCCAATTAAGACTACTATCACTTAACAATTACAGGTGATCCTTTGAAAGTATACATCGAAGTACATGTACATGCAAGTCCTATTCTTTCAAAGTCAAAATCCTGGTATCATCCTGCTATCAATATATGAGGTGTAATCTCTGTAACTTGAGTGAGGAAACATTTAATGCTATTACTTCCTGACCACATCTCCCTAGGGAGCCATACTTCAGTCATGCTTCAGTCATGCTTAATTGGTTGAGATCCTATCACAACTTCCTGAATGAACCCCTGCCAGCCAGGGTACACACATGATTGGTCGTCTACTTCACAGTGGTCTAGTCAATGAAAAGCTCTTAATCACACTAATTGACTATCAAAACTCGTTCACACCTGGCTGCAGCATTCTGACAAGTCAGATAGGTCATGCTAGGGTAAGAATCTGTGTACTAATAATGCTTTGATAGGCTGTAATTAACAGCCCAAGACTATCCTATTGGTACAGGTA